TTTAAATTCCGAATTAACTAAAGAGTAAAAACAAAACTTATTACACCTATGCAGTTTGTCTATTTGACTTTAATCCATGGCTATTATTCAATTAAACGGGCTTTCATTTTCAACTCTTTACGTCTACTCAAGTGTTTTGTACCCCGTTATTCATCAACTTTAACAGATTTCACGGCTGTATAGAAAACGAGAAAAGAAAGTGTTCTCCTATTAAAACACCATGGTACATATCTATGGAGATAAGTCAATCAATATTGATAAAAGCCAGGAATAGTGCAACAGTGTAAGGATATGGGGTGAATGACCGGAGCGTCGCGTCAAACGATTTCGGATGTTGAGATACGTTCATATTGGTCGCTAGAGAATTCAATTTTGAAAACCATAGGCCAGTTTCGTTGACAAAATGCCGATATTCCAACTAATTAAATTAAGGAAGGTAAATACTTTTTACTAATGTAACGTAGTTTTATATAAAAAAAATATAAATTCGTTGTAATGCCGAGTTATTTCAAGGGGAAGGTGATTTCATTTTTCAAGGCCAAGGTGCCTTTATAACACTGGAGAGTATACATATAATAATATATCAATAATTATAAATAACTTAACTTATTATTATGACATTATAATAAATAATATGACATTTGCATGTCTATTTTTATAAGGCTACTTGTGTGGATTTTTAATTTATATACCACTTTCTTGGCAAATAAACGATTTATTATTATTATTATTAAAACATGAATTTTTAACCGATCTTCAAATTGTTATTATTTACGAAAAAAGTAGACGTTTTTCGTAAGTAGTAGAAGTTTAATAAAACGTGTTTAACGCATATCAATTGAGTTGTATAATATACAATTTCGCGTTTATATTTGTTTTTTTTTATTCGGATATTTAAGTTTTGGTTTACAGGGTTCGTCTTTCAGGCTACTCACCTAGTTTATTATAAAGATAACTTCCATAATATGTTTCTTTAGCTAGTTTCGTGAATACTATATAATATGTACAATTTATAATTCACAAATATATTTTATTAAGGTCACGCAACACCACTGGGATTAATTAGCATTTGTCCTACAGTTGATGTGTGATACACACTAGTAAATATATATATAAATATTTCAAAATTATACTATAAACTTCAATTTGATTATATGTTAAATACGTCATTTTCAACCAAATTCAAATAAGGATTCCTGTTTACTCTGAGATGCATAAACCATTTAAATGTTTTGTTGTTTTAAAGAATATAATATAGTTTCGAGGTGAATAATATATGATCAGATATGGCGATGGGATTCTGGGCAAATTGGTTTTTTTTTAAGTGAGGGTATTAAGTATTACGTAAACAGATTTTACTGCAATTTATCCCCCCTCCCCCTCGTCTTGTCAGCAAAAGTAAGTAAAGCTCTCAAAAATAATACTACATAAAAGTATTACTTATTTGTAGCAATTTCAGAAATGCATTTCGTTTTCAAGCATAGACAATATGTGAGTAATATCTATAAAAAAGTAAATACTGTTGACGTAATCACCAAATAAGAAAATCAAAGACCATATAGTGCTTACGTGCATTTGTTTTCGGTGATATCGAGCTGAGGATGAATATCTTCGCCACATGGTAGTAACATGGAAGTCAATTTTTAAAAGGAATTGCCTTTTATTTTGCATTATGTCATTTAAATAAGGCTTAGTTACCGTTTTTATAACCAATTTGATTAGCAAACCACACGCGTCGTATATACGGACATGCGATGCATATCTTATTAATTTAATTACCAAATTATTTTAAATACATCCCTCGGAATCAGAACATCCGTTGTAAAAATTCGATAAGTTTATCGCTTTTAAAGGCCTTGACTTGTTACATATCGCGAATTTAGTTAAATATTTTATATTCCAGAAGTACTTTTTGCAAAAATTCTAGCGTTAGGACTGGCATTACGGATCAACGTTTCCAGAACGTTTTTCAATAAAAATATTCTGGTTAAAGGTTTCTTTTAATGAAAAATCCCAGGTTCTCCGAAACCTTTAGCGATTCTATCCTTACTTGAATAAAGTCAAAGTCAAATCAGTTATTTCATTTATTTTGTCTATTAAAAAGGCATTTTTGAAAGTCAAAAGTACAAGTTAATAATATTTAAAAAAAATGTCTCTAGTTGCCCCTTTAAAACGGTACCTAGTTTCATATGGAGAAGAATGGGCAAGAGAAACTTACTGTTTTAAAATAGTTTTACAAAATTTTGTATACATTGATTTTATAACTATATGTGAACACCATGTACCTACAACAAAAAATACTATACTAAAATAGGCGCATGGTGATATAAAAAATAACGCAGCTATATTAGATAACTAAATAATAACATATTCACAAATATTGTAACTATAGATTTTACATTATTCTTTATAAAAAAAAAAATAATTAACATACTGTCAAACAGTGAGCTACGTCAAAATTGATAAGTTTTTAAAAAAGAAAAATAAGAGCAAATATAAATATATTAAAAACAATGATTTTGTTTAGTTTGATTGTTGATTGGAGCAGTAATAGTAATAACATATATATATAATATTTTCGTAAATATATTTGGCTATTACTTAGACATTCTGTCGAGTTGCTATGCGCACGGCTTTACCTTAGACGGGGGCAGTGAGCGCAATGCTGCAACTATTTTATTAGCGCACTCACGCCGATTGAGTACGCCCACCACCAAATGCTAACACATTGAATTCCAAGTTAAAATTTGTTATGTGTCAATTCCTGAGCCGTGATGGCCTAACTGCGACTAAGCCAGGTCGGGCATTCAAACCCCGGACCTAACTTTCACTCTAACGGGAAACGTACATCGGCATGTTTTAGAAAAATCACACCACATCACCTACTTGAAAAGACAATCGTCAAACAAATTCAATTGGAAGCCAATACCCAAAAGACGCATTCCACTAGTTAGATAGTTCTCGATTAACCAAGAACAGCTTAAATTTAAACCATTATTTGGATATAAAACTGTTAATTTAGCTTTAGATATAGCTCCGAGTGGTCGCAAGCATTGCCAATTGATCACTAAAAGGGATTATGGCTTAAATCAGTTCGTTTATTGTCAAACGAATTGTGATGTTATCAGGGTCTGGTTTCTGTCACTTAATGTACACATTTCACAGTTAGTTTTCAGTTCTTCAAATGGAGTTAACCGTGAAATTACTATTCTAAATTATATAGGCAGAACTGGTTGCAATATTCGATCAGTAATTGACTTGAACTACGGTCGTTAATACAATAATATATGAAATTGACTCAAAGCAGATATAGACGTCTTGATTAAAACACACAACAATATAAATAAATATAGGTATAAATATATTTTGTTTTAGTCAAATAATAAAACGATTTAAGTACTAGTGGCATTTCATAGGTGTTAATAAATTTTGTAATAAAATTATTTCGACATAATAAATATTTTATAAATTACTAGCTGCCCCCGCAAACTGATTTTCTCCTTAATTTGATTACGTAGCCTACCTTTTTACTACATACCAACATGGAACTAAAAATAAAAATCTAGGGGTGGACCACTCTTAACATTTAGGGGTTTGAAAGATAGATAGTAGCCGATTCTCAGACTTACTCAATGTGCATATATGTGTTCATAGAATCGGTCGAGCCGTTTCGGAGGAGTATGGGAACGAACATTGTGACACGAGAATTTTATATATTAGATTATGGTCTCCATCTGTATGTTACTTACGTTGAGTATCTAGATAAGATAGGGGTCTAAATAAGAAATTTCGAAAAATTATCGTAATTGATACACTTGCGGGACGTATGATCACTACTACACTACTCACTACAGGACACTTCACGATAGTACGCTATGCCTGTAGCTCTTTAAAATAGAACAAAAAACTAAACAAAGAGTTCGATAAACTTTACATTGAAATGAATGATTATTTAATAACTCGTCGTTAAACAGTAGAATACCAGTGATATGAATGAAATTATCAACAATTAAACATGCTTAAACACAGAAACACTCACCGGCAAAGATAAACGAATGGTTTCACTTCAACATACACAAACACTAATTTATTATATTTATGCAAGAGTCACACGATTTACCAGTTAGAAAATTCTACTATACATTATAAATTTCATATCGCACACTAAGCAAGCACGTTGGTCACGCTTACAGATTAAGGGACTCGTCACTCCCGTTTCAACCGGTATAACTAAACTTATGTGACTGTGTAGGCGGAAGCTTGGTACCTATATCCTGTGATTGCGCACTGGGAACGTTCACGTTACCGCCACCTAGCGAGAAACGCGTGAATCGTGAGTGTACAACATAATACATTGAATACTATTCAATTCTGAATCAGAATAGTAATAAATATAAAATACAATCTCTGCGTTCCAGACGCTCTGAAGGTGATTTTTTTTACAAAGTCCAGTTAATTAGTTATTCATTTAATAACTAATTTTCAATTAGTTTAGTGAAATACATTATATTGTTTTATATTACCAAAGTGACATCTCGTTTTGACTAATGATATTGAAAATCTAGTCAGATTTTTTTACGATCTTACTCATATTATTATGTTATAATATTATGAAATGCTAAATATTTACTTCTTGAACATTTATTTAATTAAATACATTATGAATTCGTTTTTACTAATTAAAAAAGGTAATCAAATAACTTTGATAATGATGGCAAGATATTTTGACACACTACTATAAATTATTCAAATGTCAGACGTCAAATGCCAATAGCCAATCGCCAGGTGGCAGGTTGGTAAATTAAACTATAGTTATTGGCTATTGGCTATACGCAAACATGTTTGTTTCTGCACTTTATAGGACTGTGTAACACTTTTTAATTTGCCATGTAAAGATTATTTTCATTTAAGTTATTAAGGCCAATTTTCTTATATTTTATATCAATAAGCTAAAATATAGAAATTATACCCGTTTTATGATTTTTACTTAACATTGTGATATGGTGATAATGACTTGTTATCGTATTGTTCTAATTTATTTAATATTTGCAATAATATGTGTGAAAACCGAAGAGGAAACTGTGCAGAAAATGACAAAGGCTGAAAGAAGAAGCTTAAGGTAAGACCTCGTGTAGGAAACCTTGATGTCCTTGTTGTTCTAATGAATATAATTAAGTGTATGCTATGATTAAAGTTATATCACTACTATAATACTTCAATAGTAAAAGAAGTGTATTAGTGAATTTCATTTTGACAACCAGTCCCTGATTTCCAAACAGTCTAGGATTCCTAACAAAACGTAAAAAAATTAAACAAATCATATTATGTATGTCTACACATAAACAAATTATTATGATTATAGGTGATTCATAAAACTTTTCATCATATTGTCATTCTTAATCAAGGTTTATATAATTCATCATGGTTATAGTCAGAGTTTCTTTTAATATAAATAATGTACTAAATCACACAACCCAGAAATACAATATCTTAATCCTAATCAAATGAGTACTCTGTTTAGATAGATAAGAGGAAGAATCTATACTATTATGTTTAATAAGAGTCCATTTCATAATTATCAAATACTTTAATGAGCTTGGGAGTAACCATACTAGAAACTGAAAACTAACCCAGACTACAAACTACCTTCGTAAATAATGAAGATTGGTACCTGCATATTTTTTACAGAAATCTCAAATACAAACATAACAAATACTGTTGCATTAATTGCCCCCTTATGGTTGCATAAGATAACTCAATTTTGGGCACTGGTTACTTAACAACAAACAACACTTTTACATAGATTTTTGTTGTTGTTGTGCTTCTTTTTTCAAAATGTATAATGTAGTACAATCATTATTTTCCAGGGAAGAATCAAGGCGTATGTTTTATCATGCATACAATGCATACATGGATAATGCATATCCTGCTGATGAGTTAATGCCCCTTAGCTGTAAGGGAAGGTGGAGGGGTGTTACCCCCAGTCGAGGGGATATGGATGATGTTTTGGGCAAGTAAGTACTAGTTACATAGTTGTGTTGAATGTGACTTTTGTTTTGATTGATATAGCATCAGATTATACTATATAAATCAGTTATAATTACAGTAATTTTCCTAAATTACTTTATCTAATTAGTATTATTACATACTATGAATTTAGGATTCATATATTGACCACTGCTTAAGGCTAACATTTAGATACAATGTTTACACACTACATTGACTGAGTTATCAGTTACTAAATATATATTCAACATAAAGTATAATATCCAATAGAACATTGAAAATGTGTTTTATAGATTATAGATAAATTTTGTTATAGATAAATTTCATCCATATATGATACATAGTTAATTAGTTTTGCAATAAAATCTAGTACAACTTCAAAAATACTTGATTGATTTTTGTTTATTGCTTATTAACAAAAGAGAATATTTTTAAGTGATAGATTTTAATCCTATTGTGCGATGTAACTTGAGAAAATTAAATATTACAAATGGTTAAGAGGTTTTTGGAGGACATATTATAATAAATTAATATATTGTATACTGCTGCTGGCGATTTTTAATTATTTTTGTGCATGTAATTGGCAAATTAGTATGTTCTTAATTGCTTGGATATTACCTATTGTGATTTAGTAGTTATCAAGGCCAAATTAAATTATTATTGAAATATTAGAAATATGTATGAAATGCATTTTTTGTAGTAATAAATTGAATTATACAGAAAGTAGACTGCTTCAGATTATCATTAGAGTCTTTTAAATAATTTTTGTGGACACTCTGGAGATTTGGTTGATTATGGAAGGCTGATCTAACCTATTAATATTGCTTAGCACACATTGATTGAGCGATAGTACTAAATAACTTGACACAAATTGTGTCGTAAATGCACCAATTTAGCTGCTGCGGCGATTGATTTATTCTATTGCCTATAGCTATCATATATGCTTTTGAATAATTAATTATTGTAGTGTATTATATGTTAGATTATCATATTAACTATTCATTTATAAATAAAATATAGTATGTAGTTATTTTCCAAAATTTTGCCTTTCTATGTTTAAAACTATTTTTCTTTTTCAGTTTCTCACTCACTTTAGTAGACAGTTTGGATACATTAGCTGTCATGGGAGATTTCTCAGAATTCAGTCGGGCCATAAAGCTGGTTATACATGATGTAACATTTGATCATGATATTATTGTGTCAGTTTTCGAGACAAACATCAGGGTGATTGGGTGAGTTACAATTATCTAATAACATCAGTAGGTTTTATTTTCTTCTCAGTAATTTCCTTCACCTTCATTTTGTAGGCCTTTGTATCGTTTCTTTGTACAATCTTTGTTATAGTACGAGATCCCGCTGCAGGATTGGTGCGCTCATCGACTATTTGTTTAAAACCAAATTTTTATGTTTATTTATAATTAAGAGAATATATATTTACTAGGGTGCCTATCAAAATTTGGCCGCAATTATTTTTAATTAAATTATTTTTAATTGATTTTTGGTAAAAAAATTCAAAAAAAAAAAATAAAGTACCAGCCAGCCATTCTGGGCTGAATTTGTTGCAATTTTTAAATTTGTCATTTTGAAAAAAATTACATATTTTTTGGAGTATTTATTATAAGTCGTCTCTATTACTCCCCGGTGGTTGAGAACACTAACGTTCGACGCATGCGCAATGGCTTATGGGGCATCCACACGCTGGCTGTTTGTCACAAACACCGCAAAAAGCAAACGAAGTCCCAAACACCAACCACAATCACCCAACACAAACAGCCATCCACATGCTTGGCGAACGTTCATAACATTCCGAATCGGCAAACATGGCGGACGACGAGCTTGTTGCAGCTATTACTTTCGGGTTGACATATTTTTATTATAAATTAAAGCAAGAGAAAGAAAAAAGGAAAAAAAGAAGAAAGCAAAGACGATGGTGGATGATTAAAATACATAGAAAGCGTACAAGGCTTTAGACCTATTATTTGAGCTTTACTTTGCCGTGTTTTTTTTTAATTTTACTTAAAAGTTACTTAAAAATTTCAGAATCGTAGGTGCTCCAATCAGACATTTTTTACGCTTTGCGCGCCAACGAAAGTGTAGCAAGTAAATACGTCCGCCTCCCGCAAGCTCGCGCGCATACTGATCGCTGCCAAACGTGTGGATACGTAGCAAACTGTTTGCCAAACATCCTTTGATCTGGCAAGATAAACCGACACCGATGCCGAACACTGCCCAACACGAACACAAACAGGCAAACAACGAAAAACACCCATCCACACGTCCGTGTTTGCTGTTTGCTGTTAGCTGTTTGCCATTGTTTGTCAAGCGTGTGGATGGGCTTTTAAAAGCGTCGCACAGCCGACAATCGCTGTCCTCGTCTGACAAATGATGTTACGCGCTAACTCTCTTTCACTCTACCTTAAATATTTATTATCTTTAACAGCCAGTAGCCCTTATTTGCGGCCAGATTTAATTAAGCAACTTTATATGATAATTAATAGAAAAAAATTAGCTTCAATTTGACATATAATTAATAAAAATAGGTTATAAACGTATAAATTTATCGAAATCATACCTGTTTACACCTGGCTGCAAAGAGGTGCGGCCATGTGCGCAACGGCACCCGTGATTTTTTAGAATCTTCATATTAATTACCGTGATGTAGACGTTATTTTATTTAAATAATAAATGAACGAAATTTTTTACCAAAAATCAATTAAAAATAATTTAATTAAAAATAATTGCGGCCAAATTTTGATAGGCACCCTAGTAAATATATATTCTCTTAATTATAAATAAACATAAAAATTTGGTTTTAAACAAATAGTCGATGAGCGCACCAATCCTGCAGCGGGATCTTAGACCATTATTTAACATTATTAATATTGATTATTATGTACATGAACTTAGAAATTTTATTTTGTTTATTATCATTCAGAGGCCTGTTATCTGCCCACGTGCTGGCCATGGCTCTGAAGACTGAAGTTCCAGCTTTACAGTGGTACAATGGTGAATTATTGGCTAAAGCTGAAAATTTGGGTAAACGACTTTTACCAGCGTTTAATACCTCCACTGGAATACCTCATGGCAAAGTTAGTATTTTTAATATAGTTTATACTTATCTGACAGTAATTTATAGCTGTGATATTTAGCAAGAATTTCAATACTTGAATTTAGATTATGATTAACACATTTTGCCCTTTACATCTCTGTAAGGAGCTTTTTAATTTAAGTGTTAAAAAATAAATCAGTGGCGCTACAACCTCGTTAGGTCTAGGCCTCGGATTTCTTAATCTATTTCATGATCATTTGTCAATCTTATAGGCAAGTAGGTGATCAGCCTTCTGTGCCTGACACACGCCGTCGACTTTTTGGGTCTATGGCGAGCCGGAACCTACAACCTCAGGGATGAGAGTCGCTCGCTGAAACCATTAGACCAACACTGCTCAATCTAAGTGTTACCGTATTAAATTCAATTGTATTAGAATGTTGGACGTCTTTCTCTTCAGAATCTGTAACTGATAAATGGCACTGTATTAATTTACATAAATTTATAATTTATGTAAAAATATCAAATAAGTACAGGTTGTTAAAATAGTTATCCACTTTATCACAATGTAAACATAATTTTACAGCAAACAATAACTGAGGGCCTTAGTTAAAACAATGTAATAATTTTCAAGGTTAATCTTCGCCACGGCGTCCGATGGATGACAGAATCACGTGAAACATGTACAGCTTGTGCAGGAACTATGATATTAGAGATGGCAGCGCTATCCCGGCTAACTGGCAACCCTATATTTGAGCAAAAGGCCCATAAAGCTATGGACGGGCTGTGGAAGATAAGACATAGGTATATATAAGAAAAATATTTGCGTATGTTTATTGCAGGTAGCACTGTTTAGGTCTTTTGTACCACCAAAACAACCAAATCCTTTAAAATAATATGATAGACGTATAATTGTTAGACAAAAAAGATCTAGGCTACAAATGATGCAGATCTTAATGAAATCAGGCGTCTGCCGAATACCAGATACAATCTGAAATTACCCGTAACATTGAGCAGCTTCAGATCGCAATTGGATGTTTTTTGCAATAGATTTGGAATACACGTCACAAACTTCAATAAAAGCATTAGGGAAAGGACTTCCGAGACGGCGGAGCCCCGCCTCGTCTGTGAATGTTAGAAATATTCAGGGCCTCAGTCCTTTCGCGAGTTCCGTAACAAGTGAAAACTAGATATCAATCGAAATCATGTGAATAAAAATATTATGTTTAAGGTCAACTAAACTTGAACATAATAGTTTTGTTTAATCCGTCAATTCGTATATAATTTTTCAGAACATCAGATCTCATGGGGACAGTCATAAATATCCACTCAGGCGACTGGGTGAGGAGAGACTCCGGTGTCGGCGCAGGAATTGATTCCTACTACGAATATTGTCTGAAGGCCTACATTTTATTAGGCGATGAAAAGTATCTGGCAAGATTTATAAGACACTACAATGCGGTCATGAAGTACATAAGCAGGGGTCCTATTATGCTGGCGGTACATATGCATAGGTGAGAATCATATGGAGTATAACAATCTGTGTTGGTGTAATGACTTAAGCGACTATCATCTCTGAGGTCGTAGGTTCGAACCCCGGCTGTTTACCAATGGACTTTGATTCAGGAAAACATTGTAAGGAAACCGGCCTTAGACCATTGATATACAAAAAACCCAAGATGCACACTCAACGTCAAAAAAACGTCCTCAAAAAATGAGCGCAACATTCTAAATTGTGCGCTCATTTCAAATAGTCTCGCGTCTACAAGTGGAGTCGATGTTATTTATTTGTGTTTTTTTTATAAATAAATTTATGTACTCTTGAACTTCTTTGTGTGTAGTTTTCGACAAATATATTTACGCTATATAAAGTGTGGGTCAGGAGGTAGCCAATTTAACATTTTTTTTTTAATTTAAAGAAAAAACTTTTTAACCGGATTAAAGTTATGTATTATTATAAATTGACAACTATTTAACATCCAACACCTTTTGTCTTCAGTCACCGTGACCACTCACGCTGTAAAGCACCCGAAAAGTCGGATAAATTTAAAATTATGTTAAATAGTTGTAAATAAAAAAGTCATGTTCGACTCCACTCAATACCTTGTCCTACCGACCACGGTCAGTCGTAAAATTTTATTGCTTTAAGTACGTATACGCTGCGTTGTAATAACAACTTTAAGCAATTCGCGTAAGGTTGATTTTGCAATAATATATGCTTGTAACATATACTGTTATGGACAGAAATATTGTTTCGGGACACTTTCGAGCGTTACTTTTATATGAGACTGTGCATCTTGGGTTTTTTGTATATCAATGCCTTAGACCTAAAAGGGTGACGGCGTGTTTCAGGCACAAAAGCAGATCACCTACTCGCCTATTGTTTTTTCTAAAAGGTATGATACTACAAATGATCAACATAATATATTAGTTACAAATTGGTTCACAAATTAAGAGCGTAGACTGGTAGAGCGTACTGGTTCACAAATTAAGAGCGTAGACCAGATTGGCAAGAAAAGATTCGCCAGTCTTCCTTTTTGAAAATAAATAAAGAATAGTTGTTGTAAAAATCTTTCAGGCCACATCTCCAATCGCGGAATTTTATGGATGCTCTGCTGGCCTTCTGGCCTGGTCTTCAAGTACTCCTTGGTGATGTGAAACCAGCTGTCGAAACCCATGAGATGTTGTACCAAGTGATGCAACGACATACATTCATACCAGAGGCATTTACCAGTGATTTTCAGGTAATTTATTTTGCTAAGGCAATAAAATTCAGTTGAGATCTGTCCAATTCCTTTCTAAAAATATTTTATGTTAGATATGTTTTGTGGGCTACAACTTTACAATATATAAGCTTGTTACGCGCTAAAATCTTTACTTTTTTAATGTGTATTTCGTGACGAACACTTTTAATCCCCACGTTAACTATGGTATTTGTTACCTTAGTTAACGATTCTTGGGGTAAAGCACAGCACTATATTTAATCCATTCCATTAGTTTCTTTGTATTGTTTGTGCTGTGAATAAATCAATGTTATTTATTAAAAGGAAATTATATTCATTTGAGTTGTATATAAACAGCTGTGCGAAACATTTTGAGAATAAACCCAGATCAATACGCCCTCAATAGGTAGTTGATGCCGTAGTTGAGACTAAGATAAACAAATTACCAAGTAATTATATGTTTTGGACGCATGGAAGAAGATACACTAAAAGATTAACTGTTTGGCCTTAAACTTGAATCTCAGGGTTGTATTTAGAAACGAAACTTAAGCCTCATTCATGCATGCTAAACATTTGTCTAGCAATAGTTGATCAATATTGTTGATGAGCGGCAGGAATGTTGCTAGAAACATTGTTTAAATCAATATAGGATGTCCTCGCCAGTCAGCGTTTAAATGTTGCCCGAGGATGTAGTGTTGTTGTGTTCTCTGTATGTGATGTATAGGATGCTTTTGATTGAAACAGTTACTATTAATTGCATTATTTTATCATTTCTCCACACGATTATAAACGATCGCAAATACGATAACAATTGTTGATAAACAGATGTTTACCATCAATAAGAGGCTTTAGCGCTAAGTGTGAAAAATATATTGGATTTTGAGTACTGCCAATGACCAGCCTGCGTATCGTCTATTGACATGGCTGAACAATTTTCCAGGTTCACTGGGGCCAACATCCCTTGCGGCCAGAATTTCTAGAATCCACCTATTTCCTCCATCGTGCCACAGGTGACGATCACTATCTTCAAGTTGGCAAAACAGTTTTAAAAGCGCTGCAGCAGTACACCAGAGTGCCATGCGGTTACGCAGCTGTCAATGATGTCAGGACGAGAATCCATGAGGATAGAATGGATTCATTCGTCCTGGCCGAGACATTTAAATATTTATTCATGCTGTTTGGGGAAGACAAGGATTTGCCGATAAAGTTGGAGGATTATGTGTTAACTACTGAGGCACACTTTCTTCCACTTTGGCTTGCGACAGATGGGAAGAACTCCACTTTGAATATCCGGGTGGATGATGAAGATGATGATAAGTATAGAAAGTAAGTTGAATGTGTTTAAAGCTATTTCTTGGCTGCTCATGATGAAGGGCGATCTAAAATCCTATTTCTGGTGATAATAGTTATTGATTGCTTTTGTATTTTTTTTCTTATTATTATTAATTAATTACTAATTACTTAAGATGTCATGTGAAACATGGTGTAATGGTTGCAGCAATAAAATATTTTGTAAAACAATCTTGGCGTTAAAAATGAGTGGCGGAGAGTTTCAATTCTTCTCTTCCGTTCTACGCCCTTGATTTGAGAACTGGCAGTAAATGTAACATTAAAAACATTTATTCAATATATATGCATTTCTTTTTGAAGTTCATAAGTGTACATTGTGTTACCTAAATGAATAAATGATTTTAATTTGATTTGAATAAATTAATAAAAACTTAATCAAACCAATGGATTCTTTCGTTTCTTTCTATCAATTGCGTTTATGCTGTGATGAAAAGAGACAAAGTACTTTAGTTAGTTATTAGATTTATTTTTAACATATTCATTATTCACGGATGATATGATATTCTTTCAGAACATGCCCGAACACAGCGACCCTAGATTCTGAAAAGGTCCGGCGTCCGATGCGACAAATGTTAGGATCGTCCGCGGCACGACCACCCGCGAGGCTGCTGCCTTTGAATGACCCGAGGCAAGTTCACGCATTGTCTGATATGGGAATATCAGTCTTAACGCTGCCAGACGGAAGGGTACAATTGCTTTATACTACTAATACGGTGAGTCTGTTTATAACATGAAATTAGTGGACATACTAATTCTAGGGTCCATATTCTAACGCAGTGTTTCCCATCCTTTTTGGGCCATGGGCATGGCATACATTAAAACATTGAATTGTTTACTTAAGAAAATTAAATGATAGGTTTTTGGGAATAAATGTAGAGGAAATTGTTAACGAAGCAGGAAGTAAATCTTGAAAATATATATGCTTAAAAAAAGCTTTACGAATATCCATAGCGCAAAATCACCTGCATCATGAACATACCCACCCACATACACACCTTCACGTACTTACCCTCACTTTTACACCATCATACAACACAACCAAATTAGGTACCACTTAGATAAACGTATTGAATAGTTTTTATTTGTTTGTTTCCTTTTATAAATTTTTGAACCTTTTTGTAGTTAAATGTATTATTATGTATTCCATATTTGGCTATATTTTCAATGTAACTGTTTGTTATTGTATATAATTCATGTTAGCTGTAGGTTTACAAAATAAAATAAAAAAATAAAACATAATGAAATACTAAAATTCAAATTACAAATAATTTTAATAAATTAAATACCATAATGTACCACAGTGGTAAACATTGTTCTAACGTATCTCAGTCTCCTTTTGTGCGCTGTAAAATGTCATACAGAGAAAATGGTTTGGTCTTGAAACTAGATAGGAATAAGTTTGATTGACATCCTAGAATTCGGGCTTAGAATTATAAAGTTTTATATATTATTGGCATCAACATTTTTGTTAATCTCAATTTTGATTCTGAACCGAAGGAATCTTTCGCTGTTTGAAAGGAAAGCTTGTAAGTAGGAAAAGCTTTTGTGAATTTAATTATAATTTAAAATATACGTTGTATTAGTCACTGGAAAGTTTAACACAAATGGGATTATTGATACTACAAGTGTTATTGAGAGAAATCTACATAGCTTTATGGCTTTAAAAGAGTTATGGCGTAAGATGATTTATAAGTAATCAGTAGTTTATCAAAGAATCCATAATTATATTGATTGTTTTACGGTCAGAATCGAGGTGTCGTAGCATGCTTATAAATAATATTCCTGTCTAATCCTGTTTTCGAGATTAATTTCGACAGAGACTGTTTTTGATTAAAATATAACGTGTTAGAAGTTATCAGTATGGCCTGGCGAACATGCCCGAAGCACTGCAAAAGCGTGGCAGTTCCGACAGCATCCTAAAGGGTTTTTATTGAACGCGGAAGGCACTTAGCGAGTACCGTCAAAATCTTAAAAGGTTTCCACCCTGCCAATTTAATAATTTGAATAATAGGCAAGCACTCCGTGTATGGGCTGCCAGCTTCAAAGGCCATGTACTTACTACTGCGTCGGTGCCAGCAGTACCATCATCGGCATATCTAACTCTATTAACACTGATGCTACTGACCCTGCAGTCACCAGGCAGATTGTTGATCTCGACGTTCAGTTCATTTATATATGTTAACGTAAAATTGTAAACACCGTTAGATTGTAATCTATCTCGCGAGATTATAAACTGTCGAAAGATTGTGAAACTCAGCGTACTGCTTACAATTTAACGTATTATTATTCGGTAGATTATAATCTATCGAAGTGAAACCGTCAAATTGTGAAACGGATCGCACCTCGCGCGCTGATTGGTTGAACGGAATATGCCCCGTGCCACCATATTTGTTTGTTAATTCATTTCATTTCATTTCCAACACTAACTTAGTTATTATTCAAACTTCTTACAGATTAATTTTACTTCCCAACAATTTCATATAACTAATTTTAAAGCTGTGAGTTACTTTCAACACGACATCAATTTACATTCATCAAAACAATCAATTTACATTCGACAACAATCGAATTGACAAACAAATATGGTGGCGCGGGGCATATTCCGTTCAACCAATCAGCGCGCGAGGTGCGATGCGTTTCACAATTTGACGGTTTCACTTCGATAGATTATAATCTACCGAATAATAATACGTTAAATTGTAAGCAGTACGTTCAGTTCACAATCTTTCGACAGTTTACAATCTCGCGAGATAGATTACAATCTAACGGTGTTTACAATTTTACGGTGACATATATACGTTAAAGAGTTTTGGAGACGAAATACCACCATGCTCCGCGCCACTCTCTAGTCTATGCGGTGCAGAAAAAGAGTTAGCCCAATTCACCGTATTGTTTTGGTTGCCATACCAATACATAAATAAGTTCAGCACCTCAACCGGAATACTTACCCCTATCCTCTAGTTTCCGCCATAGCACATCGTAGGTAACCAAAGCCAATAAGCCCTAATAAGTCCAAAAAGCAGGTAAAAATAGAGGTATTACGTTTGATATAGGTAGTACTGGACGGTATGATTAACTTTTAGTGAGCAGTGAATTTAAAAAACTATCCAGTCTAGAGTCCAGGATGAAGCTGGTACACTGCCATATTGCCTTGAGAAGCGTGTTCGTGGGTTTTTTAATATTATGAATTATTAAAGCAAATACTTAAAATAATTAAAAATAATAATTTGGTTAGGATTTATTGTAACTAATAATCTGAAATGGTTTTTAATCTTGTCATAAAACCTATTTCTATCTTACAAACCAATCACTGACGTGTTTCTTTAATTCTAGGCGAAATCAGCTAAAGACGCCGCCGAGGGACTGACGTTTATGCGTGAAATGTCAAAATGGAACTCTTTAAGTGAAATGGAGAATGGCGTAATCGCTGCCGGTGTGAAATTTAACGAGAAAATTTACCCGGCTGGCCCAGGCCTCTTCGGAAAAGAGATAACAGGTAACGAACGCTATATGAGCACCGCTGTATACGTTATACCAAACGATGCCTGCTCACAAATAGAGAACAGTCATGACATAGCAGGTAAAATAGCTATCGCAACACGCGGTCAATGCACGTTCGCCCAAAAAGTCAGAAACATCCAAGAAACAAATGCTCAACTTGTTATAATTCTGGACAACGTTAAAGATTCGTCACACGAGAGCACAGCACTTTTCGCGATGTCCGGAGACGGAAAAAACGACATACGAATACCAGCCGTATTCCTCTTCAGTAAAGAAGGAAACGCTTTGATCGAAGCGTTGAACAATGACCCGGAACAATTCATAGTGATCGGTGAATTTAAATCTATGAAGCAAGAATTTGAGAATACGTGTGAGGATAAGGATTTAGAACCAGTTCAAGATAAAGAGTCATTTGACCATTTGAAGAAAGTCTTAAGTCAGCTGGTCGCTCAATTCGAACTCACGCTATCGAGTGACGACCAGAAGTGTGAAGAACCTACTGATGCGTATCTAACGAGTAAACAAGGGGAAAATGTATGCAAAATTGCTTCGAATGATGGCGATTGATGTTTTTGTAAATGTGTATATAGTGTGTGTAAATAAGAAATAATGTGTGCCTTGATATTCAAGTACATCCAACATGTCACGCTGTGTACATATCTTTCCATATTTAGTTTGAAAGACACTTTGCAATATTTTTATAGTTAGCTGCAAATAAATACCCCTGTTGAAGATTATTACCGTTATTACAGGTAGATTTCATCGCAAATTTATTAAAAATGATTATATATTGTGCTTTTCCATTTGTATAAAGTCTAAATAATAAATGATTTATTTCCCTTCACCCACATAAATCTACATGTAAAATTGTTTGTATTTTATGCACGAATAATTCAGAAACCAATGTTGTGATATGGCCTAAGAAAGCCTGTTTTCCAATAATAATGTATAGTACTGTTTTATTATATATTGCAAGTTCCAATCATTGTACATTTAATTAGGATTCATAAGGAGATTGCCCATTGTTGGTTATAGAGTGGACAGGCCATGACTTAGTTTTTTATTATATTTTGCATACACGTTTGACAGCTACACTATTTATTCTAGAGAAATTATTCTATTTTAAATTAATACCACGTTATAAAACAATACTTTAAACAATTTATTAGGATAGTGGATTTTTAAAAGACGAAAGGTGGTCGGGTAACCTGTCACAAGTTGCAGACGGTAGGTAGTTCCTGAAATCCGACCGAGGCTGTATCTACTGGTGGAAACGCCCTACCCAGACTGACTGTTACACACGAGTGGGCGATGGAGTCGTTACTTCCTTCGTAAAATATGTTGAGCGAGAGCAAAAATACTTATTAAGACTAAACCCCTTAAGATGTACTGCCATTGATACATATTTATTATAGTTATAGCTATAAGTAAACAAATTACTTGGGTAATCTTCTTGAAGCATTGCCAGAAACATTGCAGTCTATGGTAGATACTTATCACCTATGTTTATGGTTATTTGGGTCCGTAACGAATTCAAATTTAGCTCTTTTTAAACCACGGGCCCGGATAAGTTTGTAGATTAATGAAGTTTATATTTATTTAAATATTTGTGGATTTTCGTATTTTTATTTCACATTGAATGTTACAGGATTGTGTTGGAATTTTTATGTTGTATACAAATATTTTAATTCAAGGTAGAAAATATTTTTTTTATATGAATTATTTATGAATAAAAATTTATTTGGCAAACAATATAAGTCTTTTATTATAGGAGTGGATCGGACAGTAGCACTGGGGCCCTTCAAGTTTTACGTAAGCACTATAGGAAGGAGGGTCTTGATTTTGTTATTTGGTGATTAAATCAACAGTAATTATTTACTTTTTTACACATATTAACCACACATTGTCTATGCTTGAAAATGAAATGCATTTTCGAAGATTCCTACAAAAAATTAATACGTTTATGTACTATTATTTTTGTGAGCTTTGCTCTCTTTTACTGACAAGAGGTGGGGGGGGGGGGATAAATTGCAGTAAATCTGCTTACGTAATCCTTGAACGGCCCCTTCGGACCTTTGACCTGGAGCCTTATAAATATGGATATAAGTATAAATAAAAACCACAATAAAACATTAATATTTTATATAAATTATAAACGAAAATACAAAAATAAAAAATACTGTATGAATCCAAGTACCTCAGATGTCTACGACAGAGACAGAGAGCACTAAAGAAACACTAACGGTACACTCTAATTATATAATTATTACTGACTGATTATTATTATTGTTAAGAAGTGTTGTCAAACGATTTTTGGTTAAGATATCATGATTAGTAACAAGTATAAATTGGTACTTTTAAATTTTCTTTGTAATAAGGGTTAGTAACATCGTTAAATATTTGAAAGGGTCATTTCACAATAGGACAATTTTATCCGCATCACGTTTAGTTTAACATAATTAATAATATTTTATACCAATAGTTGAGTAACGGCTCGCAATGTGATTAAGTCATCAACCATCTAAGTAAATCTATGTGTATAATATACAACAACTGAAATCCATCTTGGCATCATAACATTCATCCGAATGTTTGGGCATCCATATTTATAAAAACATCAACGATATATATATTTTTTTACTAACGATTACCCATTTTATCGTACACACAACAAATATATATTAATATTTTTCGGTTTCCATAAACAATAATTCTCTCAAGTTGAATAAAGTTTAATTGTCAGGCACAGATTTTAAATTTTTGCGCCATATTTAGTGCGCCATTAAAAGTGACATATACTTGATTTTATAGTACAACCCGAAGTTATCTTTAGACAATATTCCCTTTGCGGCACCCATTTTGTTAATTAGTACGAGTACAAACGCGGTATTGCAGAAGAAAGAAGAAGAAAGCGTTGCATAAAAATTCTGACATTATTGTCGATTTAAAAAAGGTTAACCAGAAGTCTGGAAACTTATCAGAAAGAAGAAATACAGAAGACTGAAACGACAATTATTAATTAACTGATTGTTATTATTGTCAAGAAGTATTGACAAAAGATTGTTGATTAGGATATCATGATTAGTAACAAATATGATGCAAAGCAAACTTTTTGAATTTTGCTATCTACACTGTTTCTATTTATTTATTAAATTTGCCCTAGATGCCCAAAACTTGCGAAACTCAAATTTCTCCTAAAATATAGCATAAACTGACTTACCCTGTTCGAGATAACATAATTAATGAATTCCCTACACTTATAAAGTATCAAAAATCATTTTAAAAAGTTTAGGACTATTTAACTATTCAATTGACAACAATGTTCAGTTTTAGTTACAAGTTTAAATGTTCTAGAACGTAAACAGAACTCAAAACTCAACCTCAGAACATGGACAGTGCTAGGTAATGCTATTAGAACTTGATATTAAAAATGGGCCTAAGGATAGCCCTGTTTCAGGGCGGATTTTAGGCGTCTTGCTGGTGGTGTGTAATCTGGCATTGGTACTGGCGGTTGTGGCGGCCACTCCCTGTGCCAATTAGGTTCTGCTTGTGACTTTGGTGAACGCGTTGGTTCCTCTAAGTACGAGAACGGACGGTTGTTCATGTGTGACGTGTTGGGCTGGGTGCGAAGCCATGATTCCGAACGTTGAAAGGGTCTGAAATAAATAAAGTATATCTAGGGTTTTTAAAACTACTTTGACGGCGCTATTATTTATCAGAAGAAATATAATATAATAACTAACAAATCTAATTAATGTCGATGCAGCGGCACATACGAGTATATATACAATATAAACATATATTGTTTTAATGTTTTACTAATCCAATGTAATACGAAGCCAAATGCGTTATAATTCATTATGTAACTGTAAAGCTGTCGACACACCGCAGCCGCCGGCCCGCCGGCACGGACCCGGCGTGCAAGGCCGGCGGCCTTAGTTTTAACGATGTTGCCGGCGGCTTGCGCCCGCGCGATCTTCCCAGCGGCACGCCCCTCTCCGCTCTTCACCACCGATTGCCCACCGGCTTTTAAGAAATAGTGACGCGTCAGTGTTTTTATCGACTAAACATTATGGAATCCGTTAATGAAGTGGAGAGAAAAATAAAAAATTTAACAAGTAACTAGCAAGCACTTGGCAATCACTAATTGTGAACACTGCATGCCGCGACTGTATGTCGTGCCGCCGGGAAAATTGTCAGGCTCGCAACTTCTAAAGCCGCCGGGTTCACCCGCCGGCATTAACCCACCGGGTTCGTGCCGGCGGGCCGGCGGCTGCGGTGTGTAGACAGCTTTAGGTACGTTTGTTACGCGAACTCTTAAACCGATAAGCGTTTAAAGTGATGTTGCACAATTCTACAGAAACAGCAGAAATCTATATTTACTTTGACATATCCGCTAAAGCAGTTTCACGGTCTCGCCCTCGTGGCTCGTCATCCTGGTAACCACGGTTCCATTGCTGTTGTCTGAAATTATGACGAAAATTATAAAACTGTGTTGTTTCAATGGCGTGACAAATGAACTAAGCGTTGATCGTTGATATGACATGGGTAGTAAGACAGTTATAGGTAAATAACATATAAAACATGTATAAAATTATTTAAAGATGCTAAATGTAATGCTAAAAAACGTCCAATTCTAAAACTTCGAGCTATAAAAAAATGTAATAAATATTTTTCTTGTGATAGGGTATTTTGAAATGAGATTTAATTTCCTATTTCCTTATGAGTTAAGAGAGAACCCAGTTGACGCTTGATCGGCAAAGCAGATATTACAATAGATACTTTGTAAAATGCACCTCAATGTACAAACTATTAGGTCCTTACATATGAAATTGGCGTTTTGTATGGGAGGAACAAAAAGTCGAATATTTTTAAATATAATATATTTAATTAATCAAAGTATGAACCATTGTTTTCTATGCACTTTTGCCATCTCATAGGTAGTTTATTGATCCCTTTACTAAAAAAACCAGTTGGACGGGAATCAATAAAATCTGTGAAGGCGATTTGGACTGCCCCATCAGATTTAAATTTTTACACTTGCAAGAAGTTGTCCAAATTTCGAAAAAAATGGTAATCTGTTGGACCAAGGTCCGGGGAGTACGGAGCATGTCTTAGACATTCCAATTGAAGCTCTTCTAATTTGGTAGCCGTCTGTTGTGCAGTGTGTGGTCTAGCGTTGTCGTGAAGTAGCAGTGGCGTGGAGCGATTGACCAGCCTAGGTTGTTTAGCCGCTAGCTTTTCCATCATGGTTTGCAATTGCTGACAATAGACATCAGCCGTAATAGTCTGGCCAGATTTGAGAAAACTGCAATGAACAATACAGGCACTAGTCCACCAAACGCTTACAAGTAACTTTTTTGGGGTTAATTTTCGCTTGGGGCAGGATTTGTCTGGCTGGCCAGGATCCAACCATTGCGCTGAGAGCTTCCGATTATCGTAAAGAATCCATTTTTCATCACAGGTGATTGATGATGAATCGGTTTAAAATACCTTCATTATTGTGCCGGTTCAGTAATGTAACGCAGCAGTCGACGCGCGTTTGCCGGTTTGCTTCAGTCAATTCGTGAGGTACCCATCTTTCAAGCTTTTTAATCTTCCCAATTTGCTTCAAGTGAATTAAAACAGTTTTATCACTAACACCGCAGCCTGCAGCTAACTCGGACGTGGTTTGCGATGGTTCCGCTTCCACAATAGCCTTCAATACTTCATTATCAACTTGGGTCTCAGGCCGTCCACGGGGCTTGTTCTGCAGGTCGAAATTTCCAGAACGAAAACGTTGGAACCAAAAACGAACTGTGTTTTCTTTTGCAACATGACCGCCATACACATCATTCACCCTTCGAGTCGTTTCCGCAGCACTAGTGCCACGGCGGAACTCGTACTCGTAAATAATGCGATACTTTAAGTTTTCCATTTTGTAAAATGAGTGACGCAAACAGAAAAAAACAGAAGAAAAAAACAAATGAATGACGGTCATCGAAGCAAATATACATGAGTAAATAGCTGTACAAATTTTAATTTGGAATTCCTTACCAAAGAGGAGAACATCGTGATTTAAGTGGCCAGTACGAAATACGTCAATTTCATATGTAAGGACCTAATATAAACATAGTCAGTCATCAATAAAACTATTGAAGAGATATTTAACTGCAATTCTTATTTATGGGAATATTTTTTAAATTATCGAGTATTTCGGGGTCCGGGCACAAGCTTGTTAACTTAACCTCACCCTCTAGTATCCCCAGCAAAATTGTCTGATCGCGTTCGCCAAGAGTCTATGTGTGGTCTTGGAAAACTAGAAAACACAATTTTCTTATTTGTCTTTTATAAAATGAAATTTATTTTTTGGAAGTTTTACGATATTAAGAGATATTTGTGAGGCACGAATTTGTTAAATATTAATAAATACCTACCTATATAAAATTTTCAGTGTATTATAAATACACTGAAAATTTTTAGAAAAATGAAAAACGGCTTATCCTAGAAAGTTGCCAATACTTTTATTGTTTTTCGAAGTAGTATCCGTTTCTCTCTACACATCGTCGTATTTGATTGTCCCACTGAGAAAAGCATTGGGCCCATTTTTCCTTAGGGGTCTCTTCTATGGCATTTTGGTACGCTTTCACCGCATCTTCAGGGCTAGTAAAGCGAATACCACGAATTTTATCTTTAGTTTTGGGTTCGTAGCAATATATCAAGCTTTCATCACCTGTGACGATGTCAAATACAGCATTTGAGTCACCGCCGTTGAACTTATCTAACATTTAACGACACCAGTCCATGCGAAGGTGTTTCTGGTCGTCGGGTAAAGTATGGGGAATCCATCTGGTACAAAGCTTCCTGACGCCTAAATGTTCGTGTAATATTTTTTGAACTTGACTCATACCAATGCCTAGGCTTGCCCGTATAGGTCATAGTGATAGGTCACTCTCTTATCTTCCTCTATCATGCGTCGCACAGCACTGATGTTATCTTCAGTAGTCGCTGTTAATGGACGTCCCTCGCGCGGATCATCATTGAGATTGCTACGTCCACGCTTAAACTCGTTAAACCAATTGTAAATAGTGGCACGAGATGGGGCTTTCATAAGCAATGTTTCTCTAACTGGACAATTCTAAACATTTTCAGTGTTAACCACGTATAAAATTGCTTGTGTAAAACCTACATCATATTTAAGTAATGATTAATATAGATATAATGAATATGCACTTACTCAAACGCGTTCAGAACTCCCAGCTTATGAATGTTGTGCTGAAAATGAAGTAATTATTTTACCCAGAGTCGCCAGATTTGTATGTAATTCGATTAAAACACTTGAATAATTCGGTATATTTTTCGGCTCATATAACACCTATTTCGGAATCCAAGAGCTGGCTTTTAGTACAGCTTAGTTAGTAATTTGGCCAACAAAGAACTTACCTCATTTCTGTCGTCGGATTTCTGGTGCTCAATTAAGTATATAACAATATATACCAATAAAACAGTGTTGACTACATGAAATATATATCCTTTGAGCGTTACAGACATGAGAACTAAAGCCCCTAAACGTAATATATCCGTCATATACCTCTCTTCAATTCCAGCAGAGGCATTATTCTGTAAATAAATAATATTTTATAGCGTAATTAATTAGACTATCCTAGCAGATTAATAATTCTGAAAATATATAAAGTTAAGTGCATCTTAGCTGCATCATTTATTAAACAATTACGACTGATAAAAAAATAGGGCAGCGAAGGTCCTACTGCAGCGAAAATTTGACAATTCATTAATCCCGAGGATGAAGGTAAGGTATACAAACTTAATTTGATCTAATATTATTTTTTTCACCAAAAAAAGCTGACACAGGCCCACAACAATGCCACATGTATTGGGAGTTATGGGTGTAAAAGTGTAAACCAACGTCAGCCAAACTTTTACATGCCGGACTCAATATAAGTTACCCTGAATAATGCTAAAAGTACTTACAAGTCTATTAGCCAGTGACGTCATATCTAACCCAAAGTGTGTGGCCAATGTAAGATCGACAATCAAAACCGAAAAAGATACTCCAACATACAAATATGCGGTCACCGTTAGACATGAAGAACTCTCTGGGTTGATAACAGCTGTAATGAGAGATCAAATGATAAAGGATGCTATCATCAAATGGTCTTTTATTTGTTTATTTTTGTATAAACTCTATCATTCGTCGAGCACTGATTTAAAAAAAAACAATTGCAAGAGTCTCCCGACCTGTTGGTAGGGTGAATGCTGAAGAAATTGAGGATGTTAATTTTGGTATTTAAAATTAAACTGTAATTCAACTTATGGAAAGCACGAGTTGGTGATGTCGATGCTGTATTAAGTAGTAACCAAATTTTAAACACTTGTTTTAAACTGACCAATACGCTTTCAGATTCTGCTGTATATACCAGCCTCCCACGGCTACACATTTTTTTGTAAATAAGGATAACCTATACCTATAACCTCTCGGATAATACAGCATCTTATGGTGAGAATTTTTAAAGTCAGTCCATTCGTTTTTAGTGTACAAAAATAGAAATAATTTTTCCCTATAATAATAGTGTAGTAGATTAGCAGGTATATTTACTAGCAATCAGGGATGACGCCAAGATAAAATTGACCACCGCGAATGCCAAAGTTATACATGTCAATATGAACACCGTTTGTGAACTTGTAATATCTTCTACGGACAGTGAATTTGTACAGGAATCATCTGGAATAATAATAATAATTAAAGAAATTTCTGAATCCTGCTACTTGTACTTTTCTATTAGATGATTGATGAACATAAGCTTCTTCCAACATAAAATAAATTTTAAAGGAATTAATCGAGTACTGTTTTTCAATGAAATAACGTTTCAATCGTTTCACCTTGAATAATAATAATTAAAGTATATTTTAGATGCTGCTAAAAATTAATTAATTTGCGCACAACACATTTAGTATGAATGCTCGTAAACCGGCGAACTTATTTTCTTTTCTTATTATTTTATTGGCCAGTTTATATATACATATATGTAATAATGCTAATGACATAAAAGTATAAAAGTATACCCTAATAGCTGACACAGCATGCATTACGTTTAGTTAAAAAATAATATAAAGTTTAACGTTAAATTTCGTATGCTAGGAAAAGTACGACGACAAAACAGCAAAGAAAAAAAAGGGTAGGTACCTAAGGAAATTTACGTTCTAAGGTCAATTTCAGGTAATTGAAATTTCATTATCTGATGTCGTCTGTATACTTAAAAAATAAATTAATACGTGTGAATGGCAATTTTTTTATCAATAAAGAAAATATTTTTTTAATTTAATAAAGTTACAAATGTAAAAACCTAATAACGAGTTTGACCTCTTATTATTTATTTAATTAGACTTTTCTTTATTGCCGATCACTTCTTATTGGTTGGCCGTGTACATCGGTTTTAAAGCATTCATCAAAAATTAATAAACTTCTCGCGCATTAATTTACACGATTACAAGTAATACTACGTGAGACAATTAAATTTCATTTGATTAACTGGAATCGACCTTATTACGTAAATTTCCTTTGGTCCCCTTTTTATTTATTGTTTGTAAACGTCTACATGTAAGGTGTGTATTGAATGGGCGAGGCTGTCACTCCGAGAAAGTATGGGCCCACTGAAAAGTTATTCTGATGACATCTTAAAGCTGATTTTGGCCCATTTTTAATTTAATTTAGTTAACTTAGAAATATAACTCGCGTTTTGAATCAGTTACCTTGTATGTACACTCTGTATAAAGTTGTCATAAATAGTTTGGCTCCTGACATCGAGCCGGGATCGCCTGTACTGCATGTGAATCGAAATATTATTGCTATGACGGTTAATACTATATTGACTACTGATGTTATCTGAAAATATATTGAAATTTTATACTATATAATTGAATTTTACATATTATATATATATATATGTAAGGAAAACATATTTTCCTATACAAACTCTTTTTATAATTTATTTTTCTTTGCCGTCTGATCGACGATGTTTAATTTGTCACTTGACATAATAGATAGAAACGCAGTTGCGCCTTATTTATCCCCAGTACTCGTATAAGCGATCGATACCATTATATATATATATATATATATATATATATATATATATATATATATATAATATATATATATATTATATTGATAAATATTGAATTTAAAAGTTTGGTCCCTGTGCCAGTGTGCCATTGATGCTGGCAGCATTTCCTCGATCTTATAAAATTTTCAATTTTTAATTATTATTATTTTTATTTTCTTGATATTACTCTAAAATGTTAATTTTAACTTTTTCTGAAAATTATATAACTTCTTTGTATTAAATGCGATGTTTGGGTTTGAATTAAAAATTGATTAAAACATATCGGTTTTATTTTAATCAAACTAATTTTCATTTGTAGGTACTGACTAAATTTTCCCCTTTAAACATTTTTAAGAAAAAAAATGGTTTTAGTAAAAAAAGCCATACAATAAAAGGCCGACAACGCTCTCTAACCTCTACCCCCTGTTCTATAATAAATATTGATAATGGAAGAATATATATTAAATTATCATAAAAACAAGAATAGGTAAGCTATAATATATACCAAAGCCGAACTTTATGTTTCGTTTTTGAATTGAAAATATAATATACTTAAATTAATAAATGACTAACTGACCAATATATACCTATTAACTATTGCAAATCGTTGAATAGTAAGTACTTATCGCTATCTATTTTATCAAACGAGATTAAAACAGATAGGGAGCTGACGTAGACTTATGAATTATTCCAAAATCCTTAAAGGAAGACTTGGAATGAATATTCATGAGTATCTTGAACCCAAAGGCAGAGCTGAAAGGGTGTTTTCGACCCTGATGTGAGGTTAAACTTTGTATCTTTCCACTAAAGATATTAATAAAAACATATAAAAGATATAGCACCAATTGCTATAACCCTTCCTGAGTTATAATTATGATATGGATTTATACGTTACTTCATAATAAATATAGTACACAGCAAGCAAGCTACGTTATTTATATTGTGTTAAACGCGTTGCTTCTAAAATAACACAGTGTTAAATATTTCATAATATTAATATCGATTGTTTTTCATGACAACTATTTTGATTGAAGGCTTCTCAGTTTGTGAAAATATAAATGACTTGAAGTATTTTTGGTTTTTATTGAATTAAAATATCTCCTATACCATTGTATCCACATCATTGAGAACATCTAACGGGTGGCTTTTTGATAGTGAAAATTGTTAATCTACTAATATTAGTAAATTACCGAATCTGTTTCAGTGCATAAATAAATAAAATATAAAATCGTCAAGTCGGCTACTTATTTTAGCATGAGGCAAGAAATATATTAAAAATAGTTTTTTTCAATGATATTTGGTAAAAATCCTTAAGTAAAAAAAATCAAACATGAGCAAATAAGTTTATACGAGTATGTTAGACAAGTGGGTATTATTAATTGTAGTCTCTGAGGAAATATCATCGATGGAAACCCTATTTCTCAATAGTATATAAAATATTTATTCTAATTTATATGAAGATACACACATGTGTAAAATATCGATCGTACCACGATAAAACCGTATGACACATATATTATATTATTCAGCCTTGCACATCGCTAAAACACGTAGTTTACACAAAGAATAGGCTATGTCTAATAATTATAAAAATAAACTTTAATTTAACTTTTCTGTTTTTGTTGTAAAGTTAACCAACTGCCGAACGAGGTTTTAAAATGCTTCTGGTAATTTTGATTCTCTCTTTCCATAGGATCGCATGAAACATCGATTTTATGATTTTAGTACAAAAGAGAACACAATTGTATTAATAAGAATAAAAATTTCGCAGTGCAATGTTGAACAGCCGCAATGCAGTTTTAACTAAATATAAAAACATGATATTTGTATTAGGTCTCGACATTAATCGGTTCGTAAATTAAAAACATATAAAATGTTCTAATCTTACTATTTAATGTATAGTTCTGTGAATTTTTATTTCTAATGTTACGAACTCCCGGTACTACCTAATGATGTCACCACACTATAAAAATTCAATCCATATTTATATTCATAAGAATGAAAGTAATACTTTCACTGCGTTACCTTATTTGCCCATCCTAAAAAAAATTGTTCAAACCTTTGTTTCATTATCTTTGGGAAACAAAATGTGCAAGTCGCAATAAAGCTGTACCGTACTAAAAATGTTTGATTTCTAAGGTATAGGTAATTTTTGTATACTCACGATTGTGATACTCCCCGATATTGTGGCCGCGAGACGGAGCTCAGGAGCCACCTTCTTTAGAGTCATGATTGCGCACCACCCTACGTGGTCGCTGGACAAGTTGTCGATCAATACTAATCGAACGATAATTATTATCCACATTAATAAACAATTTTATCAAATCTATTGATATAGTGTTTATCAATTAAAATATTTATAAAATTTAGTATTTGCCACTAAAACTGACAAAATATATCATATATGTATCCAGTATATTGTGTTAACGTAAAATTATAAACACCGTTAGATTGTAATCTATCTCGCGAGATTATAAACTGTCGAAAGATTGTGAACTGAACGTACTGCTTACAATTTAACGTATTATTATTCGGTAGATTATAATCTATCGAAGTGAAACCGTCAAATTGTGAAACGGATCGCACCTCGCGCGCTGATTGGTTGAACGGAATATGCCCCGTGCCACCACTTTATAGTCATCTCGCGAGATAGATTACAATCTAACGGTGTTTACAATTTTACGGTGACATATGCGTCCTACTGGGTACGCGTTTAAGTTTGCAGTGGGTACTTTAACTAGGAGTACCTACCTGCAACATTGCATTTTTTAATTTCCAACACATTATTTAAATATTAAAATTAGTTTGACTAAACAATATATTAACAAATTTTGTATAATTTATACATTTTTATAAACAAAATAAATAATGTTCACAAAGAAATATTGTTTTTAATTCAGTATTCCACAGCGATTTCCGACAAGTCATGTGATACCTGGAACTCGACTTTGCAGTGGTATATACCTCGAACCGGGTTCAACATTTAAGATGCTGACACTACACAGATGAAGAATGTGAAAATGATAGACTGCCAGCTATTCAATATGTATTGATATCCGATATATATATCTCGAATAAATTTGAAGTACATTGTATACGAGGAGTCGGTGTTTCGTATTATGATTCGAATACTGGGTATTGATAGTGAATTACCGTATTTCCCAAATAAGAAAAATATGCAACTCTTACCTCAATACCATCTGCGCCTGCCTTTTGTGAAAATTACCATGTATGTTCTAAACCGCTTTAATAAACTCAGTACGAACTTTGGTCTCAGTACGTACTCAGACCAAAGAGGCGGATATACCCCACTTCCACAGATAAAAGTTATGCACTGGTATATTCAAGAAGTGTAATATATCTATGCAAGTTACAAAAACTGTCAGGTATACGTCAACAGCTGTAAAATGTGAAAACACTTTTAGATCTGAACAAAATTGCAGTGAATTCCATCTAATACAATAACTGGCTAGGCATCATGGTATGCCAGAGACTGAAGCAATTCTTGCCTGTTTACTTGCTTTTGCCTGGCTCTGGCGATTAGCGAGTACTGCCTATGCCGCATATTCCATCTCTTACACTTTGGGTAATTATTATAAATTAAGGGTATTAGGTATTTTAAACGGATAAGCCTCAATAAATTGAAGAAGGCTTTATCTCGCTTAGTTATTTGTGCAAAACCAAATGCTATAAAAAAATGGTGTCTGTATATGTATAAATTTTGTTCACAATAATCAGTTTTATATACTGCAGTTAGTTCTAAGATACAAAAACAATAAAAATAGCCTTGATATATCAGTAATAAATCTTTCCTTAAGCAGCCCCTAAATCGCATCGGTTATAGGCTTGCTATACTTGTGGTGTTCAATATGATAGTAGAAATTCCCATGGATGGATGATTTCAGGATTCAATCCAGGTGCGGCGATAGGAACTTATTAAATCAACTTTACCGAGGCGCAGAATAGAATTTACCTGAGTATCTATTTCAGCCAATTATATAGCCAATAATTGAAAGTCTGTTAAAGTCATATTTTATTTTCATTCAGGACCGGATTGCCTAGGGGCGGGATTCAAGTACTTCATTGCGGTCTTACAGATTGTCATCAGCTTAGTTTTGAATGTTCTGCCCTTAGCAAAATTTCCTCGGATCAGTCTGGCGAATCGTATAATAAGTCTACCATCACAAGCCTTCACTTTGTACTATGCTAATGCGTATATAGCACCGTTTATAGATAGTAAACGGGTGACGATATTAATATATGTGATAACATGTATGTGCCTTGTGGAAACTGTGTATAAAATCTACGTGGACTGGTCAAGAATTGAGTAGAAACTCAAGGAAGTTTATAAGTTTTTGAATTATCTTGCAATTGTCAGTGAGCTAGGACCCGTAGGAGCTAGAATCACATAGGTGGATTTTGGTAATAATCTATAGATAAATCCCATTTTAAATATTCAGTTTTTGTTTCGTTTTTAAGGAGAAGCAAACCATGTTATTAAACCCGAAATAAACTTTTTTTACTAATATTTATCTTATCTTTTTTCACAGCCCAAACACAATGTAATAGAAAGAGTGCCAATACTAATTCCAAAAAATTGACTGGACTGATTATTATCTCATCTCTTATCTTGTCGTTCGTTTGCGCGTCTTATTTACAGTGTTATCCGATCATACTTTTCATCCATCAATACTATGTCAATTGTAGCAACGTGTTTAGGTAATATATCAGGTAAATAAACTGGTTCTAAAAGTCGGCTAGCAGTTTGAATGTCCATAGGTGGCGGTGGCAATTAACACCATCGAGTTTGTTGTGTGTTTGTCTTTTGTAAAAATTATTTATTTCTATGCACCAACGGAATCATCATGTCGAAGAAAATTTTAAAAATCAATATTAAGATATTCCTCATAAACAAAAATGTACCAAGTAGTTGATTGAACAGTTATCTAGTATTTATAGATGTTCAACTGCATTGATTGTATTTTAAAATAAAACAAATGTTGTCATGATCAGTTTTATTAAAATTATCAAAATTAAAAATACCATTCACTTCAAACACAGAAATGTATAAGCATGAACAACAAAATGCCTTATAACTTTAAACAACTGTTTGCTCCGATTTACTTAACTTCAATATGTTTATAATGTAATAGATATATATCATGTGTTCCAAAGTGTGATCAGCACGTTCTTTCACGGAAACTTAAGCGTTATTACTTATGTCATAAACATCAAATATTGGCGTTTAAGTTATATAGACCACAAGCCCATGAACAAAAAATACCTGTGAAATGACCCAACGTGAATTACGCTTAGAAGGCTGTTACTATATCTGAAAATAGCTCTGAGCACTATGCCGTCATTTCTGAGCGGTACATGTGAGTACATGAGTGAATGGACTTTCTCAGGTACAATTGGAGAATTTCGACTAATTATTAATGTACGGCTTTGTTATAAGTGTATAGATGATTAAAAATAAATGTCGAAAAACCTAGTGCCGTACTAAAGTGATGGTGCCGGAAGTCGGTGCAAATTTTTAATTCGACGACAGTTGCAGAAGCAATATAGGTCATTTATTACTGTACGGCATTTGTGTGACTCCTTTTGGACACATATACAGATACTTTACCCGTAAACGCCGTAAGCGGTCGAAAGCCAAGGGTCGGAACCCTACCCCTACACCCATATACCCTAAGGTCATTGTAAAATGTACGGCAACATGTTCAAAATATTATTAAACACGGACAATAATGTTTTATAATTATGCCGTCCAAAAATTATAGTTAATATTTGTGTAAATAAATATTTATCGAAATTTCAGGATTTACCGAGTTATTACTTCAGTAAGATCAGAGAATAATGTACGGCAACTTGTTTTTTTACATAATGTTACTAAATGTTACCGTTGTACCTTATAGCCGTTCATTATAAATGGTAACAAATAAAAATATTATGATAAAAAATATATGAAATTTCCGAAATTTAGATGATTTTTCAAATATTCCTAAAGTAATATGAGGAGTAATATTTTCAAAGATTATTGTTATTTTATATGTAACAAATATAAATAAACAAAAAAAACCAGATGCCGTACATTTTGCTCCAGATTATTCTTTACAGCTGATAAAAACTTCGACGACGTTTGAGGTGTCCCTTAAGGTCATTTATAACTGTACCTATCTGAGTATACTACCATAAGGCTGTAAAGTATATTTACAGCCTTATCGTATGAGCAGAGAAAGGTAAAGGAAAAGTATTTTTAACAAAAATAAAAATATAATACAGGGCGTCCCAAAGTTATGGGACATGAAGGGAAAGTACCTTTAATATCGTAAATAGAGTATTTTACTGAAAGAAGACTTTACGTTATTTTTAAAAGTTAGTAAGTCTGCATTAAAAGATTTTGAAAAAATTACTAGCCTCGTCTGGAAATCGAACCGGCTTAAATGTAAAAAAAACACCCCTACTTTTATGATACCAATCGAAAGAATGACCAAAACCTAATAACTTTTCTAAAGTAACAAGACTAGTAGGGGATTTTTTTAGGCCGAATACGATAGATAATATTTTTAATTTGATTAAAAAGATATATTCACGCAGTTCCTTTCTTTTAAAATTCTATGTTACTTAAGAAGAGTTATTAGTTTTTGGCCATTCTTTCGATTGGCATCATAAAAGTAGGGGTTTTGTTTTTACATCAAAGTCGGTTCGATTCCCAGACGAGGCAAGTAATTTTTAGAAAATCTTTGAATGCAGAATTACTAACTTTTAAAAATAACATAAAGTCTTCTTTTAGTAAAATACTCTATCTACGATATTAAAGGTACTTCCCCTTCATACCCCATAACTTTGGGACGCCCTGTATTGGTAGGCGGTGGTATAATCTGCCATTTCACAGACTAGCGGACTATCGAAAGTGTACGGCATTTATCTTTTATTGAAGATTGTCTAAAGTATTAATAACCTGTGTTATTGCCGTACAGATAAAAGTCACTGGAAAATGACTCTTTTTCGGAGGGAAGTAATTTACCCCATACACCTATGTGTTCCACAAAAAATGTACGGCATGCTGGAAAATGTTACCTATTTGTGAAGAACTCTCAAGATCATTTAATTTTATGTTGTTCTATATCATCATCACCTATATGCTAATCAGACATATGTTGCGACCCTTGGCTTTCGACCGCTCCGCTGGAAATATGTACGGCGTTTACGGGTAAAGTATCTGTATATGTGTCCAAAAGGAATTACGCAAATGCCGTACAGTAATAAATGACCTATATTGCTCCTGCAACTATCGTCGAATTAAAAATTTGCACCGACTTCCGGTACCATCACTTTAGTACGGCACTAAGTTTTTCGACATTTATTTTTAATCATCTATACACTTATAACAAAGCCGTACATTAATAATTAGTCGAAATTCCCCAATTGTACCTGAGAAAGTCCATTCACTCACGTACTACATGTACCGCTCAGAAATGACGGCATAGTACTCAGAGCTATTTTCAGATATAGTAACAGCCTTCTAAGCGTAATTCACGTTGGGTCATTTCACAGGTATTTTTTGTTCATGGGCTTGTGGTCTAATATCCTTGCTACATATGAGAATCTCGAAGCTATGCGTTTTCATAACATAATCGGACATCCACGCCTTATATATAACTAGACTATAATTACGTTTACAATGGACAGAGATAAATATATTAGCAAAATGTTAACTCTTTTTAATTTCTCAAAGAGAGCAACGTTTTTCTGTGCTCAAAACTTATATAAAAAAATACTTAATATTTAATTACAGAAGAGGTAATCTGTAATCACTCATAGTATTATTTATTATAAAAATATTGCTTAAATGTAGACGAAACGGGTTGTATCATAACATAATTTGACAATTCTGAAATTAATAAGAAGGTTCTTGGGATGATTTAAAAAAAATCTGTTTTTGTTTCTGTTGCTGTTTTCGTAGTCAGTAACCAACGAAGAACTTTCCGTCATACAAGTAAGAACATTGAGGAATAACGTTAACAGGTCTGAGTACATTGTGCTTGACTCTGAGAGTAATGGCGCGTCTAAACGGGCCATGTTTTGCTGCAATTGATGGCTGCAACACTGTGGCCGGCAACATTGCAAACAATAGCAGCCACACTATGCAATATTGCAGTTATGTCCCGGCCATATAGCCAAACATGTTTTGTATAGCCACGTATGGCCGATGTTGCCCCGATGGGTGGCCGGACGATCGCTAGGCTATCGAATTCAACTGCAATATTGCACAGCCAGTTCTCTTGTTGTTTCAGTCACTCTCTTTGTTATGGCATAGTGTATCCTTTTCTACGCGACATGACGTTTGCTTTGAGTGAAGTGCGCGTGTTGCTTTATTCTGTGTTTTGCGATCAGCTGTATTTGACGTTAGATTACTACGTAAAAATGACTACTTTTGACATTCTAGTTCTTGAATAATTTATTATCAAGACTTATTTCTAGACTCAAATTGTCTACAGTTTCACGCCTATTTAAGTAAGGTCGAATCCACAATCTCTTCTTTTTCTGTTTCTTTTTTAAAACAATATAAGCTGCTGCGACAAGTGTGATTTCGTCAGCCATTGTTGCCGGTTTGTGTAGCCCGTTTAGGAGTCTGCATCATGGGCCATACTATTGCAGACATATTGCAACATATTGCCCAGCCATAGATTGTTCGGCCATCAGCTGCATTAAAATATTTTTGTAATGGCCGGGCAATTAGTGGCCAACAGTGCAGCCATCAATTGCAGCAAAACATGGCCCGTTTAGACGCGCCATTAGACAAGCAACTAACGTAAAATTTTTGAAATTTTTAAAATAAAGAAAAGCTTTTACTTTACTCATGAGCCAACGCGTTTAATAACAAATGTTTCGATATTAAGTTTCTTAGGATTAGGTTTAGAAAAGAGTCTTAGCCTATCATTCCCGTATGTCAAAATCTAATACGTTTTTGACATGTGGGACTCAGACTTACCCTTACTAACCCGAAGTCCGATCGTAGAATAGACCACTTCGTGATGTTCATCTGAACCTTGTATCTTATGGTTACTAGTATTGTTACCAAAATATCCGCCTCTACCGGTAAATAACAATTTCATCTAGCATTTATTCATTATTACATGAAAGAGTGTGGCTACATTATGGCGCTTCTAAACGGGCCATGTTTTGCTGCAATTAATGGCTGCAACACTGTGGCCCGGCAACATTGCAAACAATAGCAGCCACAATATGCAATATTGCAGTAATGTCCCGGCCATATAGCCAAACATGTTTTGAATAGCCACATATGGCCGATGTTGCCTCGATGGGTTGCCGAACGATCGCTAGGCTATCGAATTCAACTGCAATATTTTACAGCCAGTTCTATTGTTGTTTCAGTCACTCTCCTTGTTATGGCATAGTGTATCCTTTTCTACGCGACATGACGTTTGCGATGAGTGAAGTGTGCCTGTTGCTATATTCTGTGTTTTGCGATCAGCTGCATTTGACATTCTAGTACTTTACTAATTTATTATCAATCTTGAATAATTTATTATCAAGGCTTATTTCTAGACTCAAATTGTCTACAGTTTCACGCCTATTTAAGTAAGGTCAAATGCACAATCTCTTCTTTTTCTGTTTCTTTTTAAAACAATATAAGCTGCTGCGACAAGTGTGATTTCGTCAGCCATTGTTGCCGGTTTGTGTAGCCCGTTTAGGAGTCTGCATCATGGGCCATACTATTGCAGACATATTGCAACACATTGCCCAGCCATATATTGTTCGGCCATCAGCTGCAATAAAATATTTTTGTAATGGCCGGGCAATTAGTTGCCAACAGTGCAGCCATCAATTGCAGCAAAACATGGCCCGTTTAGAAGCGCCAATACAAAATGATAAATACTACGATCGGGCCATGACGTATGCCCTTTTAGATTCCAATATTTCACTTATATAGTTTCGTTAATGATTATGTCATCCGCACAAACAAACACTTAATGCTTAATCTTTAACAGTCTCGGGTTTTTAAACCACCGGGAGCTTAAAAAGCTTTTAACACTTGCATAATACAGAAATACTTTCGGTAGAACGTCATCAAGGTACTGCCGTCGCCGCTCCCCTGGTAAACATTATTTTATTATATCTCGACGTTAATACAAAACATCACTTTTTTTCAGTTGAGCTGCAAAAATTATAACTATATTTAACAACAATGAGCTAAGGAATTCCTTTAGGTTCGTTAAGTTTTGTGAACATTAACAAAAGTCTAAGTGAATAACGGAATGTTTAGTTTAGCCGATCAGCTTAGACAATATTAAATCAACTCAAACCCTACATAGTATTTATAATTAGATATATACTATGTAGGGTTTAATTAAGGCGCCTTCGCTTTCACACTATTTTCATGAGTGTTAATAAAATTGTAATTACTGGATTTGTTATTATTTTGACACTTCATTTGAAAAAAAATTGACTTCAGAATATCTTTTAAACAACAATTACATTTTATTGTTATATTATTATACAACAAGGCGTTTTACTTGATTGTCGTTGGTCAGACCGAAAAGATTTGAGAAGTGCTTTCTACCAATCTCAACCGTCATAATTTCGTCTTATGTTATACATTCATACAAATAGGTTGACAAAGTGCTACTAGCTCATCTGACCCGCCCTAGCACTCTGTAACTTCCAATAGTCCTTGCGATCCCAACTTCTATGTTGAGTTTTTTTAACGCGATACCAAGGTTGCATCAGCGATACTGAGATAATTGTATCGAAATTGTATTGGAAGTTAGAGAGTACCGGCGCCGGTTTGCTCTCTATCAAGAGAAGGTATACTGTGTAGACTTCTTTAAAAACTTACCAGATGCCAGTACTGACGTAGGAAATTTAATACGTGGTACAGGTGGTGATCCTAAATTTGATGGCGCTCTATGTACAGCTGAAAAGAAATGTCATACAAATGTATTAAAGCTCCTGTTACATTTACATATGTCTATTCTACCAGCCTCTATGTACAGACATACATAAAGACTGAGCACTAAGTCTTGACACCTATTTTTAAGCTAAGTACCTATTGTAGTAGTATTTAGTGTTCTATTCTATGTAAGATAAATATAGTTTATTTCATAGAGAAATAGCCGAAAGTTATACAGAAACCTGTATTCGTCAGGCGCTTGAAGAAACTAATACTACTGCATACTAGGGGAGTGCTTTTATTCGGTATTAGGTTGTAGTAGGCATGGAATCTTACAGGCTTTTCTTGGATTATGAATAACTGTGTAGTCCGGTAATGGTACCGGAGGCAGATCTTCATCAGGGGGTAGTTGGGACCGCATTGGTTGTGACGTAGATGGAAGGTAAGACCATGGAAGTTGACAATGAAGTTCCGCTGTGCTGGGCCTGAAATCACATATAAGTCGTCAAAAATATTTGTATTTTATTTAATAAAATATAATAATTTTCATTCACCGTGGCTTGACAGAACTCGTCCGATTGCAACTTTTCGTATTGTTTATTTCATTTGCTGACTATTTTTAAATTAACTTCAACTTGGTTGGCGACGCGTGAGTGAAATAAATAAGATACTATTTGTTTGTACACTGGCTGAGATCACAAGAGCTGCCTGTTATGTTATTAGTTATAAGATCTAGGTACATTTTTTTTTAAATGTATTTTAATTGTAAGTGTTGGCATATTGTGTAGTTCTATCTTCTATAAGTAGTAACTGTTAAGATAGAATAATTATGTGGGAAATAAATAAACTTATGCTATCTTAGATTTGTATTATATTTTTAGCACTTATTTGCACTATAATTCAGTAATGCGTGCGTTAATAAAGCGTGGGTATTAATAGTTAAAGTTAGAGTTAGTCGGGACTAACCTCTAACTAGAAGCTGCCGATTATCAAATCCAATAGATTTTTGACCTACACGGGTCAAACTTAGCGCTAAGTATCATTCGTAGTATCATCTCACTCGTATTTCCTTTAAAAACATTGATTGTTGCGATCACGACATTTATTTAAAACCTATTGAATAATCATCATAATTTTAAGTAAGTAAATGCTAACTTTTTGCCTATCTTCTTTTCTGGAGCAGGAAGTGGTTGCATCGAGCTAGAAGACGGCTGCCTATGCGCAGCTGTCCCCACAATTGATATGTCAATACTGTTTCTTCGGTCCTGAATATTTTCTTTATTTTCCGTTACTACCGGCGGAGTTATTATATCTGCAATGAACTTTACTTTTCTGAAACAAAATGGTTATTTACATAAGAAATAGAAAGAAAAAAAAGAAAAAAAAAGAAGAAAAAAGAAATTATCTTATATTTCAAACCGCATTGGTCAATTGAAAACAATTTCGAATTCAGAAAAAATACATAACTATTTTCCAGATAAATAATTATCAGAGAAACTGATAAAAATGTGTATCCCATCCCACATATTATTATTATTTAAAAAAAATTAAGAGACCTATAGGTCTCTTTCTTGGTTTTTAGTTTAGAACAAACTTTCATATTTCAAACTAAACTTGTTTTGATCTATACGTATTTACATAAAAAGTGAATGTAACTGAATGTTTATATTGATTTATAATATGTTTACTATTTTTAAATTTACATATAATGTTTCATACACATATCTGGACTAATGCTAAAATTAAAAAAAAGGATGCGTGTACTTACGTACGCGCCTAAGAAGTTATACTTCTTTGGCATTATTAAAAATAGTTTTTGATTGCATGCAAATAATTAATTACAATTAAATAATCAAAAAATGGAAAAGGAGTCATTACGAGTATACTCAATAAAGTTCAGTTTACATTTGAAAAATTAAATATTATAAATAAATATTTATTATTATTCTCTTACATTAAGTGTAACATAAATTCTATTATTATTCGAATGTTGTTTTTAAATTATGTCCAATGCCGTAGCATCTTCCGTGGGCAACTTCATTCTGTTAATTTTGTGTCACGGTGCACGTGCATCGTAAAATTTCACTCTCATCAATTTTTCATAACGCGCCTAAAGAAGTATAACTTGAGAACAAATACTCGTATTTATAAACTCGTAGCTTAAAATTTTATCGTTGAACTTACTTATCCATTTCTGAGTCTGTTTTTCTTGTTAAAGTGGGGCGCGGTATACGATCCACTTCAAGATCGTAACTTGTTCCACTTGTAGAGACGCTATCTTCAAAATTTGGTGTGTCCCTTCTAGCATACAGCTTAGTGGTGGACGGTGCCTCTGATATATTATCCGCCTATAACAATCACATAACTACTAAAAAACCAACGAGTAGCGAGGATATAGGTTCGTTTAATAATTACAGTAATTCGGACGATGAGGCGGAATACGAATTTCCACCCGTATCACCTCGACCACGTCCGCCGTTAAACAACTGAGCGTTTTTAAAGCAGAACCAGCTGCCCACTGAAGTATTTCCGAACTGATTCAACTTAGGGTCCTTCAAGAAAAGATCGTACCAATTTTTTAAATTATGGCTATGCACTCTTGAGTCCTCTGGCATTGAGAGTGTTCATGGGCGGCGGTATCACGTAACATGAGCCTCCTGTCCGTTTGCCCCCTGTCCTGTAATAAAAACTAAACCAAACTTAAAATGTATAGGAAAGTTTGGAGCTGTAGGCAAACAGACAGTCGGCTCAAAAGTAGGTATGCAAGACGCCTTGCTCTGTCGATATCATGGAACCTAGATATTAAATAGTGCATTTAAAAATCTATAGGAATTTTAGTTTACTTGATAAAATGTAACATGGTAGTATATATATATTCTCTTTTACGCGTGATTAAGAGCTTAATGTATTGGTTGCCACTTGCCAGTGCTTACAGACATATTGTGGAAAAAAACAAAACAAAGCTTTTTGAAACCGTTTATAGCCTGTTCTACTCGTTCTACGCTCTTGACTTGAGAACTGGCAGTAAATGAAAAATTTAGAAGCAATAATTTTTTTACTGAGGTTCATAAGTGTACATTGGGTGACCTACAGGAATAAACACTTTGCTTTTCGATTTTGACATATGATCGAACTTTCTAAATTACGAGACCGATTTTGACATAGGTTTTACTATTTAGATTCTGTCTGAGTAACGGAAATATAAATTGTAGAACAGCTTTAAACTTACCATGACAGTAACCTCTCGTTTCTTGATCGCTACCACTATCAAAACAATTATATTAAAGAGAAAAAAAACGCCCAGTCTTCCATATAAACCGATCATAATCCAAACAGATAATCTCGTGTCCAGCACTGTGTTACCTAATCCACTCGCTGTCGCTCCGATGTAGTTCATAATCTCATTTAAAGTCTGCAAATCATACATTAAATTATGAAAACTATGTTACGTATTTAAAAATAATAATAATAATTCAGTGGCGCTACAACATTTACAGGTCTGGGCGTCAGATTTCTGTATCTGTCTGTAGGTGTTCAGCCTCATGTGCCTGACATATGTTTGCCTTCACGGTTCGAGCGAATGTTAAATGCGCTAATGGAAAGAATGTCCATTGGTGCACAGGGTGGGATCGAACCTACGCATTCAGGGTCATACCTGCCACTCTCATGAGTGGCAGGCCGAAGCCATTAGGTCAAAACTGCTCGTATTTATAAGTCGTTTAAAAGATGTTAGAATTAAATTAGTTTGTAACAAAATTATTAAAGAAATAAAAAACTGCATTACATTTTTTATAATACAAATGATTTTCTCTAATTTAATTTCATAGTGCTAGTTTTTCAGTTTTAATATGTGCAATTCACATAGTAATGGTATTTACAAAAGTAATTAACAAGTTCAGTATGAATAAACGTTAATGTACGTCAGGTGTTATTTAATCTAATTAATAATATACTCACTCTAGTGAAGAACACATCATTGGCGAATATCACAATGGCGATGACATCTAATGCACAAATGCCAATTGTAGTTACTATCCAAGGCCACTTTGTCGGCGTTCTTTTATTGTTAGTCCAGCTGGCTGAAACGAAATCTTTAAATTGTCTTCGAACCTCAATGAATAATTAAATCGAATGGGTGAAAGATTTGAAATTAAGCTTCTCAGGACTAGCAAATATCTAAATCGTGGGTTATTTTAAACAAATTATCATTATTAATTTAAACTAGCTAAGGGATTTCACCAATTGAGACCGTAGTAGTCTTCCTTGCTAGTTCAATCAAACAGTTCAGATTTTAATATTATTAACTCTATTAAAATATTTCGGTATGTTTTAACTTTCTGATAAATACCGGAATTTAAAATAACAAACTGAGGTGTAAACTTAACTTAATTAAGAAATACAAGAGTTTGAAAACTAAACTATAATACATTTCATTTGATTGTAATTAAGTCAAACAATAAAATAATTGGTGCTATATTTGTAATAGAAAAGACGGTTAGGGAAAGAGAGAACAATGCTAGCATACTAGTTAAACGTGCAATTCTCAATCCAATGAATAGAGTTTTCCCAGTTAGACCCAAAAATCTACTACTTGCTTTAAAAGTAATCTTACCAATCAAGATAACACTTGCGAAGAACCAAAGGACTCCTAGACCGAGGTGTACACTATTAATATACAAGGTTCTAGTTGCTGTAAATGGTTCTGTCCTTATGAGAACAAACGCCTGATTGCTCACTTCAGTAAGAGATTGTCCTATGTTCACTCGCTGCCCACAAATAGCTGGATCTAGATATTGAAAATTGTATTAATATTACCCTATTTAAAGTAATGCTCCATTGGTCTTTAATTGTTAATTTTTATCAGTTATAAAATTCATTTATTTAATTATTCTTATTTATTTATAAAAACACTCCTGCCCTAACAGGCGACCCTAAATTGACTTAAATTTACAGATGAAAAAAAAAAGCAAACATACCAAATTAATTAGGAAAAACAAAATTACATAAAGAAAAATACAATTAATTAACTAACCACTATAGGCACTAACAAATAATATAACTTTTGCCAGTTCACTCAATGGACTATGAAAAAGGTTCGTTAACCTATGTAATTTGTTAACTAAATTAATACACCGAATCATATGTGCCCTTTTCGGAAGGTTAGTCCTAGTTGTACACAAGAAGTAACGGCGGACAATGTCGCTTTCTGACGTACCCATCAGGCATATTAAAGCTAAGGTACTGAAATACTGTCCTTGCCATGTAACAATTTTATGAAGTACATCACAAGCGCGAATTCACGGCGTACTCGTAGCTCGTACCTCACTGAGCCAAGAATAAATAAGGTCGGATATATGAGTGGGTAAAAAGGGAACACACCGTACATCCTAAGATTTCATCTCAAAAATTTGTTTTGTACTCCCTCCAACATCACCTTATAGTTAATTTCATATGGAGCCCAAATCCCTGAATTATGCTCAATATGACTTCTCACAAGTTTAGTATGGTGTGGAATATGGGGTTCACTTCGTTGGACGACCAATCTATTGCCAAAAGCCCCAACACGCCTGAAGTGGTATACTTACTATGGTAATACAGGATTTTGATGTAAAGCAATTCTGGTAGATCCTGAAGAAAGTCAATCAAGCAAAAGTATTGCGCCAGAGAGAGTGCGCTCATTACTATCTGCACCGCTGCCTGCGTCTGCAAGTGAGATTTATCATTTTATGAAAACCAAATCTGTCTTATTTGAGACAGATGAGTAATTAAGTTAAGAGTGAATTATTTTTCTCAATAAAGGGGTTGTTTTCTTTATATGGAATACCGCAGTGCCTATTAGAATGTGAATTATAGTATGTTATACATAATACGAGTGTGTAGTAAAGCGTTATTTGAGTAGAATATGTAATAATTTTTATCGCAAATAATGGAACTGAGAACGATGTTAATACATATACTATAGTTTTGGTTAAGACGCCAAAGCACTTGCATCGTTTTCTGTCTATATTGACATAATATGTTAACTCATGAACGTTACTGTAGTTTTCCGAAGCTACAGAGATCGATATGAGCTGACCTGGAAAACGTTATTTGCAATATATTTATTTATTAAAGTTCAACACCTCATATATAATCTATATCTAAGGTATGTTACAAGCTATCTTTTTTAAAATATAAAACAACTATGGTAAAATTAAATTCTATTTATTAAATTAATAAAATTCTTTCTATTTTGACATGTGTTTTTTAATGGCAAATCATTCACTTCGAGGGGTGGGTCATACTTGTTATTTAGCGGTGTGAAAAATATTTATTCTCAGACTTACAGAATATACACAAAATGTATAAAAACCTATCAAGGAGTTTATCTACAAATACGAGCACTTTATTTATATAGATATAGAGTTTTATATATGTAGCATGACTGTACGTAATAAATAAGCTGTTTTTGTCTCTATATATTATTGTAAATCTATATATATGTATTGTAGCTCCACGATGCTTTGTTTATTTGATTACGAAACTATAAAAGTATTAAATAATTTAACTCTCAACGTAATTCTTAAGATCAGCGAAATTATCAATGGAAAGTGATATAGTTATCAGTGTTTTGAAATGACGTCCGAGTGATCGTGGTGTGTTCTCGTCTTGATAAAGTATATATCTAAGAATTTTTAAATTAATAACGATAACGCAGATTACAAATGGCTGCCACAATACACGCTGTAATTCATTTTCGCTCAACACATCTTCAACACCACAGAAACGCTTGTTTTGTTAAATTGTGTTTGACATGGGCGACATAATAGTTCCGACAGGAAAAAAATCATAAAGAAAGCTATACAAGAAACGGAAAGTGCAAAACTTAAGATTATAATGGTGCATACGTACTTGACACACATAATACATAAGAAATTCGCAAATGTACAGAACAAAAAATAGTCGTTACATTCGCTCAGCATGCTATCCAAAAAGAATTAGTAAATTAATATTTGACATATTAAAATCTGTTACCAGTTGAAGTAGTCGGTGAAAGTAATTGAAAATACATACTTCAGGAATAAATCAGACGCATTTTATCGTATATTGTGTGTGATCCAAATAAGTTATTCTTAAATTTCTGGATTTATGATGCGTTGCGACCGCTCTTATCAAACTCTGATAACATTTACGTTACCAGAAATACTTGCTCCACTTAAACATAATGCGAATTATCCTAGATCTCGCAACCATTTTTAATTTATTTTAAAGGTTTAATGAATTATACAATCAGGTGATAATTTTGCAAATTGGTGTAGGAGCCAGGTGGCCTATATATGGATATATGACTTTAGTATAGTCAAATGGCCAAGACAGTTACCGATTCGAAAATATACTATGGATTATAAGAGATCTTAAGGAAATTCCCTGAAAAAAATACTATATAACACGTTTAATATTATCTGTATAATTAATAATCAAACATTTATTCTTCCTTCTATTCTAGCCTTCCACAGCTAGAAAATATATGTTTCAGATGATATTGCCACGATAGGCAAGCAAGTTCTATCGAGCACTAGAAATATAATTGCATGAAAGAATTAATAAAGCCACTCAATCTTCGCAAAGCGGGTTAGCTGTAACCTAGTTCAATTTAATGCCAATAATAAGTTGAACTAAATCCTGTTAAGATTAAGAAAGGAAAAGCAAGAAAAAATATCTTCAATCACGATTTGGAATATAATAACAATGCGAAATTTCAAATATTTATACAATAAATAAAGGACAAAATTATATTTATTTAGGATATGTAATAATTTGATAATTTAAAACAAAATTTGTACGTTAAATCATTTCAAAAAATACACATTCAATAATGAAATGAGCTAATTTGTACCCAGGAGAAAATTTTTACATTTATAAAAATACTCACGCAACTTGCAACGCCAGCGAAGCCTACCAGACTTGCCATTTTTGAAAAACACAAAAAGGGTAAAAAAAGACTCGCTATGTCGACGAGTACCCTACAGCATCTTGAAGTATCAACTACATATCTTTAATCTCCGATAAAAGATTACAGTTTCCAATACATGACATGGCTTGGCTCATACGAATTGCATTAGATAAAAATTTAGTTTCAGTATTGTGGGGATACGAGATCATAATTAGATTTCGCGTTAAAACCTACTATAATAATACTACTAAATATTATATGTATTTTTTTTACAAAATTTTAGTTTTTAACTTATAATGCCAGATAATTTAAATAAGTAACAATACAAATCAAATTCTAGCGACATCTTCATTTTTTCAATCCGAAATTATACTTCCTACCAGGAATTCCAGATAACAATAACATCCACTAACAACCGTAAACAACATCATTTCAACCAGTTCTAGGCTGAAATGGAAAGTATTCTTATTTAAATTATTTTTAAATTAAATTATTAGAAATTATTGTGTCGAGTACCGATATTATGCGAGACAGAGAATCCTAGGGTGGGGGCTAGTGCAATTACTTTTTAACTAAACATCCTTTTTTATTCTGTATAACAAAGATTTTCTTTCTTCTTATAGTATTAGGTATTAGTTTTAGTATTAAGTCGAAACCTAATACTGATCGATTTTATTGGGACTCACAGATTACCTGTAGACCTTTAAGTTCGAGCCTAGTCTAAACACAAGCCACCCTCTCAGTCAGTCATCAAAAGTTAATGGGCCAAATACATAAAAGAGCGTAGCTAAAATCCTATGTTTTTAGCTTTATTCAGATTTTTGCATTTCAAAATTATTGACCTATTTATGGTTGACCGAATGCTCGGCATAACGTCGGTGTATCGTGAGTGCCCCTTGAGACTCTCAAGATGTTATTGATGTCCCCATATTTTTTTGAATACTATCTTGGAAGTGGTGTAGCAGATTGATTTAGAAATTAAATAAACTGGTTTTTATACTTAACGGAAGATTAATGTTATAATAAAAGAATTCAATGGAAGTCTGAATGTCACAATATATACAAGCATGTAATTAGTATAGTCATAATAACATATAATTAGGTTAACACTATTGCACACAACTGCTAGTGAATCTTGTTCCATATAAATACCGCTTATTTTCTTATAGCCTCAGTTGTGTTTATTTAACCACTGTGTGTTGATTTTAATTATGACTCAAATATGTGTAAGTTGCTTTTTCTTAGTGGCACAGTGTGTAGAACAGGAGCATGTTGAAGTTAAAGATTTTTTTTTCTAGCAATGATTAAATAATACTTAGGAATAATGTAGCTAAGTGTGACACAATTTTATAGTATCTTTGAAATGATTACTTACTTGCAAGTTCAAGAGAACGAAATATTAAATCTTACATCCTGATTTTCCTGCCGTGGACGATAAAACGTTTTTTGGGTGTATAATTTTAATTAATATATTTACTTTGGCTACCTAAGTTATTTAAATAGTCTAGATCTGATAATCAATCTGCTATTGACTTATCAACCACTCTGCCATGCGGTTGAACGGCGTTAAATTTCTCGTTTTTAATTAATAATTTTTATCCTTTTTCTAACATTTATCATTGATACGCCGCATTTATTATAGATGTTATAAATCTATTTTACTTGGATAATTTAGCTTATATTGGTAAAATAATTATTAAAATCGGTTCAGTAGTTTTAAAGTTATACACTACAAACGAAAGAAATATTTCCTCTATATTGTAGATAAAAGTCAAAACCACTAAGATTTACCCATGCTAAGTTTGAATTAATTAAAACGTACCAAGGAGCGTTCTAAAGTTTCTTTTGCAGAACATTTTTTTTTATTTCTCATACTTTATTAATCTAATAAATGTAATCTTATAGATACTGATCCTGTCAATGTGTATATATTATGCGTCAGCCGACGACAAACACATCAATTTGACATCACCTAAGGATATGTATGTATATGTTTAAAGATGTTCTTGGTATCTGGTAACATGATTTTTAATAATGATGACGACGCAGCCGCTTTAGATGAATACGATACGTACAAGAAGTGCTTATAGGAGACTTTTATGCATGCCATGTGTACGAAATAAGGCAACTGCGCCTGAGGCGTGGAGACTACAAATAATATTTTTTTAAGTCATTGATGCGCAGAAAGCTGTTATGTGCCTGATATCGCCATAATCCAGCCCTGGGCCATAAAAATCATGGCATAGATCACTAATATCTAGGTGAAACTTAACTCTGGCTTATATGGCCAATAGAGAATAACCCCGGGAGAATTCTTCTGGGGAATGTGTTTAGTATGGATTCGTTAGGAATTAAAAACTGATTTCCAACTATATATAAAGTCGTTTTATAATAGTCAACTTGCCTTGCCTTAAGAAATGCCTATTAACATTATTGATTCATGTCTAATCCAGAATTTCGTAGTTGGAATACACCCGATTTAAATCTGATTAAGGTGACTTTAAGTTTTCAAGAATTTGTGGGGAAACATATTCACTCTTCATCATCACCTACTTTTTTTAGATAGTTAATAGACATACAAAATTAAAAAATTTTTTTTTAATTGTTGTTAAATCTATTTAATTTTGAATTAACTTTGTTCTAGGTATGTAGTTCGAGCTACTGTTTATCAAGTAGGAATTTTAACTAACAAAACAAAAGATTCGGACTTGAATAAGACGTAAGTGTAAATTAATCATTATTAATATCAATGTATTTGGTACATTTAGGGTAAGATTCTGTCAATACCTCTGTATGTAATATGAATACTCCCGTATTTCTTGTATATGTATTGAATATAGCGCTGTCTCGATAGTTAATTGTAACCAAGTTTATCTTTATGTATTTATAGAATTAAAAAAAGCGAATCTGAGAGGATTCGCTTATTTTACCAACCACGTTAGCAAACCTCATAGCATTGCTGTTATTGTAATAAAAATCTGGAATGATTTTTTTTTGGGAATTAAAATTAATATAAATCAAGTATTTGTTAATTTGAGTGACTTGGGTGAACGATAGAAAATTACGGAATAGTAGTTATATATGTAGGTAAATTGTTCTGTGATCAATTGGATGATTTGTTCTCGATCTTTCGCAGTGGTCAGCAAGAAGCGATAACATTCTATCAGAACAAAGGTACTGGAATAAATCTTAATAATATACCTGCTCCTCTGGTGACTAACGTGACTGCTGAGAATATAGTGGGAGTTGCTCCAGCCAATGCTCCGTTTCCACTTAATATGAGCCTATTAGGTAGGTATTTACATATGGCTAGGACTCTGTATGTATATTGTTAAAATACAAAAATCAGTGGCGCTACAACCTTGTTAGGTCTGGGCCTCTGATTTCTGAATCTGTTCCATCATCATTTTTCAAACTAATAGGCAAGTAGGTGATCAGCCTCCGGTGCCTGACACACGCCGACAACTTCGGGTCTAAGGTTTAGCCGGCTTGCGGTTTCCTCGCGATGTTTTCGAATGCGAATGTTAAATGCGCACATAGAAAGATAGTCCATTGGTTCACAGCCGGGGATCGAACCTACGACCTCAGGGATGAGAGTCGCACGCTGAAGCCACTAGGCCAACACTGCTCATTATATCATATATTATGTATATTATTACATATGTTAAAAAGCGATTACAAATAAGCAAAGATCGAATACCGGTACAAATTTAGGTTCTGGTTCGCTTCGGGTTTAAACAATTCGCGGTTCTTAATAAGGGTTCTAATATATCGGTTCTGTAGAGTGCAGTTTAGATATGTTAAAAGCGCTTATGTCAATTCTAGACTATTTTAATCCTATAATACTATAACATATATTGTATCATATCTTAAAACATTTAATATTTATTAATATACAACAACCAAATTACAGAATATAAAAGTAATACCTACATAATAACCTTAAAAAAATATAATACAATAACTAAAATATATTATTAAAAGGTATAAAATATTGTTATACGTGTTAGTCAAGAACAAAAAAAAGGCTTAGTAAACACTTTTAATACAAATTCTTCTAAGAATAAGTTGCCTCATCTCAATACGATTTAATGTACTTGCAACTTGGTAAAATGTATGTATGTTTATTCTAGGCAATGCTACAGCTCTACAAAGATTACCCCGGGAAGTGGTTATACCAGCCAACATCACGAAGGCTTCACTCCTAATTCCAGCGGCTGCTGGGGTCCAGTCCATCTCTCTTCCACCACTTCTATCCTTCAATAATAATATTTCCAAAATACCTGTACCTCTCCCCAATGTATCTGTTGTGAGCTACACAAAAGCCAGTACTCTTGTTAAAAAACCTTAGCAACCATATTTTTTAACATTAAGCGCAAATTCTTGAAAAAGAATACGGACTAGAAATAAATAGGAATATTTTCATATCTCTCGCTGAATACGACTGTAGATTAATTTAAGATAACCTACATTTCGACATAGAACCATGCAAGCTGTATGAAAAATCTAACTCAAAGTAATAATGAAAGTCAAGTTAGCGGTTAAAGTATATTTACATATTAATACGTGTTTGTATGGAGCTTGTAAATTTGAAAATATGACCCATGCATTATTTTTAAATTGGCCTTTAATAATTTAATTACGACTTAGACTAATACAATGTTTTTAGGATATTTGTGATTAACGTCCTAATAAATTTAATAAACACGAAAGTCAATATGTTTTAATGCACTAAACGATAATTATTTATTCATATAAAAACACTTTTTACAACTCTCATGTTATTTAACCCTATACAAAACAGCGTATACCATAAAAATTCAATAAAAATGAAACATAATTTTTATTTATGCCGTGCCCTATTGACCGGTCTACTCGTATAGACCACCATGGCTGTGCCTCCATATCGGGCACCATAACAATTACAGTTAGACCCATACATGCGACGCTTGCGCACTCAGCACGTCCTCAGTGCGCATGTCTACAAACAAACAAAGGACTAGCAGTAGCAACGGTTCCCGCAAAAGCGCGCATGCGTTCTATCACCTAATGATTAAACATAACCCACCTCGGCGTGATGCTGCGTTTTTGGTCGGATTAAAGTTTAAAATGGTGGCATTTTATTTGGAAGGATATTAGCAGGTGAACTCGTGGTCAGTGTCAGATGGATTTCACTAGGGATGAGTTCGCCAAAGCTGAACGAGAGATGCCAAAGTGCTATGAGCAATGGTAAAAAACACTTAAGCACCGAATCGAAGGAAGATTCGCTGGATAATTCTGTAAGTTCTTTTTATGATAGGCAAGTTTGTATTACTCGTATAAACGACTTTTTTTATGTAATTTTTAGTGCGAAGGTTAATTTATTCATAATATGCGATATTGTATTTTTGAAAAATATTACATATTTTTCATTTAATTGATTTTCATTCACGATTACTGTACGATATTAATCATATGCATTTAACATCGTACCAAGTGAATTTATTCAATACATCATCGGAACAATGACCTGCTTCCCATTGAAAGTAAGTTAAGTCCCACAAAAAGGTGGTATCTATGGAACAGATACCTAGTTTTTGTCCCTTGCCCCATCGTCGTCTCAATTTTTTAAATGTAAGCAATAACAGTGCAGTATAAGTAGTCACAACCAGTTCGCAGTAGTTGGAATCACCAATATTAAATAAAGTGGAAATCGTATTACAAGCGTATAAAAAAATTGCACAAAAATTTATATTTCTGTGTAACCATCGCTTTGTTACTGGAAAATAGGAACATTTTATGAAATGTATGGAAAATTTTTACTTTCGCGAGCGAGCTTTTATTTTCATATATTTCAAATGGAAAACAATCCGGGTTTGTGTTATTATTTATTGACAATGACCCCAGGAATGACCTAGAACGTAGCTACAGAAAAATGCTGTGTTTATGAATAATCCATTGCTTTTATCGTCAAGGGTTCAATAAAATCAATAAAGAATTTTCGCTTAGTTTAACTTTTCGGCTAGCTTCATGTTTGTGTTACTGTATTCAATTAAAACAGTTTAAGAAATATTAATGTAAGATAATAATAATGTTTTAAAAAGTGTTTCTCAATCTTTTTTGTGCCTTTCTCCACCTTAGCCTTTATTTTTAATATTAATAATTGAATTGTTCACTTAAGAAAATTAAATGGTAGGTTTTAGGAAGAAAACACTAGGAAATTCTTAACGAAACACAATAATTAAATTTGCAAAACGTATAAAGAAACACGTCGAGCCATTTTCGAATTTTCCACCTTTAAAATATAAGATTTCATTCAGACTGGAATGCTAACAAAAAAAAATTCCAACCTTTTTTATTGGAAAACTACGTAAATCACGATTAATTAATTTCATTCAATATATTTACCAAAGACTTTGAAACTTGTGTACGAAGCCCGAGATAGGTTGCGATAGCAAATTTTCTGATGGGGGGCTGTACGTCCATTGATGATGATGACTAAGCTTTTTTTATGTAATGTTTTTTTATAGATTAGAGAGTCAATAAAATCAGAAAGAACTGGTAAATCCGAAGAAGACTGTCGTAGACGCACAATAATTGTAGAAAAGAAAAATGGAAGCTACGGTTTTACACTACAAAGCTATGGGATACATTATAAAAAGGTGAGAAAAATAATATAGGTAAATATAGGTAAATAGTATAGGTAGGTATATAGGTACCCCACTACTAATTTTCAGTAGCCGCCTCTGCGCCAAAGCCTCTCCTTAACCCCTTTCATCCTATCTCTGCCAAATATTATATAAAGTGGAAATATGATAAAAACATTTCATCATGTTTACATAGTAGAATACATTAAGTAAATACTTATTAAAGATATTTTCAAATATAACTCAACTCTTGTTTTAATCAGGAACAAGAGATCGAGGTAATCACTTATGTGGATCATGTGGAGGCTGAAGGTCCGGCAGCACTCGCCGGTATGCGTGAAGGTGATGTTATTCTGTCCATCAACGGCAATGACGTGGAGAGAGCTGACCACACAGCCATCGTCACTGCCATTAACGCCTGCGACTCACGCATGCGTATCGTTGTGATATTTGAAGACTGCGTCCGTAAAGTTGAACTTCATCTTAAGTATATTAACATACAACGAACTCTTCAAAACAAAATGCGGGAACTAGAACAACTATCAATCCGGGAAAGGCAAGTATTCGATTCCAACTGGAAAACCCACAGTCTGCCCTCGCAGAAGAAGAAAAACTCTCCATCGGATATTATCTCAGACTCTGAAGAACCCGCCGCAGACAATATTAGCTCTTACTGCCGACCGACTCTATCGAGCGAAAACGTTACCGCCGCTAAGCCTCCTCAACCCAACGTGTTCATGTACCAATATTTAGACCCCCGATACGGTACGTGTATTATACAACCAAATATCCACTCCGGTAGCTTCGTCATTACAGTTGGTTCACCGCGAAACCGACGTGACTGCCATCACTATGTCGTGAAAGCGACAGGCGAATGTCATCGTGCGTCAGAAGCCTACAAGGTTTCAAATGGAAAACATAGCAAGCCCCACAGGAGTCACAACCACAGCTGTGCTCCATGTGTTCCCACATATAACAACCAAGACGCAAACAGTCTAGAAGCTTACGATCTTGCTAGCCCTTGCTGCGATCCTCATTGCGTACCTAATGCTAGGAAGAAAATCAGGAGAAAGAAGGAATGCTCAAAGGAGCATAAACGAAAAGAAAAACAGCATGTTGACAAATCAACTCAGAAGACTGAGTGCAATCATGTTCACGCAAAAAAAGTATGTACGTCAGGACATTGTTCCGGAAGATACCGGTACTTGACCACGGAATCGACACAAACGAGCCAGTGCAGCCTTCAATCGTACGCCACGAGCAACGCCACGGTTCCCTGCGATAACTCTGTGTCAAGCTACAGTACTTCACTCAGCAGTGATACCTTGTTTTGGGAGAACGATCGTTCTGAAGCTAAATCTTCTCCAAAAATTCAATACCAAAGCGCACACCAGCACGTAAAGCCCAAATCTTGGGATAATCTAGCTACGAAAGCTATTGGGGGCTACGGTTTCGGTTATGGCTATTTAGACACAACTACGAAACATTCAAGTAGATCTAAAAGTCACGGTCGAAGTCATAGCGGTCGCAGCACTCAGAGTCACCATGACTACCAACATCACCCGCAGGAGAAGCATTCCCATAGACAGAGTGGTACACCACACCACTACCAGACATATGTCAGAACTCACAGCCACAACTGCCAGCCTACTAAATCAACGGAAAGTTTGATCGTGGTACCAAAATACCAATTGGAAAGTAGCGGTTCAGAGAGTAGACTAGCGTGTGAATGTGAAAGCAATGTAGATTATTATAGACGAGGCCCCATAAAGAGCCCCGCCGAAACTCACTCCAACTATTACGGCCAACGATTCGTCTACCCCACCCATACTTATAAGAAAAAAGATTCGAATGTTAGTTCAGAAATAACGAGATTATAATTATCACGAAGCAACTGCTCACATTAAAACATAAGTGCATTCGAACGACCTCATTTTTTGTGTTATTGGTGCCGAATAAGTGGGATAACTTGAGCCGCCTTGATTGGAAAATGGAAGAAATAGCTAGCCAAGGACAATATTAATTAAATGTCCAAATGAATTTTACACCCGCTTTAAACGATCGCATTCCCTCTGTTTAATAATCGTAGATTTAAGGTAAACCACTTACAGCTTTATACTCGTTGATTTATAGTTTTGATTAAAAAAATAAAAAGTTTGACTCAGTTTTATTTCACATACTTCACTCCTTTAATTGTATATTTCTAATTTATGGTTCCTTCCAAACGCACGACCTCAAACTCACTAAAGTTTGAGGTCGTGAGTTCGATTTATGTCTGCGCAATAATTGACGCAACATTTGGGTACACGCTAGGTATTAATGAATCCTATATCAGATGTCATACGTAAAACCGCAAATAGCACACATACCAAGAAATTCGCTAATCAAAATATTATCTTTACTTCCTCGTGGCTATCGCCGAAATTCGGAGCGTGTATCTTCGAGTTCAGAGTGAGGTCAGATGAGAATTGTCAGAGTGGACAAGACAGGCATGCGGGCAACTCGCGCGAGCCTGCCCTTAGTGGCCCTTGTTTTCCTTTTTACACAAACGCATGCGCAGGTAAGACTATTTCTATATTTATAACACATGCGAAAGCCTTTTTATTTTTAAAATAGACTATTGTTAAATTTAATATCAACTCCAGAGGTATTCGTTCAAATATTATACGTTAAACTATAATAATTGAAGCATGGCAAAAAAAACAAACAGTATGTTGGCCGTCTTCCTAATGTAATTTTGAATTAGAACATTGTTTTAAATCTTCAATATATCTCTAGCTTAATAAAACTAAGCTTCTTAACTATTTCTTTTTAAGTTTTGAAAATACAAATTTTTACTTTATTAATTTATAATTGAAATAGGAATTATTATATTTGATTTTATTGAAACAACGTTGCAATATAAATTCTTCAAAGGCAAAATAAGTTTTACGTAGACCTATTTCATTCTACCTGACATAATAAAATCATGTTAAATCGACAGTTTTCTTCCTCAAAATTGGTTTAGAAATGTACTTAAATAGGACTTACTTAGACTGAAATATACTTCAAATCACAAAAAATAAATCACTCTAAGTGCCCCATCTCTCTTTATTCAGCGTATAATTTAATAGGAAGAAACCTTGAAACCTAGCGGCTTCTTCTAAGTGATTGGTTTATTGAATTCCCGGCGAAACTTTATTATGAAACGGTTAAAGTTGATACCGTGTCTGTTGTAATGGTTACCAATCTTTTTTACAGAAATAAAATCTGTATCGAATCCATGGTAACAAGCATGATGGTATAACTAGGCCGTGTTTGTTAAGATTTTTGAGGGCTTTTAAAATGTCTTTTCTAAAGGGGATGTTAGTTAGTTTTTTCTTTGTGACCCACGACTCCCTTTATCCTAACAGTGAACTTTCGCCATACCCGCCAAGTAAGAAGGTTAAATAGTCGGCCTATACTCATAACCAAACGGGATAATGCCGAGAACAAATCACAAAATTGTATTGTAATTTGCTCCAACTGGGAGTCGAACTCTAATTATCACGACTCTTTTGCATTCAGAGTTCAAGGATTTTTTATATAACAGGGAAAACGCAATGGTTCACTTGATGTTAAGTGATACCGCTAGACAGACACTCACATTGCCAGAGGGCTCGCAAGTGCGTTTCCAGCCTTTTACGCTCTTGTACGCTCTTTTCTTGATGGAGCCTAAGTCTTTGATTCAGAAATACTTCAGTGGCGCCAAAGATGGTGCGCGGTAAAAAAACTGCCTTGAAAAATTCTTTTTTGTGAAATGACGGACGTCAAGCTAAATTCGCAAAAACAAAGCTATATTTCTTTATAATGAGCACATTACATTGAGTCTTTTGTTGAAAATAATCTAATTTTCTTTGAAGTTATGCATAAAAGCTTCTTTGTTAAGAATTGCACACTTAATAGCCTCCGTCATCTTTGTTCGTTTAGCTTCATTAGCGAACTGCAATTTTTTAACGAAATGAATATCTAATTCCTTTTCTGTATATTCTTTAAATATAATCGACTTAGTTATTTAAATCTTGCAAAGATCACAATAGTATCGTAGAAATCGAATAACATACAAATGAATGCATGTCTAACACAATATATAAATCATTTAACGCTATTTGTATATCATTGAATGTAAAAAGTAAAAAACTCCATGAAACTCAACATGGGATTGAATTCATCAAAAATATAATATGCTTTTAATATTAAATATAGTTTATCGCATTAGAACAGGATTTTATAGTTAGATTACTTGATAGCTAATAACTGTAATAGTCAAACATTTGTATATGGTTTATAATATATTATTCATAAATAGCAGATAAAAATTTAAAACTACAAAATAAAACTATTTTATTTATTTATGAAAGTTTACAATACATTTAGTAATTGAATAGTATTATAAGAATTTTTTAGCTCGGTAATTTAAGAATCGTGTCGAAGAAAAATAATTTAATATATTATGAAATAGAGCGATCACATCGAGTATTATTTTACGAAGGTGTTATTTTTAAATTACTATTTGACCTGGTTCGATCTCAGGGGCCATAGCATATTTTTTAATTTAAAAATGAAACCCTGTCGAATTAAACCACTTTTAAAGCGTTGCATTTTAAGATTTCAGTCGACTTCTGTATATATCTCGTGAGGGGTTATTCCGCTTAGAAGCACCAATAAAAAATATTTAACTATAATATCTGCTCTATATAATATATATATTTATGTTATTCTAGAAATACATACTTTGCAAATCACATGGATCAGAAGATTGTCAATTATACTCATCGGATAAAGATGACAACATCGTAACATCACCATCACACGTGTGTGGTGCAATCAGTTCTTTGGAGTGACGAGATTGCGTTACCAATTTCACACGGTAAAAACTTTATTATAGTGTAACTTGAATGACTGTAGTGCCATTTCTTTTTTTGATAGGCATTGGGAGACTTGTATAAAATAAATTAAATGGGATTCGAACCTAGATCCATAAAGTTACACGTCTGTGTACTAAGCAGGAGTGACACGAAGGCGGCGCGCGGCATTGAATCTAAACAAGGGTTAATATTTATTATTAAAGGATATTTTACTTTTTAACTTAACATATAAAAATCAATCTTCTTGATATAAATTTCGTTTCATATTTAATAAATATTTAAATACCAAATACTACTTTCAAATTAAAAAAATTAAAAAATAAATCAGTGGCACTACAACCTTTTTAGGTCTGGGCCTCAGATTTCTGTATCTGTTTCATGATCATTTGTCAACTAATAGGCAAGTAGATGATCAGCCTTCTGTGCCTGACACACGCCGTCGACTTTTTGGGTCTAAGGCAAGCCGGTTTCCTCCCGATGTTTTCCTTCACCGTTCGAGCGATTGATAAATGCGCACATAGAAAGAAAGTCCATTGGTGCACAGCCGGGGATCTAACCTACGACCTCAGGGATTAGAGTTGCACGCTGAAGCCACTAGACCAACACTGCACAGTACTTTCAAATTGGTACATATAAAAGGGTATTTAATATGCTGCTTCTGCGATTTGGCGAATTCTGTTGCGAATAATATACTTAAAACCTAAAGAACAAATTGGCTAATACACAACCAGGCATATGTGAGGAATTATTTCGTATATTTTAGGACAACCAGATAATAAGCAAGTAAAGGTTATCACGGCGATCTGTGTCGCAGTCCGGCTTTCCGTTGACCTAAAATTATTTATTTAAACAAGAGCAAAGGATATAAATTACGAAAATAAATCCTTTCCTTAATGGTTAAAGGGACTTTTCGATTGTCATAATTTATATTTTATCCAGCCTAAATAAGTGGCTATTGTAAGATGTTTTAATTATTAACCGACTATCTTTTGTTTATTTTATGTATTTCGTTCTAAAAGTGAGCGTAAACACTTAAAGTCAAGAGGTAAAAAGTGGGTCAGCGCTTTGAACTATTTTGTAAAGGTCTGAAGAAAGCTCTCAGTTGGGTGACGTAACAAAAGCGACAATTTGTATCGCAAAACATTTTTTTTTCATATTTTCTGCTGTTAAGTATAGACTAAAGCTGGCCGCAGAAAACACAATTCGTGTATAATGTGTTTATTTAAAATTATTTATTGCACACAAATACATTTTTGGATAAGGAAACGAAATTTCACTTTTCAAACCTATGTAACTTGTCCGAAATAAAGGCATTTAATTTATTAATCATAATAAATCAATACATTTTAAAGGAATAAAGAGCTTTAGAGCTTTTTTAAGAGCTTTATCTACGTGACACATGCCAAGCAAGTCAATTGTTTTTTAATTGATACTTAATAGCGAATTTTCACTATTTGGAATATGTTGTTGTTGGTGTTTTCAACATCTCCCAATATGCTCAAGAGATATATGTTTTATATGCAATAGGAGGAAAACGGGCAGGAGGCTCACCTGATGTTAAGTGATACCGCCGCCCATGGACACTCACATTGTCAGAAAGCTCTAAAGTGCGTTGCCGGCCTTTTGATACTTCGTACGCTCTTTTCTTGAAGGACTCTAAGTCATGTTTATTAGACACCGACGCAAATAATGATTTGATGTCCCGTAATGACGTGACTTGACGTTTATCGGAGTCTTTGTATTAAATTTTATCTAATGTTTTATTATAATCATTTGTACATTTGCAAGAAGTCACGAACTGTTATCAAGGCTGCAAGTTATATTTTTATCTTTTTAAACATTAGATGATAACTTTATTGTCAACGTTGGTTTGCCTTGACCTATTTTATTGCACAATTAACAAAACCGTCTCAGTTCTAAAAAAAATTGTGTCAAGGCAGAGACATATCTTCTCCCTCGTCTTTATAATATTAAACTCACTAGGGAGACAGTTACGACTGTTATTTATTTACAACCTATAAAAAGCTGGCTGTAGATGCTTAGCGTGTTTTAGATGTATTTATAAATGTTAATATATCGTCATATATTCTTCTATGAATTTTACTTAGAAGTATCGCAGTGCGACAGGCAACTTTCTAACTTCTATTAGGTTTATGTTTATTAAGAATTCATTCGCTGTGTTTCAGATCGAACCACTTGGACTCGCTAAGGAATATACAAAAAATATATTTTGTAAAAGCGTTGTTTATGTCACCTCTGCTAATCAACACCAACCAATTGATTATTTTCGTAATCGGCATTCAAGAGCTACAAGACAGGCAACCTTCACTCCCAGAGGAAAATATCGAGGCCAAACTCAGTCACAATACTTGGCTATAGATAGAGGAAATGCAAAAGATGAGGGCAAGGCGGAGGCCCATTCTGCAGCAGATTCTTCAAGGGCAAGTGTCAGTAAGTATACGTAAAATTGAAAAACATATAAAAAAATTAAAAATCACTAAAACATTATTTTATTATTACCCTAGGTGGTAACAGCGGCATGGGCCAGGCGCAAAGCCAGTCCATTTATGATCCGAGTTGCGATGATTGCTACGGCGCACCAAGAAAGGAAGTCGAGAGCTTAAGACATCAACCGGGAAGAACAACAGATTACGGTCCGAGCTGGTCTAGCACTGGACCTGAGTATTCATCGCGTTATCCTGGAGGAACTAGGCTTCCAGCCCAATCACCTGATACTTCCTTATATAACCCTGATCAAACAGGTTTAAATAGTCCAAATGGATATGTAGGTAGTAGTTACAGACCAGATGGAAAAATTATACCAGTGTCTGACAATCAACGAACCGGTTATGGCCCTGGCGGGGATAGTAATGGCTATGGTCCATCTTATAATTATGGTCCTCGAGGCTCAGGATCCAGTTATCCTGGCGGCAATGGTTATGGACCAGGAAAAGATATCCAATCAGGTGGAGTCGGTCCAGATAGACCATATAGAAATGGCGAAATTCCCTCAGACAGATTTGGAGGACAAACAGACAGGTCTATCCCAAGTGGCAATTTTCCTAAAAGTGACACAAACCCATTAAATACAGGTAATAATTATGGTTTGCAACAGAATGGCTACCCGGTTCAGGCCGGTGGTCACAATGGTATGCCTATACACGATTTAAATGACCAAACCAAATATCCAACTCCAGATGGCAGGGGCGAACAAACTTCACGGGGAAATTACATACCAAACGTACCAGGTCAAACTGGAAAGAATAATAATAACATGCAACACTATCCAAATAATTATAATCAACCTACTTCCGTTAATCCCAATGATGGTTCGTATTATAATCCAAGACCAAGTGGACCTTACTCTCCAGGACAAAGAGGAGGAGAAAGTTATGTACCGAGTGGGTCGTCTTTACCACCTGGTCAACTAAATGCTTTTAATCCAAAAACAAGCCCTGATAATGTACTACCGGGAGCTATCGGCCAAGCACTTGTTCCTCAGCAGTCTCCAACAGGTATAGCTAATTATGATCGGAACAGATATCACCCTGGTTCATATGTGTCCGGCGACACCAGGGGGAATTGGCCCCCTACAGGCCCATTCCAAGGGCCTGATGGAAAAACTTATGTTTGTTGTGAAGTACCTGGAGCGACAAAACTACAAAGTGCTTATGGTCAAAATAGTGGAGGCAGCCCCAACAATCTATTAGCTCCAGAAATAACTCAGCCTGGAGGAAAATATGGATCTGAAGGACCAGGAGAAGGTCATAATGTCCAAAATGGACCTAGACAATATAGTCCAGAACATGTAAGTGGTTTTAGACCGGGCGGAGAGTACCAATATCCAAGTAGTAAATATACTCCTCTAGTGAATCAATTTGTTCCTGGAAACGCTGGCTACGATGCAGGTGGAGAGTATTATCCAAGGGGTCATTATTTACCTGGGAGCGGATCACAATCAGGCATCGTAGGTCCAGGCAAGCAAGACACCTCTAGAAGTAGTCCTGGTACAGGAACCGGTGGACATTACATTCCTGGGAGAAATGGAGAACCAGGAACTGAAAATCTTGGAAGTCATTTCTCTCCTGGAAGTAGTCCAGCTACAGGATCAGGGAATAAATATATTCCTGGAAGAGATACAGGTTCCGGAACTGGAGGCCCTGGAGATCAATACTCTCCAGGTACTGGTCAAACTACAGGATCAGGTGGACAATATATACCTGGAAGAGACATGGATTCCGGGACTAGAGGTCCTGGAGATCAATATTCCCCTGGTACTGGTCCTTCTACAGGATCAGGTGGACAATACATTCCTGGAAAAGGTATAGGTTCCGGGACTAGAGGCCCTGGTGATCAATATCCTCCTGGTGCTGGTCCGTCTACAGGATCAGGCGGACAATACATTCCAGGAAGAGATATGAGTTTCGAGACTGGCGGACCTGGAAGTCAATATTCTCCTGGTACTAGTCCTTCTACGGGAACAGGTGGACAATACATTCCTGGAAGAGATATGGGTTCCGGGACTGGAGGTCCTGGCAGTCAATATTCTCCTAGTACTGGTTCTACTACAGGATCTGGTGGCCAATACATTCCTGGAAGAGAAATAGGTTCTGGAACTGGAGGCCCTGGAGGTCAATATTCTCCTGGTACTGGTCCTTCTACAGGATCAGGAACACAATACAATCCTGGACTAAATATAGGTTCCAGAACTGGGAGCCCTGGAGGGCAATATTCTCCTGGTCCTATTACAGGATCAGGTGGACAATACATTCCTGGAAGAGATATAGGTTCGGGGACTGGAGGCCCTGGAGGTCAATATTCTCCTGGTATTGGTCCTTCTACAGGATCAGTTGGACAATACATTCCTGGAAGAGATATGGGATCCGGGAATGGAGGCCCTGGAGGTCAATATTCTCCTGGTATTAGTCCTTCTTCAGGATCAGGTGGACAATACATTCCTGGAAGAGATATGGGTTTCGGTACTGGAGGACCTGGGAATCAATATTCCCCTGGTGCTGGTCCTTCTACAGGATCTGGTGGACAATACATTCCTGGAAGAGATGCAGGTTACGAAACTGGAGGCCCTGAAGGTCAATATTCTCCTGGTACTGGTCCTTCTACAGGATCAGGTGGACACTACATTCCCGGAAGAGATGTGGGTTCCGGGACTGGAGGTCCTGGCGGTCAATTTTCCCCTAGTACTGGTCCTCCTACAGGATCAGGTGGACAATACATTCCTGGAAGAGATACAGGATCCGGAACTGGAGCTCCTGGAGGTCAATATTCTCCTCGCACTGGTCCTTCTACAGGATCAGGTGGACAGTACATTCCTGAAAGAAATATGGGTTCCGGGACTGGAGACCCTGGCGGTCAATATTCTTCTGGCACTGGTCCTTCTACAGGATCAGGTGGACAATACATTCCTGGAAGAGATATGGGTTCGGGTCCTGGAGGCCCTGGACGTCAATATTCTCCTGGTACTAGTCCTACTACAGGATCAGGTGAACGTTATATTCCAAGAGGAGGTTCCGGATCAGAAACCAGTAGCTCAGGAGGCCCGTTTAATCCTGGAGGTGGAGCTGGTCATTACGATCTTGCTAATGGTGCACCTTCTGGTCGTGAAGGACAAGGGACTAATTACAGGCCTGATTCGGGAACTGGAGGTGGAAGTAGTCAGTATAAACCTAGTTTGACTGGGTCCAGCGTTAGCTTACCTAGTGGACAATCTCTCCCCGAAAATAGATACGGTTATGGAAATAGTCCTGATAAAGTAGGAGGAGGACCGAATGTCCCATATGGAAATCCTGGATCAATTGGAAGCGACGCTACTGGGCGGTATCCAAATGGCCAGACTGGCACGCAATATGAGGTAAGATTAATTAAAAAACGTAACGAGTATTATAACATAACACTTAAGTATTAGACTATTTTCAAAAATAAATCAAAGTTACTTCAAATAATGTGTAATATGTTGCATTAATTTTCCTTTCATGTAATAAGATTTAAGAGATATTCGAGTAAAAGATTTACCAAAGTAATATATTTAATACATATTAGCTGTTTAGTATAAGTAATAAATAGTATTTAACATATATAATTACGTATATATTACTTTTTTAGGTTGGAGGAACAAACCCTACATACAATAGTAAGTGTATATCGATAATAATAACATTGCATTAGTATATTATGTAGCGGTTACCTTACTACATTTCTTTAAATTTCAGATGTACCACAAAATTATGTTGATCCCCAGTCTGTCGCTGATGATGACGATTCAGAAGCAGAAGCAGTTGTATCTCAAGCAATCAATGGAACAACGGCCAGTGCAACTTCAAAGGGAGGAAATGATAAAGCGCGTGCTCAAACTCATGTACAAGGAACATATTCAGGAAGTGGTTCATTTCAAGCTCAAGCACAAATAGCTGGTGAAAACAAAGAGGCTGAAAGCGAGGTAAGTGGAGGCAAGAAAGGAGCGTCAAGTTCAGCAACTGGAAGTGGGCGTAACAATAAATCTCAAGCAAGTGTTCAATTAGGATCTGAGACAGGAGCTGTACAAACTAATTCCCAGAGTAGTGGTGCAATGCATTCTTCTAACTCACAAGTACAAGGCAGCGTTAAGGGAGGTACAGCTGACGCTCAAGCGCGTGGTCCTGGCAGCACATCGTCGCAAGCACAAATTGGATTCACCCCATACAAAGATAGTGAAAAGTCAAAGCACGATCTTCAGAAAATTCCGTTTGTCGGTGGGGGAATGGCATCAGCCCAATCAAGTGGGCGAACTGGTCAGTCACAATCTCAATTACATGGTACCTTTAAATATGGTATAACATATAATGGTGCCGCTCAGGCTGGGGCTAGTATTGATAAGGATGCCATATTTCCAAATAGATTAGCATTTGAAAAAATAGATGTCTTCAATGAGAAAGATAAGAATATAAACGTTGATCTCACTGAACCACCACCGGAACTAGAAACTGAAAAAACTCCCGAGACAACGCCAGCACTTCCAGAACTAGTAGTGGAAGAACAAAAAGAGGAAGAAGTAACAACAACGGAAAAGAGTCTCGATGAAACATTAACAGATTCAGAAATTAAATATGATGCTCATCCCCACGCTGACCATCATTCTTATGAGACCACACCATCGGAATCTACTGTAACAGATAACAGGAGATCATTCCACAATTATTATGGCACCGAATACGATACGTACACGACAGATAAAGACGACACTGACGATTATGATCCAGAAAGCGCTTTTATACCAGATGGAACGGAAGTTGATCAAGGAGCCGAGTTTCCTAGTTATGACGAATACAGAGGAGATGCTACCCATCAATCTCTACAAAGCCCAAGAAAGGGAGTAGATGTGCATCAAAGCACGGGTGGTAATACGCAACACATTATTCTGGGATCACTTAAAAAGCACGACGCCGAAATAACGCAGAAAAGTTCGGAAAGGCCAGACGAAAAAAGAATATACCAGCCTGGGGAGCGTGTGCCGGGCACAGGAGGATATACTATACCCATCGGCTTTACAGGAAGTGTGAAATCAGTTGCTTCAAAAGACAAGACGTACGTAATCGGGTCTAGGGATTCTCCATCTCAAGCACAGACCGTCACTCTTACTCCTGGCACGGGAAAAGTAAGGTATACCTATCCTTCGAGTTACGGTAAATACGTCCATCCAACGAACTTACGTTCACTCAATAGTAAACGTGATGACGACCGGTACGTTTCCATGTCTAAATCGGTGACCCGAGATTTGGACAATGACAATAATATAAGAAAACAATACTCACACACTTACTACACAAAGTCGTCCTCCTGTGGCTACTTCACTTTCACGTGTACAATGGTAAGTAGCGCCGAAGGGAAGAAGAAAGTATGTAAACCGAAAATACCAACCAATCCCGATGGTACGCCAATAAGGTGCTAATGTGCAAAATACTGATACAGTAGTTTTATACACTCAATGCTACTTAATATTGTATTTTTAATTAGACTTTGGGGAGGTCCTTAGTATTTTAATTATTTGTGAATAGATTCAATTACTGTAAAATATACTTAGGCTATTGAGGAATGTAAATAGTGTAATTAAGTGAAGATTAAAAATATAAAGATCAAATACTGTATAACGTTGATTTTTATTAAAGCATTTATAAAATACTCCCGCATAACGAATTACTTCGCATTAGTTCAGACCTAATTTAGAGCTGTAGTTATCTGTCAACTTAATACGTACGTCCATGTTGACAGAATCGAAAGAATTAATCGTAATTTCTCAAAACATCTATTCTTTTTAAGTATATTTTGAATTTATTTATTATATATTTATTGACATAATATCACCTATAAATGCAAGTGAGAAAATACTGGCTTTCTTTCATTTGCCATCACTCCGCGATAGACGCCGCCTTGCCATTATCTTTGTCTACAAAATTTTAATAAACTGGTATAATTACCAATTATTTTAAATCAAGTTATTTTCTCTTGAAACACAAGAATCACAAGACCTTTTATACGTTCGGGCGGTTAGGAGCAACGTTGGTTGTAATGCTCCTCTAAACAGGTCTCTATCTGCTGTAAACGAGGCTTTGAGGACATGCGAGACTGATCCATTTTATAACAGTCTCCATGTTTCGTTCGTTCGTTTCTTCGAGCGTAATGCTTGAATTGCGAAGTAGAAATAAATTTTTAAATTAAAAATTAGTTTATTGTCATTTACCTACTACTACACTAGCTGACCCGGCGACCTTCGTTCCGCCTAACAGTCTAATAATTTACTTAAAGTTAATTTTTGTTAACTTTAGTGAAACTTAAATTAGGATCTCATTAAGGTAATAACATTAATACAACTTTTTTTGAAAATACAGAAATGTTTTATTGCTTGCCATTGCGAAAGAAGAATGGCAGTTTTACACATTAGGCCTCTTCTCTATAGCGCCAATATTGTAATACTCCATGTTAAATCACTTTCTGATACACAACATTTCTTTTGTTGTTATCCGGCGCAAGAACAAAGTGGTAGGTCTCTCTTATATGCGTAATTTTGTCAACAGATGCTGTTTGCATTCCTAAAATTAACTAATTTATTTTTATTCGATAACCTATCCGATATTTTATTACTTACTTATGCTATTTTTGCCTTTACATTTCGTGCACACTTGTCTTTGATGCACATGCATGTTTTGTTTTTGTATGCTGTGTTCTCTTTATTGGCTTCACTAGTGCATTTGGCATTTGTCTAGCAACCGTCTATAGTAATTGCTGCGCAAGGGATAACCCGATGCTTGGCGATATCGGTTCAAATCTAAGATGTAAGAAAAAGACAATAATTTTCTTGAATAATTTATTGAATCCCATACAGTAGTTTTACAATGTGTAAACATGTTGAAGGTTTTACAATTTAAACACCCTTATTAAAATTATCAAGGTATATTTCAAAAGAACGCCGAACAATTTAATAATTCAAACAGTATCACGATGTATATAGATGTAAAACTTTCAGTGCATTTTTAATCTATATGCGGCGTTAATACATTTAATCAAACCCGGAACATACGCAGTACTCTTTTAAGGTATGAACACCACTAAGGTAAATATAAAAGCCACTAAGTTTTCTTCAGAAGTTCCTAAATTGAGTACGGCATATAACGTTTAAAATAGAATCTTTAGAAAAATCACAAAATTTCAGAATACTACAAGTCAGATAAAATTCTGTATAATTTGAACATTACTTCAATAAAATCCGCATAGTTGAGGAACACGTATAATATACTTATAATAATTTTACGACTACATGATAAGATCTATGTTAAACTCTGCGACATTCGTTTAAAAATGTGACAACCCTCACTTGTAACCACGGACGTCTAACGCGAGCTGATTGAAACTGAAAAGTCACGGACTTCGACCAAGAAATAAATAAAAATTTAATGTTTTTTTACTGTTGCCTTGACTAGTTATTTATTGGATATGCCGACCAGAAAACAAAGATTGTGACATAATAGTTCAAAGGTTTGCGTTACTTTATAGTCCTTAATAACACTAGATCAATATTATAATACGATGTTTAAATAAAACAGGAATTACGTAGTCATTTTTTCAATTAACAAACTGACAGAAAGTTCTTCCCGTTTAAATGTTTAAATTTTTTTCAGCACGCGCTAGAACTACGTCAACCATCCCGGGATTGCCTCAATTACAAAACCAATCTCCCAACACAAATATAATTATTCTTCACCTAACGGAATGTAAATTAAGTACAGTAATCACATAATAATTTCTATAAATACTGTATTCATGGCAAATTAATAACATACTAACAGGCATATCACAACAATTCTGCCATTACAAACTGAGAACCGTTTGGCGATACGACGTCACGGTATCTTACTGGCCATCGGGACCAATAAGAGACTGCTAGGCAACATGTTCAGTCTGTGAAAGTTCAGTGTACTAACGTCTTTACAACATAAATCCTGCGACAAAAAATAGCGGTAATATTACAAAATCAGATCAAACTGCAAACAATAAGTAGTGGAATTAAGTCAGTCTTATGGTGGGATTGAACTTAAAGTAATTGAGTATTAAATCTTGAGCTACCTTATATGCAACATAAATAAAACACATCTTAAACATACAAGCAGAACAAAAAACTTTGTAAAAACATATAGTTAAATTACTATGTTGGTGGGGATGAAGCTTATAACTAAAAATACAAACAACATAAAGCGTTGCATACAACCTTTTAAATAAATACACCCGACCCTTAAGAGGGTTTTTCGCATTTGCCAGGCAAAAAAATTTCATATATTGGAACTAGGTGCGAACATTAGAAAAAACAAGTATAAACCAAATCAGCTGTCTCGCTCATTATTTCACGACGCGCGCGACACAACAATACACATACACTATACAATTTTCATAGAAACTAAATCAGACATTACTGTTTTAAAACACTGTCTTCATGGCAGCGTTAACACATTTTTATAGACAGAGCCGATAAATTTAAACAGTTTATAACTAATTTAGATTTTACGATGGTTAGTTTCTTGAATAATTTCAAGGATTGAAATCATTGATTACTAAGACGGCTGTAAGAATTCCTATTGCTATTGAATATTGTTTTTGATGTTTGTGGAGAGCACCTATCAGATATGTTAATGCAATAAAATGGCAGTGTTTAAGATAGAGGCTTTATACAACCGGTGCTATTCATGGATCTAAGTAAACACATTCTATATATATACCGCTTAGTTTAAATGTTAATGGGACCGTCAGAAGATTGTCTGAGCGAAACACCTTTTGAAATATGATTCTGCGGGTAAACTAATATCAACTAACTCTGTTTGCCTAACTAATCTCGTAGACTCATTAGATACACAGATCTTTGATAGCGTGTAATTCTAATTATCTCTAAATGGCATTCATTTTTACCGCTTAGGCAAATTCAGAGACAATTTTAATCGTAAGCTGTCTAATCTGTCAACATTGTCAGATGGGCGGGTTAGTTTGCACTTGTCTCTGACTTTTATAACAGACATATTTTAGCTGAAGTTAGTTTATATGAATTAAAATAAATTGAAGTCGGTTATTGAAGCAAAAATATTTTTAATTTTTTGAAATTTCGATTGTTGTAGGAAATTTTTATGTGTCTGGCGCGCCTCTATTGCTATCAGCCTCATCTCATAAAAAACATCTTATCACCGGTAAATAACTGAGATTTCTTAAATAAATTTAATACTTTTAAGAAGGTACTTAAACTACGTTATCTTAAGTAGGCATTGATTGGTCGTCTTTCGAACCAATCGAAACATCAGTTAATTCGAAAAACAAGAAAATGAGATCATTCAAGAATCGCCATCTAGTTCTGAATCTACAATTAATTTTAGATTAAATGGCAATATTCAAATACTGTAACGAGGAACTTGGTTCAAAAATGGCGTCAATAGTGACATTGTCCCTATCAGTACACAAGTAGGAGAATACTTTGTGTGACATTCAGTCTGTCTCCGGTGTGTCAAAAGTCGGTACGTGTTTGACAGACGGGAGCGCAAGTCACGAATATCACCTAAGATGTCTCTTGAAAAGTCAAATATTGATTTCTATCTTATTATAGATATTATTCATAAAATCTAATTGCATTCTACTTAAAATCCTCATCTCTTTTATAATCATTTGACAGAAAGAGACGAAAGAGTTAATTACGAGTGCAATCAGACGGAATTTAAAGATATACTATGACTGTTAACTACGGCTGCTCCGACACTATGTGTGGGCACATTTAACTATCGGGATGTCTACATCAAATTCCATTCACTTAAATAATTTCTTATGTGATTTGTCTATATATGTACTCAAGGCGTACATAGCTCTGATAAATACATTTTACGCTACATATAAGTATATTTTTCAAAGAGAAAGGACCAGCCTTATATATTTTGAACTGGTAAATAAAATCGAATATACGAATGTAAATAGATTATATATGAAGTGCTATTAACACATTGAAATACTTTTCTTACAAACCAAATAGTTTGGTTTAAACAGTTGATTTTTAAATGAATTTTCTCGAAAACGAATTTGAAAAAATTTTAGTGTTTCAATAACATAAATTTTATCACAAAAAGTTGTGCAATTTACAATAATATAATTCGCGAACATACAGTAATCTTAGTCTAAAGTAATCAAACTCATAAAAAAAGTATTATAAACGTCAATATTTGAGTTTGTTAACACTAAATAAAGTTGAGCTGACAAATACGTCACTTCTTGCACAGAAGTAGTTTGACAGATCCTGAGTTTAACATAATCAGAGACCAAGATCTGCTCTACGTTCAAACCTGGCAAACACTACCGGATTGAAACTTGTACAATTTAGTCTTGAATTACTAGTACACGGTAAACGGCCTCCAAAAGAATAAAAGTTTTCGAAATAATCCACCCGACAACCGCAGGCAGATAGGAATTGTACTGAACCTGTGTATGGCATGGCTACTAGCTGCGTGTACGCATCAGACACGCAGAATATTTTATTTTAGGATCCGCCGCGTAAACGCTTAAAACGCTCCTTCTCCAGCTGGTCCGTGGGATGCTCGCGGTCGAATGATGTCAGTTCCAGTCCTGGAAGGTTATGAAGTAAACTTATATACAAAGTTCTCGTGTCATAGTGTTTGTAAGTCCTCTAAAACGAATTTACTGATTTTTATGTAATTTTTAGTGTATTTTTTTTTTGTGTATTGGTAGGTATTTTTATACACCTAACTGATAAGGGTGGATGCCAAATACATGAACAGATATATTAAAAGCCTCTCTTATAAAAATCCTAAAATACCGAGCCTGCAGCTAGTCTCAGCCCTAATAGAATTGGTTCGGAAATACGTTAGGGGGCAGCTGGTTCCACATGGTGGTGGTGCGCGGTAAAATATGCCTTAAAAAACGCTCAGTTGTGGAACGACGGATGTCGAAGTGATACGGGTGGAATTTTGTATTCTCCCTTGACGTCTGATGAAACTCAGCTGCCGGTATTAATTCGAACAACTCCTCTGAACACTCTCCATGGTAAATGCGGTAGAAGATGCAGAGAGACCCCACATCTCTACGTAAAATCAAAGGATCAAGCCGTTCGGAGAGGATTGGTCGACGACAATTCGAACCGCTATTCGTTGAATACGATCAAGTGGAAGGAGCTGGTACTGGGGAGGTCCCACCTAGATGTGAGAACAGTACTCCATGTAGGGCCGAATTTGAGTTATATACTTATAGAGTTGCAAACGGTGGACCTGAGTAAAGTATCTTCTCGTCTTGCTGAGCACACCAAGCTTTTTGGAGGCTAAATTAGCCTTTCCTTCCAAATGACCGCGAAACTGAACGTCGTTCTTACGTCGACCCCAAGTATTCCGATGCTGGCTGTGGCTTTAAGAGTGTCTTCAAAATGACGATGGGTATTTTTTTTGTGGAAAACGCGCAAACTTGTGTCTCCTTGGGGTTAAATTGGACTACATTTAGTCACACACTTTACGCTTAGCTGTCTTTTTTCAATTGCGTTTTTCTCGCTTTTTAACTTTACTTAAGTGTGCTATATAATTGATTTGAATACAACGGTTTTGTGACTGTAGACGTTTCCTTATCTATCCTGCTGCCGAACTTAATTTTTATTATCTGGTGGTGCTCGTCTTACGCGGACCTGTACGATATCTAGAAAGTTTATTAATTTATTTGAACAAATAACCTGCCATCACGGGTCACCCTAATGGACTAGTGTTTAAAGTTATGATTAGTTACCCCTTTCTGTAAGCGTGCTCCTCTCAGTGAAAAATGCACGAGCAGCGGGGTTGAGTGCTGGCGGGGTTGCCATGACAACCGTTCCTTCAGCGCAAAGACGTCTCGCTGCCAGCTGAGAGCACACATGACGCGCCAAGAGCGTACATTTTGAGAAGTTTATACGATTACCCGAGAGTCTATAAAAGGAAAATCACAAACATTTTTGATTAATAAGCAAGATAAATAAATAATAATATACAGTATATTCTATATTGAAAGTCAAACACTATGTTAAAATGTTCTTATTAGTAAATTAGATTTAATTTATAATACTTATTTCTAATAATAATCTACGTATAACGTTAGTAACAAATATTTTACTTAAGAAAGTGTCCAATAACACTACTTACAGTCTCTATTAAGGGGAAAGCACTGTTTTATTTATAGAACATCAGGCATACGGATGTTAAGTAATACTTCCGCCCGTGAATACAATCAATGCCAGAGGGCTCGCGAGTACGTTGCCTGCCTTTTAAGAATTGGTACGCTCCTTTCTTGAAGGGTAAAGGTTTTTATGTTGTTGTTTTTCACTTAGCACATTTGAGCCCTTTAGTAACTTGCACTAACACTAATTCAAATAAATGAATAGTCTCGATTTTTTTTTTATATCTAAAAAGTTCTTACTTGTTGGGTGAAGCTTGATTTACGAAATGCAGGTCTCTGCAAGTGACTGAGAGTAGTGGAACAGCTGTCTCTGTAGGCGCCGCTGCTAGAGCTGCTCTGTACCTGCGTTTAGGAAGTCAAATGGTACAAAATTCATAAAAATATATTCCAATAAAGTGATCTTGCAAAGCCTATTAGAATCAGAGGGCGAAACAATTCATTATATACAAATTCATTTCCTCTTGGCATCTGCCCCGTCCATTTCCACATAAGTTTAAGTATTTTTATTGTAAGATCTAAGAAACAGAAAAGTGGAGCAAAGTACTGAACTGGTGCTCCAGGTACAATAAACGCAAAAGAGGAATTTAGAAGGTGGATAGACCAAATTAAGAAAACTGGTGGTACATGACATGAGAATGGCGGGATGTGTTTAAGTGTAAAAGTATCTGAGATAAAAGACTATTATTATTTTATTATACTTCTCTGTTACGATAACAATACGATTTCAAGTATTTTATGCAAATTTAATTTCATTAAGTAAGCAGAATGAATTACTATTTACTACTTAAATTTAAAACCTTCCTAAAATGGAAAAGTCTGAAAAATAATAAATTGCTTCAAAGTGCATATATGTATATATATATATAGTAAAACAAACTGAAAACTATACTAAATGACATATTTCTGTCTACGACAAGTGTTGCTTACCAGCGATATCGCTACTTATTTATAGGTAATAAATATTCACCTCGCGTGATTCCCACTTGGTTCAACGCAGAGCTCGAGTTGTCGCAACTGCTGCACGCAGACCCCCGAAGTGCGGCTCCACTATAGTAAAATTAAAAATAAATAGAAAAAAGCATTCCTAGGTGTTTTTTTTAAAGAACAGGGGGCAAACGAATAGTAGATCATCTGGTGTTAAGTGATACCGCCGCCCATGGACACTCTCAATGTTAGAGGGCTCGCGAGTGCGTTGCCAGCCTTTTAAGAATTGGTCGAAACGGTTCGGAAATACTTCAGTGAGCAGTTGTTTTTACTTAACTTAATTTATTATCTTATTAAAACTTACAGTTTTCCTAAGCCTGGTGACAGGAATCATGTTGAGTGCGCTGATGATGGCCATAAGCGAGTTGAAATTGCCCAAATTGAAGCATTCCCTTGCAGTCATCACCCATTGCTCAATCACACGCGCTCTGTATTTGCTCTTCACTGGCTGTAAATATTTAGAAATTTAATAAAAATCACAAAATCGCCAGCGTTAAAACAAAAATGGTCAATTTCTCTCACCTTGACAATATCAGAAGCGACCAAAAAGCTCAATCTATTGAACCAATCGGCGTAGGCCTCCAAATTCTTGGTACTTTTCGTTTCCACGTGTTGAAGAGTAATTGTTTTTCCTGATGTTGAGGGTTGATTCGGTACAAAAGTCTGAACAAACTCTTCGGGGCCGATAAAAGACAGCCGATGCAATTCTAGCATCGTTAGCTGATTGGCCAGTTCCACTGGTGTTAGGCCGAGAGTTAAAACGTCTCCCTGAAAGAAACTAAGATTTTGGTACGAATTGTATGAAATTTACTTATATGTAGAACTCATTCAAAAGGAAGTCTTTGAACTCATTGATAAATGACGGCTGGAGGAAGCCTGGAAGACCGAAACCAAATACTGAACTTTATATACATTATAATTGATAATAAGTCAATTTTATATCATTTGTATTTTGTAGTAAATATCTGTTTTATAAGGTTGTAAATTTAACACGATTTTTTTTATATTCCTATAAAAACGCGAATACAGTTAGTAAAAATGAAAATACCTGCAGTAAGGTATCCGCATTCAAAACCTGCGGCACATCGGTCAATGTCTCTTCATAATGTTCTAACGCTGTTAGTTTGTCAAGCAAACGTTCCAAAACACTCGACATCTCTGCACGCACCGAGCTCATATGCTCTGCTGAGCATCTGTAATCACATTTCAGAAGTGAGAATCATTTGAGAACCTATATCATATGGAAAGGTTGTTTTTTACAAATATGATTTAATCAAATATGTATGTACAAAAAGAATGACAAATTGAAAATTATTATGGAAAATAACTACATATATGCGAGAGAAAGAGAGTGAGATCTAGAAAGACGAATTAACGGAAGGACAGAGAAGACAATTGATTAGGGAGCTTTTAACTAAAATGAAAATGCTACAAATAATTCCCTTGATGCTTTTTAAGCCTCTGGTACTTCTAAGGATTTCGATTCGACTTAAGAGCAGTGACGGCCGAGGGTGTTCAGTGTGTTACGACTCTCAACCCTAAGCTTGTATCCAAAGTCTTCCCTCCACTCTCTACCTATTGGGAGACCTCCACTCCTGGATCTTTTCGCCCCTATCCGCCATCCTTTTCTTTCCATGTCAGTGACTTTAGTTCTACGGATCTCTTCTCTTGGTCGTAATGTGAAAGAAAACATCGTGAGGAAACCGCCATGCCTGAGACCAAAAGGCCGACGGCGTGTGTAAGGAAGGTTGTTCAACAACTAGCCCATTAGAAAAAAAGATCATAAAACAGATACAGAACTCGGAGACCCAAACGTAAAAGGTTGTAGCCGCTTTTTTTTATAAAACTAAGAGAAGAATTAAAGTTAATGTACCGGCAATACCTCTGCGTGATACTCTTCACGAGGGCCATAACACGGTCATCTCGGAAGTCGTACGGGAACATGCTGGTCCAATTATCAAGAACACGGACCAATGACACCATCTCTTGGACTTCTTTTTCTGCTGAATCCTTCATTTCTGACTTTCCCTGTAAGAAATCACATTTTTCACTGTAATTTGATTCTGTGATTTAAGTCGGGGCGTAATATGCGTGAGTACAAGTCAAACTCACCACTTTATCGTAATTTCGAAAATATCTCTTGCATAATTTGGCTAAAAGCTCATGTGGCTTGATGAAAAGCCTCGAACAGAGCAAGAATGTGAAAATAAATGATTTGCTGGCCCCTGGCCGTAGAAGGTCAGCCAGAGAGTCTATTGTACCACTGACAATCTGGCCATCTTTGTACTCTAGGTCCGGTTTTTCTGTATTCACGTAGGGTAGGGATAGGCTTTTAGCTGGAGGGTTGGAAAGCTGAAACACAAAAATAATTAGAAAAAATTACTTAGTTTACTTCAAAACTAAGTATTAAATGACAAACATGCTCTAAGAAACAGTTCGAGTGATTTCCGATTGAACATTGTTACCGGAAATTACGCAACAGAGAATACGAACGAAGCAAATTTCTTTATTTCCTTCTTTCTCAGTACAAAGATTGAATGTCTTAATTTACACAAGATTTTTATTCTATTTAACGTAGAAAAATACCTGGGGTTGATCAGTTTTTTGTGTGGCGACAAAGTTAAGACCGCCGTTCATCATTAGATGCTTCACTCCACTCTCCGACATAAATTTGTTTCCTCTTACCATGGAGTAGTAGTCATCATTCTACAAAAAAAATTACAAACCTAAAATACCCCATAGCGTAGAATTTTTCAATTTAATAGAATAACAAACGAGCAGTGGGCTCAGCCGATGTGAAGTAATACGAGAACGACCTCTTAAGAGTTTGTCAAAAGCCGCAAAATTGTATAATAAAATTATCGCCAGTTCAAGTAAGGAACTCCTGATAACTACTGAGTAGTGTGTTTATAGTACTTCACGGCTTTTAAATGTTTATCTAGTTCTTTATTCATTTTCCCCTAAAAGTATTTACATGTTCGACTGTCACCGTATTTTAGTGTCCAGGCAATATAAGAAATATTAAATTTTAAGTTTTTTTTATAGCCTACCACGGTCTCTGTCGTACTTAAAAAAATTATTAAGTTCCGTATTCCGTAGGCCACTGAGCGATACGTTTCTGCGTCTTTTTTATTAATCATTTAAATTTGAAGACGCCAGTTTAGGTTTGAATCGATGTTTTTCCTTGATCACAAATGTTTTAAAAGCTCGTCAAGAAAGAAATATCCATTTCTGTAGAAATCGATATTATCAGGATAGGGCGCAAACCCACAACCTTAAGATTGAAAGTAAGATGCTTAACCTTGCCTGCCTTGCTTTTCTAGGCTTGGATTAGCGCAAATTGCATAAATGCTTCGACAGAAATTTCATACTTTAAATAATAATAGAAATAAAAATATTTGTTTTATTTACAACTATTAATATACTGCTGCATAAAAAATAACTAAAGAAGAATGCACGATAAAAGCAGAATAAATATAACGCTTCGTCAAACGTAAGACAGACCCTAGAAAGGAAACGTGAGTATAATTACGACGTCAGTAAATAGATTAGGCACCGATAGAGGCTTCGAGCTTTGTCGACACTTCCAGCACCAATAATTGAGTTAATGCATCAATGGAACGTCTTTGCGCATCTTTATTATATTACTTGCAAATTTCAACAGTCTTAAATAATGCTAGATGGATTTTGGAAAGGATAAAAATTTATTTTTAGTCCTCACTGTTAAGGCTATGTTCAGATGGCAAAAACTTGACGCGCGTTTTCAAATCGCGCGACTAGACATTGTGGTATTTTCATACAACTGTTCACATGAGCGCGCGTTAACGCGCGTCAACGCGGCGCTCAGAGAAAAAGTCTCTAGACGCACGTGATCGCGCGTTGACGCGCGCTTTGATATTAATGTAATGTCCGTATGCTGTTCAGTTGAGCGCGCGCTTTCATCGCGATCGCATGTAATTTTGTTAATTTTCGTAATTATATTTATAGACCCAGTTTGGGTCTATTTTTCAAAATTGGATGAACCCAATGTGTACGTTACGTTTTCTTTTTCTATATTTTTCTTTATAATATAACCACAAAATAATAGCCTCTTCCACGTCCATTTTCTACGTTCTACCGAACTAGACTGACGAGTACTCTCGCAACGCGCATTAGCGCTCATCATCTGAACTCTCTTCAAATTTGATCGCGTGTTGACGCGCGTTAACGCGCGTTACATGTGACCATAGCCTAATATTAGTAGAAAGGTTGAAATAGGAAGATAATTGTGTCGCCATTTTGACTTAATATTAACAATAACACACACGCACACTGTTCGCGTTTGCGGTGCCTGTCATACTTATTTATTCAGGGATAAAAAACATATTCTACTCTTGGCTAGTAGAGAATATTTAATTACGCAGCTATAATAAAATGTATTGAATTTTGCTATATGTAAGAGCGAAAGTTATGAACGTTTCTTATCGTTAATGTAAAAACCTAGTTAATGTACATTTATTTCTTGAATGACAATGAACACGCAATCAGTAAAATTCTCTAGATATTCGATTACTTACATCGTAGTACGACAGTCCAGTGCCGAGTAAAGTTGAGTCTGTCTTCAGCAATTGGGAATGTTCCGCTGGTGGCGCAGGCGCAGCCTCTGACGGCGCCGATGGCACCTTCGAATCAACACATTATGACATTATACTACATATTTCAAAGCGCTGGTACACTTTTTTTTTTAATTTTTAAAATGTTGCTATAAATATCACGTGTTTAAACTATAACCTCTAACGACAAGGTTTTCTTCAGATCACGTTGAATGTATAAGACTTTTTCAATAAGTTAAAAAAATATGTTCATATTTTAGAAAATCTGGCACTGAAGCATATTTTTAAGAGTATAATATTCTTAAGTTACTGACTCTATTTACGATAAAACATAATTCATCATTACAAACAAACAAGACATGTTACTATTACTATGCAGTGTAACCTCCATGTAACGGCCTTCGATTTAACGACAAACCCCCCTAAAGCGTCGACATCACTCGGCTATGGTTGGTTAAGCTTGTCTTCCATACAATGTTACATATAATAGCTTTAGACCAACCCTCAATAACGACAAATAAATAAGAAAAAGTACTTTTTAAGTTGCCGAAATTAATTAAAACTGCGGAACTGTGTACGCTTTATTGTCCTATCATACGTATCGAACATCTTAAGAAATCCGTTCTTTTGTTTACAAATTGGGATTGCTTGCACGTGCTTTATCACAAAGATGAGTCAATATCGCAAGTTATGAATAAAACAAGTAAAAAATACAACATATTTACTGGTGCAGCAAACGACGTCAGGCGAAAATAACAGACTACGTAATAGCGTTCAAATAAGAATTGTTTTTTATGTAATTACTAACACTCGCCTGAAAGAAACTTTTTCTTTTTCTAGTACAGATTTTTCTTCTCTCCATTTAACGACAACTCTTTGTAATGTCAAAATATGCAAAGTCCCTTGAGTGTCGTTATATAGAGTTTACACTGTATTATAAAACCTAACCAAATTCTTATTCAAATTAGAATAATTAATACTACGTACTTTCTGCCATATATATTGGAACAATTGTCTATTATTTAAAGACCAACGTATTGGCGAATTAGACCGTAAGACTCGATTGTACATAAAAAATGTTAAATCCTTCCTACCTTCACATTACACCCGCTACATGACGCCTCGTTTAGCTTGCTCGCGTAGTAATACATAGCCATCCAATGGCCAGTGCCAACCCTCGCACGCCGCTTTAACTAACACCGACCATGAAGCTTCACTGTAACAAAACAATCACTTAACTAAACTCTCATTAGTCTCACTGATTCCACTCAGAAAGATTTTTGAGCCTTCTACACCAAAATATACAGACACACCGCCTTCTACACAAAGCGTGGGCCAAGTCGCCGACGTAATCGTGCGATTGATCAATGTTTGTTTTAACAAACATTGATTTGATTGATATACACCAAGGTAATAACTCAAAATTTCAATCACTCAATTTCGTTTTACACAAACGAAGTCAAGTGCAATACAAGCGATAAAAACCGTGATCACTCTGAAAATCAAATGCAATATGCAACGAGTGTTAGCTTTAGATATTAGAAATAATCATTCAAATTGTTTTTCTATAAAAAAATCTACGGCACGTAGCAATTTAGCAAACTGACGGCCTCATAAACTGCATTAAACTTCAGGATTACTTTGAAATGATTTTTTTTAATAAGTATGCAAACTTTTTAGATTAAATTATATAAATATGGAGAAACTGGCCCTAAATCTTAAAAAAAAGCAATATTCAAAAATAGAACTGCAGTAAAACAAATGAATATAGCCGGGAATAGAAAATTTACTCGTAGTATCAGATTTGTGTGTTTTTTAAAATTGATTCTTATTGATTTTTTATTCTTTTGACAATTGAATTATTGTTACCAGCAGGATTGTTGGGTTAGCTTTTTAACTCATCGAGAGTTTCTTAACCATAATATGGATACTTCGTCCGAACAAGCTGCTCAAATTGTAGCATTGGTGCGGGAGGGCTTGGATCAACGAACGATTGGTAGATATTTAAATTTAAACCAGTCTACGGTAGAATACACAAGACTATAATACAGAAGGTTTGTGGAGACAGGTTCTTACAAAAGGAGACGTGGTACAGGCAGACCTCGAGCAACCACCGGTCGTGATGACCGATTTATTGTTACAACTTCCCTGCGAAATCGTTTCCTCACGTCAGTTAACATCAAAACAGAGCTTAATGAAGTGCGTGGAGTAAACGTTAGTGCACGAACAATAAGAAGAAGGTTAAAGGAAGCGGATATCACCCCATTTAGACCAGTAAATGGTCCAAATTTGTCTGTAGCTCACAGACAAGCTCGCTTAAGATTTGCGCGTGATCACCTAAATGGGACAGATGAGCAATGAGCCTCCGTATTATTCACAGACGAGTGTAGGACGACAGTGGCACAACTAAGAACAGCACTTTCAGAAGAATGGGACAATATTCCGCAAGATGTTTTATAACCCTAATCAAATTTATGCGGAACCGATTAGAATCCATAATAAGGGCACGTGGAGGTAATACACCTTATTACTTATTACAAAAAAAAACCCTTGTATAAAGCTTGTGTCTACTGTTAAAACCAATTTTTTAATTGAACAAATTTTCTTAAAATTTTAGTTTTTCTTCAAAAAAGTTTTAAGGTCCTTTCCAATACACAAACTTAAACTTAAGGATATGACCCTACGCTGTTTTAAAGTTAACGAACCAATCTAGACGTTTCAATTTAAATCTGTGTAGAAAGTTTGCATACTTGGTTAAAATATTTATTTCAAAGTCGTTTTTTACTTTGAGTCCGTCAGTGTAGGGGAAAAGCCGGATAGTTGCCCCACTTTTCGAAAAAGCTTTATATTTTTTAAATATGAACTTGCTGAAAATTATTCAGTGTTTATCTCGCAACATAGGTCTTTTATCTTCTATAAAAGCCTATTTTTGTATACATAATTAACAATGGTTTTGAATAAATACTGTTTTATTTCACCTCTCAGCAAAGGGATAGTTGCCTACTATGGCGGATAGTAGCCTAGCGTAGAAAATGCTTCGGGGATACTTGCCTCGTGCGTTTTTATTTTGGATAGAAAGAAATTTATATCAATTAGAGTAATATTTATTATTTATTTAACAGTCTTTATAATTTACTGAGATCTTTTATTAAGTACAATTTGAAATATTAAGAAACAACAGTAATTTTTTCTCCTTTTTCACCGGTAGTAACTGATTTAACTGCTTTAGCACCTTTCTTAATAATACTTTACTAATTTTATTATTGAGCTGGCCACCGCTTTCATCCATGTTAAATATTTTTTCTGGCTTATCCAGCAAATTATTCTCAGTTAAAATAGTTTTTAAGAGTTTGAAAAAATTTGCAACTTCTGTTCTGTTGAGACCCTTCTCTCTTTCAATTGATAAACCCTCAGCTTGTGTCAAAGTTATATCAGGATTTCTTTCAAGAAAGCTTTTTAGCCATTGAGGTCCAGCCATTTTACTCTCATTAATAAAGTTGTGCTTTAATCCCAACTTTGTCTCAATTTTTCGAAGGCAAGTGCTAAGCTATCTTCTGTCCAGTTGATGTTGATGAGGCATTTTGCTTATCTATAATAAATATATAAAACTGTGAAGTAGATATTTATTTAATTTACAATAAATTAGAGACAAAGTAAATTCGAATAAACAACAAAAAAACAGCAAAAAAATAAAATCTGTCTTTGCTTGTTAAGAAATTTTTAGTCACACTATCCGCGACAGTAAGTAGGGTCCTTTTTGATGCGGATACTTGCCCTTTTTATTTGCGAAATAAATAAAAATTATTTAGCAATAAAACATGATAAACAGTGTAATTTAAACTCTAATGCATGCAAAGAAACAAAAAGTTGACTGAAACCACGATCAGTAATAAAAATATTCAATAGAAATTACTTACCAATATAATTATAACGCTCGTCAAAGTTCGCCGCGGAAGATTTTTGCTCACACGGACAAAACACTTGGGCCTATACCGATGGCTTACGTCGCATTTAGGCCTGAGGGGCAGGCACTACTTATTGTAGTAAAGCGCCAATACAACTTATAATCCTAACATAGTTTTTTAAACTCCGGGCATGTATCCGTCCGAGGCAACTATCCGGCTTTTACCCTAGTTGGTACCAGGGCGAAAGTAAACACGACAATCCGTCGCACATCTAGACAAGTACTGACGAATGGCATCGTTTAGTTGTGGAAAGCTCTCAAACGATAACTATACATTCAAGATTATAGCATGCAAAGCCTAACTCTCCAAAGATAAGAAAAGCACAATCCTACACTTCACCTTTGTTATCGCCACAAATTATATAAAACCAGTGGATTCTGACGACGCCAAGTGTTAGATATTAAATTCGTTGATCAGAATGTGATGTATCTTCTCAGTCATTTTTAAACAAACATTAAATTGTCGTCTTTTTTAAAAGCAGTTATAAACAATTTAATATCTCGTGCACAGAGCAAGCAAAGTGAAAACAAAACTGAGAGATTATAAAATGTACGACGACAACCAATTATACTCAAGTACTAAGCTAATTATACTCAAGTATTAAATAAACAAATAATAGACAAAGTAAAATCGAATATATCGATATATTTTTTACAAGAAATACAAATAGGTTGTAGCAATAACAGGAATACATCTGATTCTTTGAGCGTTTTTTAATACAATTAGGTGATTAGCTTTCCAGGTTCACGTTTTCTTGAAAACCGAGCTAGTTTTAATAGCTACGGTTGAGAGTCGCACGCTTAATCACTAAACTAACTCTGTTCTTACAGAAATAAAAAATAAAAAATACGTGAGTACTCGATAACTTAACTACTACAATAACGAAAGTGTAACGTGATCTTTCTTAGGGTGCACATTAATGCGTGTAGAAGAAATCCCTAAACGGTCTACTACATTGCCTCAAATTACTGATAAGTCTATGAACACAGTATCGTCCATTCATCTGTGTTCAAACAATTATTGGAACCTTTGTTCTAATTACCAGCTTCGAATATTTATTCAACGTCTTTGGTCTTTGTTTTTCAAAACCAAACAAAATTCATTGTTGCATAAATATAAACTAAAATAGAAACATACTTATACATACAATACTTATACATACAATACTTAAACATAAACCAACATATTTTTTACTTAATGAAGTTATATGCTGAATCTGATGTTGATGATTAACAAGACTGAAAAAGTATTAGTTTTTTATGAAACACTACATTCATAGCTTGTTCCTTAATTTAGTTTTGTAAGTTTTATTTAATGATTTTAAACATAAATATTTTACAACATGGTTATTGTTGAACATGGTTTAACAATATTTACTTTGCGTGTATTTTGAAACCTAATAAGGTTATATTTTAGAAAACAATAATATTCACCATTAATAGATATAATAGGTTAAGAACCAGTTTGATATTAAACGGTATATATTCAAAGTTTACCAATCTTTGGAACGAATCATACTAAAAACTTTTGTCTAACTTGGTTAGACTGTGGCAAATTATAAGGTAGTTATGAGTATTTGTACCTAATTCCATGTCAAAATCTTAAATACATGTTATGAATGTGTTATATTATGTACAACAGAGTAGGAATTCTAAAATCATCCATACATTTTACAAATCAACAGGAAAGGTGTTTATGTTTTATATATTGCATGTGCGGAATTTTATCCCTAATAATTATAAATGGATCACTTATGGGTATCAGTCACAACAAAAAAGACTTAGTAAATTTGTTTTTAAACATAGATTTTTAGTTGTTTTCTTATATCAAAATCTCATTTCTTATGTGAACCGTACAATCATTCTACTAGATTATTACAACTAGAAAAAGCATATTTTCTTTTTAGGATTAAAAACTATTTAATAATAACCGTATTGCAAATGCTGTTTTTAAAATAAATATTGTACCTTGATATATCAATTATTTATATAGACTACATACAGTTCAGTTACACACAGTTCTTTAAAGTTAATGAAAGTAAAATCTTTTCCTTTGATTTGCAATTTCAATATTGCTATAGTAATAGAAGATGAGGCAATTTTAATACACAAGTAATATAAATAAATTTTTAAGATAATTATATAAAATAATTATTTATATAATTATCTTAAAAATTAAACAATGAAGGTCACTTTTTTTTTAAATCTGAGCTTAGCCAGAGCATTCTTGCAAATAATATTTAATGTGTAGATTTCATTTCTCAAACAATTATGAAAGAAACAAAACTCAGTAAATCTGCTATATTTTTTTAAGTGTCAGTACAAATATTCACAAAATACATCAGTATTTTAGGAATATACTTTATCTATACATATTTAATCTTATTTTTTTTTAAACCTGTCTCTACTCAGGTAGGTAGGTATATTTTGGAGACCGTTATTAGTTGTATCTTTATTGAAGTTGGAAACGAATGTAGAAATATTTTACGGATATATAAAGTTTGAACTTTTACTTTTACTCTTTGAACTAAAAAACAGTTTATTATATTAGCTTTGTCGATACCGACGTATTGGCGTCTTACTCCGTGCGGAGACAGAAGTTCAATTATTGATACCAATTAAATATCTTAATTCACTACCTAATTAAACATACTATCATGTACGGCATATCGGAAATTTATAACACAACCATTTTAGTGCAAATTATCATTATAATTTAGTTTTATGGGAAACAAATACTACAAATTGTAACTTACCAGTAATCCGTTTATGGAGTACGAAGACAAACGTAAAAAAGAAGTATTAAATTTGAAGAAAATTAACGGAATAAATAAATACTATCTCACTGAACTAATTTACAAATAGTTTAATATAATATTTTACGACTTACGAGTTACGAGCAACTGTGAACTGTGAAGACTGAAGTGTGATGAAAGCATAAACAACAGAATATCACAGATATCAGATAACACTTAGAAATTAGAATGAATTGGATATCATAAATTATTTATGAAAATATGTAATACCAAGAAAACAGAATTAAAACATATCATATCAGATCCAGATGTTTTTCAATTGAAACTCTGTCTATATATTATATTTCCAAGTGGTTCCTTACTTTACAACGACCACCTTAGTTATAATAAAAGGAGTTAGAATAATATTTGTCGAGTTTTAATTTCCTTAGTATGGCAGAAGTGTTCATTCGGGCTACTATCATCATTTATCGACATTTGTATAAATAAAATGAAATATCGAGTGGTAATTTACATTTTTATTCAATAATTATTTATCGTATCGATATTTTATGTTTCTTTTAAAAATACCCCAGATTTGTAGTAAAAGTAAATTTTGAACTTTTGAGAAAAAACTAATTATTATACTACCTGTGTCTACTTCCGATCGACGTTTATGGCGTGTTACTTTGTGTGGATGGAGAAGTAGTGCGATTGTTGTTTATAAATTATAGCGGCAATCTCTGGCTATCAGGAGGGCCAGTCACTAATGAGACTGGTATAAATTTACTGGGCAGAATTAGTTGTTTCAATCATCTATAACGTTATATGACACACATATACAAATAAATATATATAATATATAATATTCATTGAAGAATTTAAGGGATTGAACTCTATGTTCTGAAGTCTTAATATAGCATATTATATAATGTAATCAAGGTTTTAGAACTGAAGCATAGACTATGCCATTTATTTTGAGTGAAGACATGTATATTAGATATCTGTATTCTGTGTCTTTGAGCGACCATTGATGGATAACGGGTGACGTAAACATTAAGCCTGAAATTTGAAAAGTATAGGAAATACGTGCATATTTAATGTATTAAATTATTAATTTCCTAGTTTAATTTAATGCTAACATAGCCATCGCATCGGACTTAATTTAACTAATTTCATAGCAAGGAAGGAGTTGGAGTTTTTTTGGTGGTAAATAAATAAATGTTTGAAGCGGATTTCAATAATTGTAATTAGGAGAAAGGCTTAAAAACGAATATATTTTAATTTAAATATTTAAAAGATCTTTAGAATGCAATGCTTCCCCGTCGTCGATATGTTGGTGTATCAGAGCGGCCGATCCCTGTTGCAGAAGTAGAACCATACAATAAACTAGATAAGAAGGGAACACACTTTCCTTCACAATCGCCAAGTACTCATTTCGAGAAAAAATCCACTGTCGGTTTAAGCGGTCAAAGTTTTGATTTTGATTTACTAGAAGAGTTTGTATTTGAACCTGTAATGGCTGCCAGGGATAGAACACAAGAATTTTCAGCTGCTGTTCGTAGCCTTCAAGGTCGAACTTTAGCTAGACCGATTGTTAAAGATGACCGTAAAGCGGCTGTCCTTGCCACCTATTCACAGTTCATGAGTATGGCTAAGGTGATAAGCAAAAATATTACTAGCACATATGCTAAATTGGAGAAACTAGCTCTGCGTAAGTATAATCAATACCAATATTGCTTGAATAAAACATACTATAATGTCATTTTAAAAGTTATTAATATAAGATAATTAAATAAAAAAATTAAGATAATGTTTTGTATTCAGGTGGTAATTTAAAGATTTTATCTAGACTAATCTCCCACATTATTGCTTCTTCAGTTAATGATCAAGGCAAGCAAGTTGAAATTCTGTGTCATATAATATTTTCAGTTGCAAAGAAAAAGTCACTATTTGATGACCGGCCAACAGAGATACAAGAATTAACTTATATAATCAAGGGAGACCTCAACTCTCTCAATCAACAGATTGCTCGCCTGGGTGAAATGCCAAGGGGTCGCAAAAGCATGCATAGCCACTCCTCAAGTGTTGTCTTAGCTCTACAATCCCGTCTTGCATCAATGAGCAATCAGTTTAAACAGGTAATTTAAGCAATAATTTGGTTAAGCAAATTTTAGGTTGGTCAAGATGTTTATCATCTTATTAAATAATTAACAAGCAAATAAAAAATTAAATTAATTTCTTAAATTAGAAAATCAACTTAGAGATAATATATTGACTTAGATATTGCCTGTTGAGCAATAGAAGTATACTATTTACAATGTCATAGCTTGAAAATGAATATGCTATGCTTATAATATTCAAATTTATTATGGTTTTGTCTGTTTAATTAATTACCAGATTCCCGCACTCATTCTACTAGCTCTACGACCCAAAATATGTCTTGGCCTCAGAAACAAGGAACTTCCACCGCTCCCTGTCCTGTGCCACTTACCGCCAGTTGCTGGCTTTTACCTTACTCTGGTTTTTCGCTGCTTCCTAGAATAGCCTACTTGCCTTTGATCTACTTGATGACCCAGTCTTCCTTGAGTTGAATGAACAACTTCCCTGAATGATTTTATTTATTTATTCACCCTTTATGGAACATGATAAAAACACCACATAGTTGGGTGGATAGCTTTTAAGCCATCTTGTTGTTTGGGTGAGGACCCATTATGTGTTTAAACAGACAATAATTAATTCTGATTATCATAAACAACTTACAGGTGTTGGAAGTCAGATCAGAGAATTTGAAACTTCAAAATAGCAGACGAGAGCAGTTTTCAAGCTCAGCACCTATTGTCAAGGAGGTGCCATCACTCCTACGTGCAGATGATGTCAGCATTGATCTTGGGGAAGCTCCATTACAAGCCCAACAGATGGCAATGAGAGATGACAGTGACACTTATGTGCAACAACGAGCGGAGACAATGCACAACATAGAAAGTACTATTGTGGAATTAGGAGGAATATTCCAGCAGTTGGCACATATGGTGAAAGAACAGGATGAAGCAATCGGGAGAATCGACACAAATATTGCAGAAGCAGAAATGAATGTGGAAGCTGGGCACAGGGAAATAATGAAATATTTCCAAAGTGTTACTGGTAATCGAGCATTGATGTTTAAAGTATTTGGTGTGTTGATATTTTTCTTTATTTTCTTTGTGGTATTTATGGCTTAATTTCTTATATTCAAAATTTGTCTATAATAGTAATCATTTGTATGAAATTTTACATTTTATTTCAACTCATTCTATAAACAATATTATTGGTTGTCAGATTTTGTTGATTAATTGTTTAGATTACTGATGGTAGTTAGTACATATGTATAAGAAAATAGGTAATATTACCTAGGATAATGAAAGAGAACGTTACTTCTGATTTGTTTTTAATTTGGACCCTGAATACCAGTGTTTTAAACCAATATTGGCATTTCAATTTTACAAAGATGTATTTTACATTCTGCATAAGTAAATATCATTTCTACTTTAAGATAGATTATTAAGTTCAAACTATTATGTATGATTTTTTTTATTTATATGATATCTGTAGTTGTATTAATGATGAGGTTGGTATTGAGCTGTATTTGGAATAAATAAACAATTTTTTATAGATAGTTTAATTTATGACCTATTTTTTTCATCTGCTTCCAATGACTCGAAGTTCAATATTATTATTATTATACTGTTTTTATGTACCATATTATCCAGAATGTTTCATAATTGTGATGAGTTCCTGTAAATTGTGGAAAAGTTTTGGCCTAGTGGTTCCATCTCATCCCCGACTCGTAGGTTCGGATCCCGGCTGTGCGCATTTAGAACTCGCCCGTATGATAAAGGAAAACATGAGGAAACAGGCATGCTTTATACCTAGTAAGTTGAATGGGTAAGTCGGTAACAAAAGCCTGATCATATACTTGCCTTTTAGAAAAAACAAAATATGATCACGAAACATGCGTAAATCTGAGGTCTTAATTGATGTAATGTTGTATCATTATTGTTTTGTAATAAATATAGCCTCAGAGATAATGTAGCATAGTAAAGGTGAAATTATTTTTGAAACCGGTCCTGTAGTATTTTCGTTTATTTGTTATTATTCAAGTTTTAGTAAGCATCCCTAATTTTTTTTGAAAATGAAACATAGCCTATGTAACTCGGGAATAGTGTAGCTTGCCAACGGTGAAAGAATTTTTGAAATCGGTCCAGTAGTTTCGAAGCCTATTCATTTCAAACAAACAAAAAATCAAACCTTTCCTCTTTATAATATTAGTATAGATAACAAATCTTTTCATTAACTATACAAAGTATAGGCAAGAAACTAAATAAATTTATAAGATAACTTCGAACAATCAGTCTATAGTTAAACACTGATGTGATTCATCGGTTATTACATCTTGTTTGAATGAATATATTACATTGTAGATAAATGAAATTCTAGCAAATGGTAACAGAACGTTTGGAAAAATAAATTAAACTTGTGGTACTACTGTCGCGTCGCCATCTTTTGGCAATATTTAGAATCCGCAGAAAATGGTACCATAAAGGTTGTAAGCACCAAGTGTAATGAGATTTGGACACGTGCTTATTGTCGACCAAAAGATGGCGACGCAACCACAAAGAGTGAATTTAACAGAGAAGATGCGAAGGCAAATCCCGAGTTATTCCTACTTATATAGCTATGGTAGTGAAACAGTAAAAAAATTACAAACATCTAAAATAGTTTAGGATCAAATTAAAGCAAATAGATTTTAGTTTTCGAATTGAAATATCCCATAAATAATTTCCTGAATATTTATTTATTTCGGAATCCTTCACGTATAAATAATATATAAGAAAAAGCAATTTGAGCAAACTAACAGATACGGATATACCAACTTAGTTGTAAATTATCATGTTATTAAGTATATGTAAGTAATTATTGTAATATCAATAATTTCAGAATCGCTATAGACTCTAGAAAATATTCTACCTTTGCCCGATAACTATAATGAAGTTTTTAAAAGAATTTGGGGCAAGGAAGCATGAAGTACAGCCCTTTACGTTAAAAGTTTTCCAAAGTAAGCGTAACGTTAAATATTGTAAAAGCTATAGAAATTTGCAAAACATCTCTCAAAAATGTACCTGGATAAAGCTACTATGATACTTGCTTCAACATCGTGATGTGTGATGTGATCACACATATGCGATGATGAAGCCATATTTTCCTCAATTACGCCTGGATCATTACAGTTAGCTTCAAAGAAGCAAAAGTAGAATGTGCGAAAAATGCAAGGGTTATGGATACTAGACCAATTGTAAATGATGAGGAATTGAATCTGGATGATATAATTGTATTTCTTGAAATCACCATGGATTCAAAACTTTAGTGGTCCCCTCATATTAACGGATTGGCGAAGAGAATTAGTTCTGCAGCTTACGCGGTTAAAAAAATTCGATGTCGATACAGCTAGACTTGTTTATTTTAGTTACTTTCACAGCTTATTGACTTATTATTATATTATATTGGCTTATAATTATGCTGGTGATGTTGAAACTATTTTCATCCTGCAGAAGAGGGCTATTCGTGCAATCTATAATTGAAAATGTATTGAATCTCTGAGAGATAAATTTAAGGAAATTTATATACATACTTACCTTGGCTACCACAACTTGGACAAGAAGAGCTAATAACAGAAAAGAATGGAAACAGCTGGAAGAGGCCTACGTGTCACAGGACATTCTGATTACCAAAAACGGGTCATATGATGCATTAGATTAAGTTTTATTTTATTTATGTGTTAGAATTAAGTGTATTTTATGTAACTTAAATAATTGTATGGGTGTCAGCAATAAAGGCTAATCATCATATACTTACCTTTACCTTGAAATATATTTATGAAAATATTATGTATGTGTATATAAATAGTGATAAGTTTACTAGAATAGAACATACGCACAATGATAATACTTGGAACAAACGCAGGCTACAATTTCCCCGTAGACTACTTATCTAAAGTTAGTAATTATTTTTTAGTAAAAGGGATACTTTTCTTTAATAAAATCCCAGATGCTCTTTTAATTCTGCCTATTAATAAATTTAAGAAATGTATAGAAAAGCTGTGTATAATAATATAATTTAATTTAATGATGTGGAATAAGTGATACCTGTATCTTATATTCCATAAAAAACATATTTTATTTTATTATTATTTTTTGAAGTACTGAGTGACTTGTAAGTATATACGTACTCGTATAAGTAACATCATAGAGGTAATGTTTTAGTCAAAACAACAGCAAAAAAGTCGGGAACAAATATTATGCTCACGGTCGGAATCATAACAACTAACACAAGTCAAGTTAGCTTGTAGTGCATATTCTTCATTCAACTTTATCTATATTGATCCTCTTTGCACAAGGAAAGTTGTCTCGTATTTATAATGGCTCGTTGCCATGGTCACCAATACATCAAAATAGAGGTTGTGAGCAGGGCTTTTTACGAAACAATTATTTTGATAATTTGATAAAGCAGAAATGGTATAAAAATGCAACGTAAGCCATCGACATTGCCCGCAATAGAAACGTTGCAGCGAAATGTGCGCAAAGTCCCGACCACGTACAGCAGGTAAATGGTCCATTTAGCTGGCCAGAACTTCAATTATGTGTTTCTTTCATAGGCTCAGGTATTACTTTTATTCGTAGTGTAAGTTTATATCGATTAGAAGGCCTTCATTCTGAAAAATATTTTTAAAATTAATTATTATACTATTTTCTTTATAAAACTGCTCTTATCAGTAAGGTCACCTATTTACATCCTTTGTCTCCACTTACTTTTACTTGCAACGCAACAACGCAACAACTTGTTGCTTTGCAAGTACAATGTTTACAAAACTTTTTTAACAATGTACCTGTTAAATGTATGCCCGAAACATTATACAAAAATCTTCCTAGAGATTACGAAAACTTGTATTTTCCCAATGAGGCTAGAGAAAAACACGTTTCAAAATATTTATTGCTTTCAAGGGGACGGCTTCTGAGATTGTTGAATTGCCTTTTATTGTATCTATCATAAACATATTGTTACAGAAAACCTAGAGATCTTACTTTTCACTTCCCGCATAAAAAGCTCTTAGAGAAAATAGAACATGTTGCAAAAGACCCAGAACCGTTGGTAAGTAATTTAAACTTGACAAAAAGAAAGGTAGGAAATTGTAAACACATTGAGAAAATGAAGACACAAACAATTGTAATAATATACTCTTATTATTCGACCTATGTTCAAGAGTTTGTTGTCAATTATCAGAGCGTGTTCTCTAACAGCCGCCTGTTTTGCATTCCGCGAAGCGATCATGTGCATCATTCTATACTTATGTATTAATCATGTGTCACTTTATCAGACTGTTTATGTAAAAAGTAGCCTATCCGAACAAATAAGCAATAACGAATTGAAACGGATTTGGAATCGGTTATTAAGGCTTACACAAAATATTTTTTTATTTTGACTGAATATAATATACAAGAGTTTTTTAATACGATCTATCAGCTGTACGTACATAACGAAAGGAATATTTATTCCAGACTGGTTTTTCTTTTGCCCAAGAAGAGAGATTTAGAAAAGAAAGAAAACACGCTAAATTGCAATTAGAACCAATTAAGTTGGATGATGGTAAGTCAATCAACCGTCAGAAAAGTATCGTAGGCGAATTCAATAAAAGGCGGGTCTAAATTAAGCATTTGTAAATTATCGGTATACTTAAGACGTATTTAGATTTTTTCCCGACAGTCACAATTTCAAGAACAGATCTATAACACACCATTGAAAGCTAGCCTAGCATATACCGAAATTTTATTATGACATTAGCCTTTAGAAGGAATCTTGCATTATATGTTTTCCTAATAGGTATGGTTGATTAACTGTCTACTGTAATGGAATGCCACATGGGACAGAAACATATTTGCGTGTGTTTCACTGACCATTGCTCTGATATAAATATATATTTATAGGGAAAGAAAAAAGGAAGAAAATTAAGATTCAAGAATCTCGCAGTAATTCGGACGTGGCTAAGGCGCAAATGACCACTGACCCTCTCAAGATCAAACCTGTGGTAGCTTCACAGACCGAAGTGATTGAACAGATTCGCAGCAATCTGGATTTAGGCTTCCTCTATATGATTTATGCTGTTCACCCGCAAAATGTGTACTTCACACCGTATTATCTTAAGTATGTTTTCAACGAACGTCAATTAATATTTTACGAATCAATTTTGAATCGCATTTCTGCTTCACTTCCATAAATTATTAGAAACAAAGCAACTAAGCAGCATTACAACCTAGGAAAATTTAAAATATTATGGAGTCAATACTAATACTTGGCCGCCGCCGTGTGCCCTATTGTTTTTTTGTTTTATTTCAGAGTGGTACCTTATGACGAGATAGATAGAAAGAACTACTTAACTATAAGTCCCTGTGGTGTGACTCACTTCACGAATGAGATGGTATTTACAAAATTACCCGACTGGGAACAAGAGTATACAATATTCGTGTCACTTACTGACGTAAGAATTTATATGTTAAGTAGCGTAGCACGTATGCAATTTATGATTATATGTATATTCATTTTTCAGCAGGCTTATCCCGTAGCATTTATCAGTTTTATGCCTACGTGATATACCAATTTACGATATACCTACGCTAAATTATACCTAGGTGTACCAATTGAAAACCAGAATTTTTAGTTTAATTAAATCTTAGATTAAGAATATTATCTTTATGTAAGCATATTGAGCCCTCTGAATCGAAATATTGTTTACTAGTTAGACGAATAAAGTAATTTTTTAATAAGTTTTATTAACAACGGTGCTTCACACCGTTGTTGCATATGAAGGGTAAAAATAGTTTTAGAGTTATTAAAGAGGTGGGCAGTTAGACTACATCTTGTTTCTAATTGGAATTGTAATTATAATATTATTTAATGCGTCTACCTGGAAGATGGGTTAGGTAGCCTTAGTCATCTTTGATTAGTTTGATGAAATGTGAATTCGACAGATAAAGTTTTTCCGTAATTATCGGTACTGGAAAGCATTTTACGTGTGGCAGAAATCGATATTGTTCAGGAAGTATAGCAAAACACGAAAGAAGATTGCTAAGAAGTTATTTATACTCACTCCAGTGTTGGGAAAAGCACTATTAAGTATGCAGTCTATGTGCTGCGACATGTATATGAAAAGCTTTGCGGATGTGTCGAGAGATATGGACACAGCTTTTTTTTACTTCATTGAAGTGCAGGTGAATTGATTGATTGAAAAATAGTTTGTCTTTACTGGAAATCTAATAAATGCGTGCGCGTGTTATTGCTTTAATGTATTATTTGCATTTATTATTTTAGAATAGTCAGATTATTTTACTGTTGTGTGTTGATCTTGATACAATTTATTTATTGGTCAGCCAACAAAAGTTAGTTTAAACATAACGTAAAAATAAATAAATAATAAATTTAGATTATTGCCCTAGAGGTCGCAAAAAATATCAAATCCTATAAATATATTTTTTCTACATAAACTCACAAAGTTAGTAGTTATAATAGGGTTTTTATACACTAGTCATTTCCTAAAGAAGCGTGTAATTTTCTAGATGAAGCGAGTTGAGTTCATACGTGAAAAATTAAGAGAGTTCCGCGCGATTGTATTGGATCTCATTATCGCAGCATGTCACGCAGCACTATACCAACAAGGGTTTATCTATGACGATAGGAACATACCTCCTTTTCAGATTATACGCGGAAAGCCTACAGGAGGCATGTCATATACGGAAAAGGCTAATAAAAGGAACTATTGTGAGAGATTGGCGTGGTGAGTTCTAGTTATAATGCTATAAGGCCGAGGCGGTCACGGCGGTTAATCTCTACGGCTCTAACTATTTACGAATGAGATATTATGCATAGAGATAGAAGCGCATTCATTATACTAATACTTTATATAGATGATGAAAATCTCCGACAGGAGAAGTATCCGTTATGAGTTCAGTAGAACGTGAGTTCGGGAGTGTTCTAACTGGATAACTTTGAGTCAGAGAGACAACCCAAAAGCTTATTTTTAGTATCAAGTAGTCAAAGTGATCGGATTTTTGTACAAATAAAACTTAAACAGTGATCGTTTAATTGATATACAACAAAATAATCACCATTGATCATCTGAAAAACGAAGTTATTAAATTTGTAAGTACAGTCAAAACTGTTTACGACTACATCGTCCCGGCTGAATTCTATTGTTTTAACGACCAAATATGAGTAGCCCCTTCGATGTCGTTATAACAGATTTTGACTGTAGTTGAATGTCGGTGGCGCTTGTTCTAGAGATGTTAACACATATTTGTGTTAAATGAAACGCTTTATTTGAAGCTGGGTGCCAACCGACTTTAATCGTTTTATACATGAGCTTATTACTAACATAAAATTAGGGGTAGTAGGGTTGCGATGCTGGATAAATAAAAAACTAAAATGTCTTATTTAATGGTTCTTAAATCTAATGAATACTTAGTCGACCTTTACGGACATTGTCGGAGACAAGTTTAATAACATTTTCCTCATATTACAATTTATGAGAAAAACTTTATGTGGGAAAAACTAAAGGGTCTATTTTGGCTTCAAATGTGTGATAATTGCTAAAAAAAATTTGCGCTTCTAATTATTAACTAAAATATATGTAATTTAACTATTGTTAGGTTAGGTTAAAACAAAAGTATTTATTAAAAATAATTGTCTGTAATTGAAGTTATATTCTGGATTAAATATTTTTAACTAGAAAATTATTTAGAAACAGAGAGACAAAAACGTGGTTACTTTCCTATAGACTTAACTATTTTATTACAGTTTCATAAAGCTAATGGATTATATGACAAATTATATGTTGTATCGCCTCACAAAGAGATCAAATGCAATGATGGCCGATATGCTTCGTATTCATGTCCAATATCAACCCTCTATTGAACTGCTTGAGAGCACTGAAGTGGATGAGGTCTTAGAGGATTGGCCGAGGCCGATTGATACTTGCAAGGTATAAAGCTTATATTCTGATATCCGATATTCTACTACGAGTATGTTGCAAGTTTCTTGATTAATCGAAGTCATTAATTAGTCATTAAGAGCTAAAGGGTCTAAAGCTAGGAAAATTTATGATTTCAACCCGTGCTTCTCCATCCGCCTACTTTAGTGACAAATCCAATTACGACTGACTAGTGAAATAAACGTATGCTTTTTTTATGGATGTAACAGGAGGCAAACGAGCAGGAGTCTTACCTGATGTTATGTGACACCGCCGCCCATGGACACTCACATTGCCAGAAGGCTAGCAAGTGCGTTGCTGGTATTTTAAGAATTAGTACGTTCCGTTCTTGAAGGACCCTTCAAGAAATCGAATTGGTTCGGAAATACTACATTGGGCAGCTGGTTCCACATAGTGGTGCGCGGAAAAAAACTGAATTAAGAAACGCTCAGTTGTGGAACGACTGACGTCGAGGTGATACGTATTTTATTTTGTGTTCTGCCTTCACGTCTGATGATGAAACACAGCTGCACGTACTAGACCGAACAACTCCTCTGAACTAGATGTAGATCAAGACGCTCGGAAAGTGAGTGGTCGTCGACGATTCGAATCTATCTTCGTTGAATACGGTGAAGCGGAGGGACCTGGTACTGTGGAGCTCCCGCCCAGAGGTAAATGTGGGGCCGAATTCGCGCTTTATAGAGTTGCAAGCGGTGGCCCAAGGAAGATAAAGTTTTTCGGATTGTACGGTGCCGGAATATAACTCTATATTACTAACATATGACAATGTGCGTCAAGCATTTGCTTAAGCAAAGTCGTGAAAGGACCTTCCCGCGTGATCGGTGGTTTCAGAGCCGAGCCAGTCGGCATGACGGGCGTTGCAATTGCCAAGTAGTACGATTTCAGCGGTCGGAACCTTTTGAGCAGGAAATCTGTAGCCGTTTGGATGTGCTCGATGAGGTTTCGTCATTTCCGCACTGGGAAATACACGTAAAATCGCGGATGGGCATCGCAGTCTACGCGCAGCCAGAGGTTAGATAGGTCCGTTCCTTCAAGCGTCCCGAGGCAACGAGAACAGACTTCCTCGCTTACGTATCTATACGCAAACTTCCGCGTGCGGCACAAATAAATGTTCCAAATTGTAGCCCGGGTAGGTAGAAAGTATCAGCCGGGGAGGATATCTGAGTCTCGATAAGAAAGAGCAAGGCCGGCTTCGTAGTCTCTAGATGATAGTGGACAGCGTGGATGTTGAAGTTAGATGAGACTGATACAGTGTTTCGCGGAACAAAAATGAAGTTCATGCCAAATGCTTTTTATTTTAATAACTTGTAAAATATACAATATTTTATAAAATGTCTAAATGTGAGCTCTCGGCCTAACTAATATGCTGTAATGCAATAAATTTTTGACTCCATAATACTTGCTATACTTGCATGATAAAAACTAGGTGACTTTATGATTTTTTTGTCTCGAGGAATTTGTATCGTATTGTGTTTTTAATTAGAGTCAACCATTGAAATTATAGTGAAGGATCAATCATATTTATTGTTTTTAATTCAAACATCACACACTGAGATCAAATCAAATCTATGTTGAGTGATTTCAGATTCATTACTATTTTATTATTTAAAGTTATAGAGTTCAATACCCATGGTACCTTGTGGTTGATTGATAAAAAATTTTGAAACACGTGAAAGTTATTGTGCGAGCATAAAGTTGTAACTAATTGTTCTTCGCAGTGGGCGCTGTTTCAAGTTGATGCTTATGTTAAGCCTTCGGGAAAGATAGAACTGAATCCTAGTGAAAAAATTATATCCTCCTACATGGAGAAAATCACGGACTACTGGGAGGAGTACGTCCGTACATTTCACAACTTCCTCAACGAAGAAACGTTACAGATATTCGTTCAACCAACTATCATGGGAAAACAGGTTGAATGGTCGGCGGGACAGTCGCCAAACCTATATTTCTTAATGCACCAAGACAAGAAAATGCTAGCAGACCTCAATTTTATACCGCAATGTATTAGAGATGGATTTGATGCTGTATGGATATTCCTGAAGCGAATGAATAAGTTTATGAATAGTTTTAGAGAAGCAAATGAAATAGATGTGAATATAATAAGACAGGAAAGGAATGTAGAAGTGTTCAAGAAGTGGTGTGATAAGTTTGTTAAGCAGATAGAAGAGATCGAGGACGTAGTTAGCTACCAACCACTTGGGTTGATTTTCTTGTGCCTGTGTCCATTCCAAGAACTGTTTAGGCCACAACCGAGGAGACTGTTTGATGTGGTACAGACTACGACGCCTGAGTAAGTCGTTGAAATATAATTCTTAGTAGATATTGGCTTTTGCCTATTAATTATGGATTAGAGTAAAAATTATATAGTCTTTGCGAATAGAAAACACAAACAATCAATTAATGTCGTGTTACAGATTAGCTAAATTTAATTTATGAAAGTAATACAATAAATACAAAATAAATATTAAGTTCACTGCTATTCCCGAACTGCAATACTCAACGTTACAATGAGACTTGATATTTTTATTTTTGAGTACGAGTAGTTTATCATATTTTCCTTAAGTACACAAAATCCATTTCTGAACGGAAGCATAAATATTATACAACAATATATGTGACAATCCTTTTGCGTTACTGATATTATTCTACGATTTAAAAATCAAATCGGATTATCTCGTCGATTTAAATACAGAAGATAGGTTAACCGTATCGACGGGTGAACATTATGTGTGACAGTTACGAAACCCATGGACATGTTTATTATATTTTTCCGAAAATTTTCCAACGGTTTAAATAGTTTCTAATGTTTGTAATTCTGCTATTCGAGGCGGAGACAAATACAACAAATGAAACACCATGAAAATCGAACAAACCCGACTTTGTTTTATATATTAAGATATCAATAGAGAACTAGATATATAGGTAGAAATAATACGCACCCAAAAAGTAATTATTTCATCTGGAATCGAATCATCCTACGCATTGTGTGATACTAATCATGATATGAAGATAGGATAGTAATCGGCCAACAATACTGATGCCATGCAATCTCTTATTAATATGGATATTGCGTAATTAATGAATGTGTTACTTGATCTACTAATTCTTAATAAGTTAATTCGATTACTAACTGCACTAATAGATCCACGCCAGAACAATATAAACTCAAAAATAAAACGTTATAGATCAAACAATAGGGATTAACAGATATAAATAAGGGAACAAAACGCGATTCGTATTTCATGTTAATGACGGTTCAAGCCACTCATTGACGAAAGTTTGACGAAACTGACAGGCGGGGGGATAATATACTAAATAATTTAGCTTTGTTAATATAAAATTTAAAACTAAATGAATTTGTACTACACAAATAAAAACACTGTATAATATATGAATCTACTCCTTGATTTTTATGTAATGAAATAACCTTTATGGAAAAAATCGAATGGTTTACCTAGGTAACACTGAAAATGTTTAGAAAATGCAAAACGGCCTAATATAGAAAGTTGCCAGTAAAAGAAATTGTTTTTCGAAGTAATTTCCTTTCTTCCCTACACATCGTCGCATTCGATGGCACCACTGAGAAAAGCATTGGGCCCATTCTTTCTTAGGGGTCTCTTCTATGGCATTTTCGTACACTTAATCTTCAGGGCTCGTAAAGCGAATACCTCGAATTTTATCTTTAGTTCTTGGGAATAAATTACTGTCGCAGGGCGCCAGGTAAGGACTGTATGGCGGATGATTCATTATCTCGACACCTGCCATAGTCAAATATTCAACAGTCCGTTATGCGGAGTGCGCTGAAGCATTGTCGTGGTGAAGGAGGATCCTGCTTCGAGGGCGCCGCTGTCAAATTTTTCCAAGACAACAGGCAAACAGCGATTGACATACCAGTCTGCAGTAGCTGTCATTCCATCTTCTAGCACAACTGACCTTTCCGACCAAAGAATGAGGCAATCATCTTTTTTCCTTGACTTCTTCCTTTTATTACCTTAGTTGGCCGATCCTCGGAAGGAAACACCCACTGAGCTGATTGTCTTTTGGTTTCGGGTTCGTAAAAATATATCCAGCTTTGTTAACGATGTCAAATACAGCATTTGAGTCACCGCCGTTGAACTTATGTAACATTTGGCGACACCAGTCCATGCGAAGGTGTTTCTGTCGAATGCCTAAGCTTGCCCTTATCTGCTGATAGGTCACTCTCTTATCTTCCTTTATCATGCGTCGCATAGCACTGATTTTATCATCAGTAGTCGCTGTTAAAGGACGTCCCTCACGGGGATCATCATTGAGATTGCTACATCCACGCTTAAACTCGTTAAACCAATTGTAAATAGTGGAACGAGCTGGGGCTTCATTACGTAATGCTAATCGCAAACTATCATACCTTTATTGTTAAGTTAGCCCACAACGAAAGTCATAATAAATAATTGACCGAAAATTTTCTCGCGTTAGGTTCATTTTCACGTGTAACAAGAGTTTTATATTTGCCGCCAATTCACAAAAACAAATGAAAAATTAATGCACTATACTACATTAGGTTACCATAAAGTTCTAAAATTTAAATTCTAAACATTTTCAGTGTTGCCCACGTACTACCCACCCTAGATTTCTGCACCTGCGATTTTCTAACTCATGCCTGTTTTTTACTCACAATGTTTTTCTTCACCGCGTGCAACCGGGATTTGAAGTTCTCCCCCAGTGGAGAGTTGCATACTTAGATCACTAAGGCAACACTGTTTTCGCTGCAAACACAAAGTTACTTAATAAAATTGTAGCATCGGTCGAGCCTGCATAGACGAAATATTAGAAGGTATATCCGGTATCGAAGATGACATAAACAAAGAACCGGAGAGCGCTGGAGAGCTTGTCGCATTCAACACCCTACTGGATGGCTTGGAAGTGCGAGTTGCTAAACTGGAGGAGAGACTAGAATATTTGAGGGAGTTATATGATGTAATGGGAGAATTTAATATTGCTATTCCACCTGATGATATGACTGATTACTTGGGTTAGTTGGCCATGCCTCTTAACTTAAATATCATTACGTGGTCAATGAAATGTACTTTATTATTATATGAATCTTGCACAATACATCTAGTTGACCTCTTTGTTCGGGCGCATTGATCTTCTTAGTATCCTACAAACGATTTTACGTGACATTAGTTGAATTTGCCTTTTATTTCATGGGCTAGCCCTTCGTAGGATTATACTCTCCATTTTTATGCTAAAAATAAAAGCATATATACTGGAATGTTTATAATAAGAGAATACAGTGCATATCGAATTAAACGACAGACTTGTATCATAATGGAACTGACACATTTCAACGTACATTACAATTTATAAAATCACAAATCTGTCTACATTGGCTTTATTTTAAACAAACCTGCTAATGCAAGCTTGCATTAGCAGTATTATTAGTTTTAAATACAAAACTGCATTTTGTTTTTGCATTGTGTGCATGTTTGCAATGTTTGCAAATTTTCATGTTTGAAGAGCTAATTGTATATTTTGCAAACAAGGGTCTACGTTGTTGGTACATTTATTTCCATGTCATAAAATAAATAGTTATTTGATCCGAGAAGATGAATAATTTCTTTACCATACCTTATACGAATAAATTTTACAGGTCTTAGCGTTGCTCTTGGTACTTTACGAACTAATGTCGACCAAAAACTGGAAACGCGAGGAAAGTTGGCGGGACTGTTTGCCAGTCAAATAGGAAAAGACATAATGGAACTTATGTTGGATGTTAATAAACTTAGAGACGAAGTTGTGGTACGTATTAATATATTAATAATTAACTAAGTGACTCGTAGCACTCGAGAGTTCGTATAAGTAAATGTTTTCCGTATTATTTTAGTACGTGCAGGTTATTTCAATATATGTACAATCTTATATTTGTTTATTAATTTATTAAAATGTATATGTATTATGAGCTTAATGGCATTAATGTGAAATGCTTTGTCTTTATCACTCTCTTCTCACTTGGATGACAAACGCAACAATATAGCTATTGGAGGCTTATTGTTTGAATAATCTAAATTTGACTCTTATTCTTAGCAACAATGGTTATATGATGAGAAATCGGACATAGAGAAAGTGCTAGAAGTTCTCGATGATCTGACGGAGAAACTAGCGGCATGCTCCGCTCGAGATAAACAGATACGCGAGTGGCAGAAGGTCTTTAAGGTACCTTGTTCTTTCCTTATGCGTCATTCTTAACTAGCTGTAACATGCATGCATTTACAAAATCTGTTTGCAAAATCAACAAAAGACTTGCAAAACTAGCGAGACGGCGAACCCACTCGCCTGTAAATATTGGGAATATTATTGGAACGCTACGCTACTCCGATCACGAGTCCCGTAACAAGCGAAAACTAGATAATTATCTCCAATTTAAATGAATATTATAAATTCCAACGAGAAGATAAGCAAAAGTTTTTAAATTGAAATGGAGTCATAATCACATTCTAGTCAAGTGAAAAATTTATATTTATTAATATTTTTAAACTCATAAGAATTTGTCAGGTCATTTTTATGCATTTGAAGAAAAATAATCTTTATATATATAATTCTTCTGTGAGTGTGTATGTCACTGAACTTCTCTCAAACGACTGGACCGATTTTGATGAAATTTTTTGTGTGTGTTCAAGGGGATCTGGGAATGGTTTAGATTCACAAATCAGCGCGGCAGATGGCACTGCAGTCGGTACTTTCATACTTTGCTTAATATCCTAATCGCTTTAAATATCATGCAGGACAACGTCTGTGGGGTCTACTAGTTTAAATATAAATTTTACGTGCGTAACTAAAGATTAAGTACATAAGAGGATGAGATGTACTATTTAATTGAGAATAGATATTTTAATATAATATTGTATACAATTGTTTTAAGGGCCTTAACGTTGAGTAGAGTTAGCGTTCCTAGAAAGCAGCTTATCATATAAAATACGTAGCAACATAATAATCCTTCATTTTGAAGTATCTTATAAAGTTTAAGGGATTAATAAAATATCTCTAATTTTTCTTTTCATTTTACCAATTATTTGTTATAATTTTTCCTTAATTTAAGATTGTTACGTTAACTTTACAGGTTACCGTCAGCTTAAAGTTTGTATTAAGCGCCGATTTACAGAACCTCCAACAATTTATAAAATTCTATTTTTATATGACTAGATACCTCCTGCGAGACTGGAACAACTTGATGAAGCAATAAACGATGTTAAGCTGCGCCAAATGTTGTGGAAGAATTCCAAGGAGTGGAATGAATCCTATGCAGCGTGGTAAATATAATAGTTTTGTATTTTAAAAATAATTTATATTTTGAAAAAGCTTCACAATCAGATTATTACATTTTTAAATAAAGCAAAAACCTTTCATAATTACTTTGAATCCTAGTGAATATTATTATCGTATCAGATTGCATTTATTTTATGTTTCACTCCCCGGTAAGCGAACCCAGGACAAATTCATAAACCACGTGAAATGGCACTTGAAGTTACAATATTCAATTGAAGTTAATTTAATTCAATCTTTGAACAAAAATTTTAAATTAATAATTTTACAGGTACGAAGCTCCATTTAACACGTTGGATATAGATGAAATTCAAACAACAACTATAAACTTTGGCAAAGCCTTTAACCAACTTGACAAAGGATTGCCGCCAAACAAAATAGTTCCCGGGTGCAAAGAGACAATCGATATTATTAAAGATAAAGTAAGACTAAACAATTTACGTTTAGGATTCAACTGCCTTTTACATTTTATAATATATACTTGTTTATTTTTCTCCGTCCGTAATGAGGATTTATCGCCTCTCTACTTTAATTGCGCGAACTATTACTCCCTTATGTCAAAATCCGTTCTAATATATGTTTGAAATACGAGTCATACGTGTCACTTAAACATTATTTAAAATAAATTTATAGCCTACCTTCTTGGTATAGTTGCAAATACACATTGCGTTTAAACGAGAAGGTTCAATTCTAACAGAAATTTCTACAAAATTTTATAAGAAAAAATAACTTTTAATATATCAAGTACGAAAGTAATAGAAACGTCAACTGAACAGCCCTGCGATTCTGTAACTCACTTTTCGAACTCACACAGCGGTTTTCGCATCGGCGGTCGCTCTGAAATCAGTCGTGAAGTAGTCATTTTATGATTTGGCATTCTGATAAACAATAAACTACAAGCTCCTACCTTTTCAAAGCGAAAACCGCTGTGTGAGTTCGAAAAGTGAGTTACAGAATCGCAGGGCTGATATTGGATATAATATATGCCTCGAACGTTTTTAACGTTAGTAGTGTCAAATTGCCACCGTAAAATATATTTATGATGGTTTGAGGTTAAGACACAAAACTCATATGACTATTTAAATTCCAGATATTTAAAGGGTGGCAATACTTTGCCTGCTATGATTATGTAGCGATCCTATTGACGCAGTCAGCAATCAAAGCAATCAGATGGTACCAAAAATTTAAGATCTCGTATTTATACCATATAGTGATTGTTCTTGCAGCTACCAGTAATGTCGTATCTTCGTAACCCAGCATTAAAACCGCGCCATTGGGTCCGTATTGAAGAAATATTACACACGCGTTTCACACCCGATATGGTGGTGACTCTTAAGATGTTAGAAGACCTCGGTGCGTTTCAACATGCCGAAGAATTAATGGAAGTGGCAGGACAGGCCAGTTCTGAGGCTGGCTTAGAAGGACTACTTAAGAAAGTGAGTTCTATCAGTTAATGCTTACCGCTGATCATCGTAACCCTGCAGTTTGCAGAGTCTATATATATATCCCAACTGTAAACATGAAATTATAGCTTCTTCTTCTATATCTTTCTTCAGGTAGAAGAAATTTGGGCGGCGCTAGAGTTCCCAGTCCTACTCCACAAGGACGCTCGAGATGTGTACGTGCTTGGAGGCTTGGATGAGATTCAAGCAGCTGTCGATGAAAGTAACATCCACGTCAGCACAATTCTTAGTTCGAGGAATTGTGGGCCTATTAAGAGTAGAGTCGAAGAGTGGTCTAAAAACTTAGAACTCTTCGCTAGGACTCTGGCAAGTTCTTTGGATTATTTTTAGCATCTTGGTATTTTACCAAAGCATATTTACTTTGTTTTTAAATCTTAATAGTACGATTTTTATAGGAAGAGTGGTACGCGTGTCAACAAACCTGGATATATCTGGAGGTGATATTCTCAGCACCAGACATCCAGAGACAGCTGCCAAATGAAACTAGACTTTTTACAATGGTCGATAAGTCATGGAAGGATATCATGCGAAAATTAGCTAAAGTAAGCCAGTTTTAACCGGATATAATACTTATATTTAAACCTTAAATGTGCCTGTTTAAGTTAAGAACTTTGGACTTAGGGCCTGATTGAAAATAAACTCTTTACTTAACCGCTTCAGGTTTATATTAATTTTGCAGTGACAATTGTTTTTAGTTAATAGTAAGAAGTTTAGTTTTTAAATAAATAATTTGGTACACTTATCGGTTTTATTGAGGACTTAGTAAAATATTTCATTTTCAATACTACTCTTTGTATGTATGTATATTTGATGAGTTCCAGACTTACCATAAACTAGATATAACCTTTATGGCATAACATAAAAGAAAATTAAGACTTTTATACTTACGTAATATAAATGCTACGGTTTTCTCCAGGTTCCACTCGCAATGCCAGCAGCTACTCAACCGAAGCTATACGAAGAATTTGTCAAGAACAATGAAATGTTGGATCAGATAATGAAATGTCTAGAAGCATATCTAGAAACAAAAAGAGTAGCATTCCCGAGATTCTTCTTCCTTTCCAATGATGAATTACTAGAAATTTTAGCACAGGTAGAAATGTTGTTATGTATTATTATTAAACAAAGTAAGAAATCAATTACAGTGGATTACAGGACTCAACTCTACTCGGACACTCTTGAAAGAGATGACAGGTTGTCACAACGTGTAACAGAAGAGTCCAAACAGCTGAATCGATTTAATTCTCTATAATAAGCAGACTCGGTCTGAGTTTATTTAAAGAGAAATTTGACCCATTTTTATATATAAGTCGTTAAATGTGGATAGGAATACAGTTCTTCGTGACCCATATGACACATATTCTGAATATAAACTTTTAATTAGATAATTAATGTTTATTTATTACATACTATAAAATAAATCTATCTACAAAAATATTTGTTATGAAAACGTTTAACAATGAAGCTATTTTGCAGACACGTAATCCACACGCAGTACAACCACATCTTCGTAAATGCTTTGACGCTATCGCAAAACTGGAATTCGGAGTGAAGTTACCAGAAAGTGAAATGGAAGTGACAGAAGATGGTACACTTGTTGAAAAAGAAATGTCTTTCGCAACCAGAGACGCACTTCAAGCCAGATTGGCTAAAACCGCTAAAGCTGAGGATTTGACCACCGATATAATTGCCATGTTGTCACCGGAAGGAGAGAGGATTAATCTGGGCAAAGTATATAAATAAGTTATAATGCATTTATAAACTTTTAAAGTCTAACATACTTATAACGTGGATATTTTAACTTGGTTTTTAGTCAAAATTGTTTAGACCATTTTTCTCTATAACATAAGAAGTATTTTGCTGTCTACAGGGCCTTAAAGCTCGTGGTAATGTAGAAGACTGGCTGGGCAAAGTTGAAGAAGCAATGTTTGCCTCCGTTAAACGATGTATGAAGGTTGCACTCAGGGACTATCAAATGCGACCTAGAGTCGAATGGGTAGCGTTACATCCTAACCAGGTACATTATTATTTGAGTCTCTCTTGAATAGTATTAATTGTAAAAAAATTAAAAACTATTTTTTTAAAATATCGTAAAATTTTCAAAAGCAGGATGGAAGAAGTGAAATTGTTTGTACTATGTAAAGATTTCCATAATTCATAGTAGTTCTACTACAACATTTAAATACCTTTGTGTGATACTGGAAGTGGTGAAACATTATTATCGTATAAACAATTATACGCCTAGTCAATATTAATTAATAACCGTCTTCAAAATACTGAATTAGGCGATTATCTACCGACTGCGCCGTCGAGTGATTTCTAATCAGATCTATGGACCCCATACATAAATAATGAACGTTTTATTTTCAGGTGGTCCTAACCGTCTCACAGACTACGTGGGCTCGCGGTATTCATGAAATATTTGACCTTGAAATACCTTTACGTATTGACACAGCTCTCATGAACTACGAAACGAAATGTATTGCTGATCTTAACGACTTAGCTGCGTTGACACGTCAAAATTTGACATCATTATTCAGGAAAGTTCTGTGTGCCTTAATTACTGTTGATGTCCACGCCAGAGATACTATAACTCACATGGTGGAGAAACATGTGCAAAGACCGTTAGTATAGTTCCCGAGATATAAGTTGGTTAGAGTCGTAGAATATAAAAAATCTTACTTTACGTGCCAAGAATTCACCGTTCATAATTTGTAAAAACCCGGTCTGTAAATTCCATAAGCAATTGGAATTCCAATCTTGACGTTTTTGTATGAAATTTTGAAGTAGTTATTTAAACAGCCGTAGCGCTGATGATCGGTTTGGCCTCTGTTTTTATTTTCAAGTAATATATTTTGTATGCATAATAATTGATACTTGTTGTAAGAAAAAAAAACTAAACTACAAAAAAATATAGAACAATATAAAAACTTTTATTCTAGCAATGACTTTGAATGGCTGAAAATGATTCGTTACTATTGGGAAGAAGATATTGACAATTGCGTAGCGCGAATGTCTAGTGCCATGTATATATATGGTCATGAGTACTTGGGGGCTGGAGGTGACATTCTACTTATTTTTTTAATTATTTATTGATATTTACATAGCTTAAAAGTATTGATAGTCTGATATATTTTTTAATTTATATTTATAGACATTCCCTGGATATACGTAATTATATAATTTTTATAACTCAACTTTCAGGCGTATTGGTAATAACTCCGTTGACAGATAGGTGCTATCTGTGCCTAATGGGAGCACTCCAGCTGGACTTAGGCGGGGCTCCTGCAGGACCGGCTGGAACAGGCAAGACTGAAACTACAAAGGACTTAGCCAAAGCATTGGCTATACAATGTGTTGTATTTAATTGCTCTGAGGGTAAGTTATAATTTTAAGATGTTATTATAAAGACAATCGGTCATGACCTGCCCTCGTTGTATGTATGGTACGAGAGTATTGTTTTTGTACGTTATTTTGGTAACATTTCACTTTTTATTTATATAATCAAAATACCTTTAGACTAGCAAAAATACTTTTATTTTTCTATTGAATTTATTTAAAATGCTGTATTGGGATCAGATGAAAGGATATACTAATGTTTTCTATGACCAAAAAATAGTGATTATTATTAAACAAATGAATAATAAATGATTTTAGGGTTGGACTACAAGATGATGGGGAGGTTCTTCTCGGGACTGGCAACGTCAGGTGCTTGGTGCTGTTTCGACGAATTCAACAGAATAGATATTGAAGTACTGTCTGTCATTGCACAACAACTCATTACTATAAGAAACGCAAAAGTCGCTAAGCAATCTAGGTAATTATAAATGCATGTCAATTAAACAACTAACTCTTGCATATTACAAAATGAAGTCCTCGGCTGCGTCTGTCTATATTAACGAGATATAATTAACTCTATCGGACGGGTTTTGCACGGAATTCACTAATGGTTACGTCGACCCATTACCGATGTTTTTATTCAGAATTTCAAATTTACGAACTAACTAATCATAAAAAGGATAAAAACTAAATATTAAAACATTAGATTGTTTCTAATTATACTCTTATGTAAATAGCTTTCTATTGATGTTTTCAATTTGAAAATCAGCTTAAAAGTGTGACAATACTTTAGTAAGCCCTGCATAATACGATCACTTGCCCGTTTAAGACGCGTTCTAATTCCTACTGATGAACACGCTTTATTCCTTGAAATATTTTTATTTTGTGTATGTTCTGAAACTATTGTTGTAAAACAATTGTGTATACAAAAATTTGAATTTGTATCTTCAGAAACCATAAAATATTTATTTGATAATAATATTTTTTTACTAATGTTTATTGATATTTCTAGGTAAAATGCTTAGTGTTTAACATGAACTACAGAACTGTTTAATAAAACATACTATAATTCATTATGCATGCGTTTGAATACTTAGTTGTATAAGAAATCTATTCTATGCAAGCACTGGTAAATAATATTGTTCAGTTAATAAAGTATAAAATTTGTCAAGTTTATAGGGAAATGTTGACTTTTATTGACGGTGTATGTGTTTTAATATGAAATTAATTTGCCGACGAGCCAAAGGAGATGCTATAAAATCCTTTCCTCTTTAGAGAGAAAATTTTCATAAACCTTGAACATTTTTTAGAGACATCTTTACATATTGCACTTTAAACTGTAATAAAATTTAACAGGTTTATGTTTGAGGGTCGAGAAATTAAATTAGTACGGACGTGCGCTGCATTTATTACAATGAACCCGGGATATGCAGGTAGAACTGAACTGCCGGACAATTTAAAGGCTTTGTTTCGACCGATATCTATGATGGTTCCTGATTATGGTAATATATTACTGCTTTATTGTTGATTATTACCATGTTATAATTGTTTTATAAATTTATGGTGCTAGGAAAACCTGATATAAATGTAAAGGACATGAAACTTTTATTGTTATTCTTATAAAGAAATCGTCATCGCTCCGCTTCGGTAAAGTTGATACGCGCGCCTTCTTCAGTCTGTGATATGCTTCAATTTATTTATATAATTGAAAATAAATATTACAGCACTGATCGCTGAAGTCATCCTTTACTCCGAAGGCTTCGAATCTTCGAAGGGTTTAGCAAAGAAAATGGTACAAATGTATAAATTGTCAAGTGAACAGCTTTCGAAGCAGGATCACTACGATTTTGGAATGAGAGCTGTGAAGAGTGTACTTGTATGTTACATTAGTGTTCATATAATTTATTTATTTGATATTTATTGAAGTCGTAAAGTATTAACATATTGTCTGGCCATTTCTTCTAAGGTTTTCTTTCTTAGAAATATTCATATATCGAGTGTGCTTGTATATATATATATACTCATAATATGTACAAACCCGCAATCGAGTAAATGTGCATGGTATTGAAAACTTATAATTGGAAGGATTTAACTAGAACTGCATTAATTAAGTTGCTATTATTTAATACGTAGCTGAGTTACAGGCTTAAAGGCAAGCTTCGTAGAAAATTAGATTATTGTTAAATTCTTTAGGTATTGTATATTTAAACTTATCCGTCTGATGTCAGTGTGCAATATTTGGGTGATTAGAGTTTAAGAAAACAATAATGTGGTTCATTAAGCTTTTAAATGTCTTCTAATCTAGGTAATGGCTGGTGCGTTAAAGCGCGCCAGTCCCGACCAACATGAAGAAATGACGCTATTATGTGCCCTCAATGATAGCAACTTACCAAAATTTCTCGCTGCCGATGCTATCCTATTCGCCGGTATATTATCTGATTTGTTTCCTGGAGTCAGCTTACCAGTACGAGACTACGGAATCATGGAGGAAGTTATAAGTGAGTAGTTATACTGATAAATTAAATCATCAGTTGTCGAGGCAGAGTAAGAAAATCAGCACCACATTCACGTTCGTTTGTAAATACGATTCTTAAATATACAAGAGTCACGTGCATACAATTTGAAATGTAATATTGGGGAATTGCTAAATTTACCCCGAAGGCAAATCAGTTGACCATGAATTTAATCAAACGCGTGCAAATAGTTTGTTTAGTGTCTATTTTAGATCAAAAGCCTACACCCAAATGAATATATCATCCTGCTAAAAACCTTATTACAGAATATTTGATGTAGATCTGAAATTTTCAATAATAATTATATCCTAGAAATGTATTAACTTTGCAATAACGAAACAGTTTCGATAAAGAAAGTATATTTGTGGAAATCTGTAATTAAATAATTTCTGGCTACGATAATTATAGCTATTTGGTAGCATATCATGTCTATTATATTTTTGCCTTCCTTCTATAAATAATAATATTAATTGTAAAATTTATGTTTACGGTAAGAAAACGTTTGTAATACCATGTTTGACATAAAATTATTGTTCCAACTACCATTTATTTTTATTTTATTTAGCTTATCCAAATTACAATTGTAATGCGTTTACAATTCAATTATTCCACCATTCATTATTATGAATGAGTTCGAGTTATTACTCGAATACATAATAGTACCTAACTAGTATCATAGTATTAATGGCAATCAAGACGAATTATTTTAAAAGACATCATTTCTTCAGAATGCTTACAAAAAATATGTTTACTATGAAATATAAGATACAGGTATTCCACGTCATTAAATTTGAATCGGTAGACATCCCTCCTCATCGGCAAAGAAGACCGAGGGTGTAGGCCGAGAGAAAAAACCGGCGTCAAAAACTCTCGCTTGAGAATCTTTTCATCAATAACACGTTTGGATACAATTGGAAAATTTTTGTTTGAACATAAAAGATAGATAACTTAGATCGACAACATAGTGCAATCTTTTTTTTTTGTGCCAGTTAGTTTTTTTTAAATTTTTAATATAAATACCGGGCGGTCGTAGTTTATATATCTAAGATACAACTAGAGTATATGGGTTAGTTTACAGTTACTAAATACATTTTCAGAGATCATATTTTTGGAACGCAAACTGCAAATAGAGATGTGTCAAATACGGAAGGTGATACAATTGCACGAAACAATGATAGTGCGTTGGGGTGTCATGTTGGTGGGGCCGACTGGAGGTGGGAAGACAACCGTATTACACGTGAGAATATTATGTAGATCAATAATTAACAAGTTATAACAAATAATATTTTTTTTAATACATATTTGAGAAAGTTGGAAATTTGTTTATATAATACGTTAAATAAAGCTATAATTGGGAAGCTGGTTAGAAAAATTGTCCTAATAAGTTGGTTAAAAGTTAAAAATATATGATCATATTTAGAAAACCACTCAGTTCTTTATTAGTAGGTACGCACGTATTACAACGCAAATCCGATGAAATCTTTTGGATTAAAAGAATATGGATTTTGTTGAAAGTTTATAATTGATTCAGGTGTTAGGTGATACATATACAAGGTTATATGAGCGTGGTGAAGAGAATCCGACATATCAGCTTGTACATAAATACATAATGAACCCTAAGAGTTTGAGTATTGGTGAGCTTTACGGGGAAGTGAACTTGCAGACCTTGGAGTGGCATGATGGGATCTTACCATTGTCTCTACGTACCGCTGTCCAGGTAGGTTGATAAAGTAATTTCATGTAAAGCGATCGTTTCGTTTTGTAAAATAAAACTTATTAATAAACGATTAAATTACTATTATTTTTTTTTTGTTGTTGGAAAAGAAACCAGGAGAAATATTGTGACTATTTAACCGTGTTATATTACATAAATAGTTTATAATAATAAAAGGCTCCCGTCGAAGAGCAAATCAATTCAGACTTGATTTATTCGACGTTATATTTTATTATTCTCTGAAAATTGTAAGCTTCTCGACAATCTTATTAAACGTAGTCATTATAAAATAACAACACTTAATAGCCTTGATTGGTGTTATCTTTATTGAATTTCCAGGAAAACAATATGTTTTTGCAGACTTTTTCGAGTATCTAAGGCGATAAAAATAACAAAACATTTTGTTTACGATTTTGCTGCATCAAAACAGACCTCGCAGCAATTTATAATTAATTCCTTGGCTTAAGCATGAAACTATTATCAGATTTTAATACAATATTAATCGATAATACAATGTTTTTAGTGCGAAGACCCTGACCACCAATGGCTCATCTGTGATGGACCTGTAGATGCGGTGTGGATTGAAAATATGAACACAGTTCTCGATGACAATAAAATGCTATGTCTCTCAAACTCCGAAAGAATTAAACTAACGCCATATGTACATATGGTTTTTGAGGTGAGACCCATACAAGGCAGGATCCAGGAGAAGACTAACTTTGATTGCCTTAATGACGCGAGAATCCGCTCTTGAAATAGTTTGAGGTTCCCTGCAGTTCTTGTAAATTATTGTTTCCAGTATATGTATATAGTATATAATAGACTAGATAATATAAGAATTGACTTTGACTAATAATGTAAAATTCCTTAAGGACAACTTTGCGCGCCATCGTATGTGGCAGAATATTTACGATTGTATCACCTTAACATTTTGTACCATATTCTTGCAATAAATCAATTATTATTATTATTATCATAAAAGAAATACTCAATACATTATTTCAATTAAAATAGGATAAAAAAAGAATACTTTTACACACACCCATTAATATTGTTTTCAGTTAATTCAATTAAAATTTAAAAAATAACGAATAAAATATTTTAAAAATAACGAATGTTTTCTGAAATGTTGTATTTAATTCAAGATAAACCTGGCTTGTTTCTGTTTCGTTCTTTCCTTTTATACTTTAGATATAATGGAATTTTATAGTAACCTTAGGATATTGTCAACGCTGAGTTCGACTCTAGGCGAAATTATAATTCCAGACAGCACAGCATTTTATTAGCTATTAATAATAATTGATGAAGATTTTTGGTTCAATATTTGTTTTGGTAGGAATCAATTCGTCCCAAACTGAGCGACGGCTTTGATTAGTTTTACTTAGTTACTTATTATGATTATTACTGCTAAAAGCTATATAAAGGAAAGCCGCTAAAACAAAAATTATTAACCTGTAAAATTATAATTAGTCTTAAATAGAGGCTCGTTCGAAATTCAGTACATAAGAAACTCTACGGTAATCATATAATAATTTTTAACGCAAATACCGAGACACATCGATCTTGTGTTGCGATTTCTTTCTGCTCTAATGGATATAAGTACTACATTTTGTACTTTCACGTATAATTTGAAAACAAAAACATAAGGTAAAGTGTGATTTCGATTGTGCCTAAATCATGACGTATATTTGTTGTCTACAAATAAGTGCATGCTAAATCAACATAGGTTCCGCCGACATTCAATATGAGTTTAACTGAATGCCGGCGTTTGACTTATCAAAGCTTTATTTGAAAGTACTAGAATAATATTGGTCATAAATTGCGGGCACTGTACACATTGGAAAATTAAATAAACTCATCGTGTATATTTACTAAACGTTCAATATGTAGTACCGATCAAATAATACCACAAACATTTTGTTCAGGTATTATTATTGGTATTGGGAATTACAAAAGATAAAAAAATGGTAGAATATAAAATATGTAATTTTTAAATAGGTGGCTGACTTAGCACAGGCCTCACCAGCGACAGTTTCTCGATGTGGCATGGTTTACATTGACCCCGGAGAGCTTGGATACTTACCATACGTCAGATCCTGGCTGGATGAGGGAATCGAGAAGAACCTCTTCACTCAAGAAAACTCTGAATTTATATACGAGCTCTATAAGATGCTAGAAGTTGGAGTCACACATGTCAATACTAAATGCAGTGTCGGAATTAAACAGGTCACATATGAATTTAATATATATATATATATATATATATATATATATATATATGGTTATAGTAATGGCTTCTTTGGTTAGCACTTTAATTATTTCAAATTTTTACACTAGATTTTCTGGTACGAATGGAATTAATTAAAAAAGTGAAGGTGTGCCTAAGGCTAATCGCCCGTTAATTTTTATATTAAGAAAATTTATCAGAAAAATATATTAAACACTGTAAACTGACATTGTGATCTTATTTATGTATGCTTTGATTCCCGTAAAGTTCCCATTTAAAAAAAAATAACTAAATTGCTTAAGGTTGCTAAGTGTGTAATTAGCTCTTAAATATGAACAATATTTATATCGTTAAGTTGGAGAGATTGCAGGGTATATTTGTAGCGATATTAGGATATATACTTAAAAAGGTGTATGCTACATTTATTGTGATATTTTATGAAAATCATGGTTGGTTTGAGATAGCGTCTGAAAGAGTGACGGAGAGTTTATCGCCAGTTCTTCTCGTCCGTTCTACGCTCTTGATGTGAGACCTGGCATTAAATATAAAATTAGAAGCATTTAATATGTATTTCTTTATTGGCGTTCATAAGTGTAGTTAACTAAATAAATATATGGTTTTGAATTTGTCTATTAACCTTGAGGTCGTGTATTCCCGAATGTGGAACTCTATGTGTTTTATATCACCTATTCGAACGATAAACACAAACATCAACAAAATAATTTAAACCCAAAAATTAAAATCTGAATGATTTAACTTCTTGCTTATTAATAAAGAGATAGATACAATCTGACGCCATTGTAATATAAAATCTTTATAAAAATCAAGTGATTTGTGTATATGACAGGTGGACATAAGCAAAATATCAGCCCTTTGCTACCTAATGGGGGCTTTACTGTCTGAACCTGGCGAACGGTTTCCGGACAAAGCAGCCGTTAAGACTTATATTGCATATTGCTTCATATTCTGCTACGTGTGGTGCATTGGAGGGAACATCTTGGAAATTAATCGAAAGACTTTTGAGGAAGTGATCAAGAGGCAGTTTGAGACTTTTGAAGAAGCTGAATAGTATGTGTCTTTTTATATGCCCTTTAATTTATTTATTTTAAACTACTTACTTTTTTAGTTACTACTAACTCTAAACTCGATCATTTGCTAAGTCACAAAAAAACAGAGGGGTGTGTTTGTAGAGCTTTTTAAAAAGAGTCTAAAAAGTAGTAGTATTGATTAAAAATTACACAATTATTGTGCAGAATTTTGGACATATGTTTATTATAAATTTATTTTCTATTAGTGGTGCTTTTGCAACCTGTTCGTGGTTTATTAATAGCGGAGTATTGGAAATCGATCGCTTGATGTGCAGCACAGTAAATGTCGAATGCCTTGTTTGAGTTCTTTTAGGTTCATTTTTTATACTTATATATTTTCATACTTTTGTCTTTGTTTATGAAATTAAATTTAGTTATTTTCCTTTATTATTAAAACAATTATTATATAATAACAATTAACAATTAATACGAATTATTGTAACATAATGAGTTCTGTTTGACATAATCTAACACGTTGATATAGTGAGTAATAAAGCAGCTCATGTGTAGTTACATCTTTATACAAAGCGATGGCTAAAAGAAAACATTTTTATTCAATATTTCCTACAAGTTGATATCTAACATACACTTTTCTTATTATTCGCAGTTTTCCACAAGGTTTTAATTTTTTCGATATGTATATGGATACAAAGCATCGCAAATTAAAAGTATGGGCGGAAATAATTCCAGAATTTCTTTACGACTGTAATAAGCCCTTCTTTGAAACCTTAGTGCCCACTATAGATACGGTGCGCTACGGGTATTTATTTGAAAAGCTGCTTAGTGCCGGGAAACCGGTTATGTTTACTGGCAACACTGGTGAGTAATAACTTCTCCACAGGAGCGCACTCTAAGACTTCACTTTTGAATGTCTTCTTTTCACAAAATGGATATTAATTTTACTATAGAATTTTGTCTGCGCATTCAAGACGCAAAGCGCATTCAAGACTTCTAAGCTGATTGACTTTTTTCTCAATGTGATTATTAATTTTACTTCCAAGCTTTAGAATATTGTCTCGATTCAGTGATACGATTTATACCCAACAGTAAAAGTATAGCGATGTAAATATTAAATTATTCTCGAGCTTATTGGGAAGAAGTTAAGTCAAAAATAACTTTAACAACAGCATTCACAATTAAAAATGTAACGAACTGAGTCACTGCGTCACCGGGGTGCGTAGTTACTACTTGTGCCAATCTTATGGCATCAAAAGCAGAATGTGCGTCAACTATTTGCTTGTTATCTTCTGTTTTACGATAACATTTTCTAGGTGTGGGAAAAACTGTGATTGCTGCTGAGATATTAAACAAAATGTCTACCTCTGGTACTTATATACCAGTTATTTTAAACTTCTCAGCGCAAACTAGCAGCGCACGGACACAGGTTTGAATCCTAAGTCATGGCTTTTAGACTTATTTTACAAATTAGTGAAATTCCCCATTACTTTATAGACTGATCTATGTATAGAAATTTTAAACTTCCCAAAATTCTTAAGGACTGATCTCGTAATTAAAGCAGAAATGCATACACAATATATCTTAATTTAGCTTACTCATAAAAACCCGACAATGCACCCATTATAATGGATTAAATTATGGCGAGTTAAATTTGAGTCTTTTTGTTTCATTTTTTAAACAGGTGCTTACTTTTGTTATTGAATTTGTTTTATTATAGTATATATAATATACTATAATAATTATATGTATAATTATGCAAATAAATAAAGGACGCCGTTTAAAACTAGGAAGTGATTGAACTCCGACTGGAAAAGCGACCACGTAAAGCTATCGGTGCTCCTCTTGGCAAAAAAGTGATAATCTTTATTGATGACGTCAACATGCCCCGCCTTGATGTGTATGGAGCTCAACCGACGATTGAATTACTAAGGTATTTGGGATTAGCTTTAAGAAGATGATAATTAAATGGGTAATGCAACAACGACAACAACTCTTAGATTTGCTAACGAATACGTATAATTTAATAATAATAACAAATAAAAATAGCTAGAAGATGTAAAATAGCTTACTCCAAGTGAAGTCTTTTCCATGTATAACATTTATAAATACAACTTGTTACTTTATTAATTTATATTAGTATTAATAAATATTAGTATAAATGTAAATTAATGGAATATTAGTATAAATAAAATAACGAGGTGTTAAAAAAATTGTAACTTTTAAAAATAGTATACACTATACGTACCGACTTAATTAATCTTCAATACACTTAAATATAGTAATAAGCGACCGAGTGTTCAATACTGTCAACAAAAAGGTAAAAGGTAATTAAAACTATCATAGATTTAATACGTGAATTCCGATGTTTTTCGCCTGTTACTCACGCTTCCCTATAATAATCTCACCCTTACACAAATTCCCATATCTAGCGCACCGTAAAACGCGTGTAATAAGGGCGATAATGGCTAATTCTGATGAGGAATCAAATGCACAAATGATGGCCTAGCCTAGCCGATATCTAACGAGCTACGTTGTATATGTTATTAACCCTCAAAAGTTAAAACGCGAGGCGTTTGTTTTCGAATCTACATTAATGTTTTGGCGAATACGAAGTTAGAGATTATGTCTTTCGAAGTTTCTCTTCACACTCATTACCTAATTCTCATTAATTAACGAGATATATGTATTTAAAGAAAATAAAATTTACTCGATCTAAAGGTATTATGATTTTGCAATTACTTATTACGAATTTTAAATTTTAAATAACAAAAGACACCTCGTCTTTTTAACCTTATTCTTTCCACTGTCTGGTGGGTAAATGTTGTTTTTTTAAAGCTGTTTAAATTTATTTCTTTACTTAATGACGAAATGCAAAGTTGTAAGAGAGAATCAAAAGAAAACCTGATTCTATTATTCAGACAATATTTGGACTTTGGTGGCGTTTACGACCGAGACAAATTGTACTGGAAGGATATCCTCGATGTGGTATTGTCATGCGCGTGCGCACCGCCTGGCGGCGGGCGGAATCCTCTCACTGCGAGATTTGTTCGACACTTCGCTATGTTCTATATTTCAGCACCGAACTCAGAAGCCATGAAGACAATTTTTAAAGTGAGAATCATTGGAATATTTTATTCTGTAATTGTAGATGAACTTTCAAAGCATGTTTAATAATTACCTGAATAATTAAAAAAAAATTAGCCGACACAGTAGTGTCAGTATTTTTTGTACTTGTTACTTCAAAACTAACTACGGCAAACAAACAGGATTTTTAATTAATGGATTTATATATAACATATGACAAGTTTCAATCATTTATTTTAATAATTAACTTACCAATAAGAGGTCTTCTCTTTCACACTTTTCTAGCCTCGTTATCTAATCATTAATAGATATATTACTATGCGCTGCTCTTCATTATATCCCTAAAAAAATTCCATATTCTTTTAATAAATCCTTGATAATAGATTGCTAATGTATAGAAGCGTTACGAGAAGGCCGTGTTAATTAATGTCATTCAAATCACGACTATGTGCGGTGTCGCTTTTTGCACTACACTACACAATAGACTGCTAGTTTGCGATATACAATACGATTATATTCTGCAGGATACAACGGTTTATCCCGCTATAAGTTCTTTTCTCTTGCTATAAATACAGCGTATGTTTTAATTTGGTACTTATTTTAAAATATATACATAATAGAAAAATATACAAAAATATTTTAGAACAACAGGTAGCGATATACAACTAAGTCGGGATGAGAACTATTTCCGGATTCGCTTCTGTTTCCTGAGGCAATTTCGTTCCTAATATCATGCCAAATGCACTAAATAAACCAAGTGCCTGTCAGCTTCGCTATTGTTAAACGTTGAGTTTGGAGTGACTAGACAAGCTTTGGTAAAGAGTCAGTGCATGCTTTCAATTGTTACATCAGTAGTCAAGACTTTGACGTGAATTCCCAATAATATCCGAAACCACTATTTGTTACTGACGTATCGTGAAGCTGGTGTGATTGTCCGATCAAGTTTCATTAAATTGATTTTACATCAAAATATCGATTAATTTGAATAAATAATTCAGTTTGTTTAGAGAGCGATTTAACGTACAATTGGTGCTTTAGCAATTATTTTGGCTACAGTAGAGGCTAGACGTAAATCCATAAATTATTCGGTTTTTAATGGACTCAGTTGACGTCAAATGTGTTACTATGAGATAGCCGTATTGTCTATTGCTATGTATAATAAAGTAACGAAAACCAAATTTCAGGCGATTCTAAACGGTCACATGGAAGACTTTGTTACCGAGGTGTCGGTTCTGGGCGAGCCAATTGTAAATGCGGCGGTTGATGTTTACCTAAAAATATGCGCTGAATTGTTGCCGACACCAGCGAAATCCCACTACGTGTTCAATTTACGAGACCTTTCAAAATGCATGCAGGGTGTTTTGCAGGCAAATGCGGCCTATATGAGATTACCGCAGGCGATGCTAAGGTACTAAAATTGAGCTTTCAATGGTACTAATTATCAATGGATTTTAGGTCTAGTGTTTACAGCCTGTTTAACGTAGTTATACCTTTGCATTACTATTTATGCTCATTATTAGATAACAATGTGTAGGTAATTAATACCTAAAGCTAGATTTGTTAGAAACATTTTTATTATATTTTCTTCAATATTATATTTTGTAATTTTAAAGAGTAGGTATTCTATAAATATAAATTCAATTTACTAGACGCTGCCCACCATCTTGTTTGCGTGGGACTGTGATAAAAGATACTTTAAATGTTATATTCAAACCCGATTTTCAGGTAGATTTGAATACATTTTTCTATGCACAAAATTCTATTTAAAGCTAGCTAAGAGCGGACCTATCTAAATTTATCTGCCATATTATTTGAGTATTTGTTAGAAAGTAACTGCCTTATAACATAAAGGTATTTTCAGGCTATTCTACCATGAGTGCTTGCGCGTGTTTCACGATCGTCTCATCAACATAGAAGATAAAAGTTATTTCTACCACCTTATGTGCAATGTGTGTAATAAAAATTTCCAGCAACCGATTCTTGAAATACCCGAAGAACCAATTATTGAATCACCACCTGTTCTTCTCTTTGGGGACTTTCTTAATTCTTCTGTTCCAAAAGAAAATAGAACTTATCAAGAAATCCCTGATATACAGAAGCTCATAGTAGTTTTAAAGGTAGATTCTAAATTCCAATGATTATTTTTTATTTAAAATATCAATGTATTGAACATAATAGTTACTCTGAATTTTTTTTAGACAAAGAGTAAATATTGTTAATATTTGTATAGTAAGGAAAAATTATAGAAAAATATATTATTATCAGGAATACTTGGATGAATATAACTCTACTGCTCGGGCGGAAATGAATTTGGTACTATTCAGAGACGCCGTAGAGCACGTAGCTCGCGTAGCAAGAGTGCTAAGAGCTGAGAGAGGTCATAGTTTGATGGTCGGCCCTGGTGGCTCTGGTAGAAGATCCGTGGCGACCCTAGCAGCCCACGTTAATGAGTGCAAGTGAGCAATATTTTGGTTGTGGTTGGCCAGGCTTATTGAATTTATAATTAGATTACTAAATATGTATGCTAGATCTACTTCCAAAACACATTACCCCAATTAGTGAGCCGATCAGTTAATTTGCTGAAACTTAAAAAGAAAATAATTGAGCGCTTGTATTAGTGTCTTGCTCATTTAGAAAAGCCGTACAATCGAACATTAAAAAGCTCCAATCGACGTTTACATTGAAATATACGTATCAAACGACGCTACCTTAGCAACGCTCTTACTAAGAGCTTCTCTCCACCTACAATCCACGTTTATATATATTTATCGATTTCAAGTTGTAGACTAGACATTTTCATCGAATAAACATTTTTCTTACTACGAGTATTACCTATCTGAATTCTAAATTAATGTTAATAATTTAAATAAGCTATAGAATGCCATAACTATAAAGGGTACATTTATTGCTACTTCAAATATGTAATCAAAGCCTTTTGAAAAGTGTAGAGGTATATTACGTTTCGCTAAATGTAAATATAATCACTGAACATATTAAAGTGTATTTTTTTAATTTAGTCTGTTGTTTTTACCAAAAGTACAAATTCATTGGATAGAGATTGAGGTAATTTTCAAGTTTCAATTTTTAAGTTTAAAAAATGTCATCGAGATAAATAATATATAATAAATAATATATACTAAATAATATATAATAAATAATATATACTAAATAATATATAATAAATAATATATAATAAATAATATATACTAAATAATATATAATAAATAAAATATACTAAATAATATATAATAAATAATAATAACTAGAGGTAGGTACAGATTTTAGATCGCTTAAGACGTTGTTACATTGCGTTTTAGCTATACTCACAAACTCGTCAAAAATACCTCTATCACGTAACGTGAAAATTAGTTTTGCCCTTACTGCTCAATAATGTTCTCAACTTATGCACGAAGCGGAGTGGTTTTTATAGTAGGGGCAAGGGTTTAAATGGATTTTGAGGTTTGATAAATATACACGAAACCTCATAGCATCACCCTCAATATCTCAATGTAAAGCTATCGAGCATTCAAAATAATATTTTTAGATTAATAAGATTTTATTGATAATTAAATTACCATTGCCATTAAGTATTTACTGTAAGAAAATTACGAGGAGCGTCTATTTAAAATATAAGGAAATATATTTTAACTGAGAAATGTACTAATCATATTCTGAAATCGCTTGTAGCAAAACATTCTTTCAATACAAAGAAGACGATGTTTAAATTATCAATGCATTAATGTCACATACTCTTAACCTATGGCATTGAGAGTGTCCATGGGCGGCGGTATCACTTAACATCAGGTGAGCCTCCTGCCCGTTTGCCCCCCGTTCTATAAAAAAAAAAAAAAAGAAGTGATATCCTCCCTAAGTGACATCACTGGCGATCCTAAGACTCAGAAAATTTTCCATAGATGTGGGGTGGGTTGTTTACTGTTACTTGTTCTACGTACATGCACTACGTATAGTGGACATTAATTTGAGCTTCAAAGTGAAAATTCAAACGTGTCTGGCGTTATAAAAGCCCAAAGCTCAATATATTTAATAATCAATACCTAACCCATATTATAATGAAAAGTTTAGCCAACGGTCAAGTTTTCAAGTTTAGAAGGTCATGAAGGTGTTTATGAAATTTTCGAAATATGGTTAGGACATTAAGAATTAAGCCTATTAGTTGCCTCCCCTAGAAAAGCTTTAAGAATTTTGACTATAACAGGTGCATGGGAATGGAACTGAAACGTAATTATGACACACCGGAATTCCACGACGATCTTCGTAAGATGTATATGCGAGCTGGGGTTGGGTGTGAAGATACTGTCTTCTTATTCACAGACACGCAGATTACAAAAGAAGAGTTTTTGGAGGATATTAATAATATGCTGAATTCTGGTGTGTATTGTATAATTTTTTAAGCAGCATTTGACCAATATCAAATGACTATTTAGTTTCTTAACGGATCAGGCTATCATCAAAAAAAAAGTCTTTCAAAATACTTTCTGTGCAATGTTCCCAGATACTGAATTCTAATCATGGTAGCTCATATCTATTTTAAACAATTTACTACGATTTAATGGCTATATAATAATAGAGCACTTTAAAAGAAAAGCCATGATGAAGTTACCTCTATATTTATTGAATTTTTATGTCTAGTTACAAAGTTCAGTGAGTTTGAAAAAACTAAAATGTTTCTTAGAAATGCTTAATCGCTTGTGTTATCGATAACAAAGAATCAGAGTTAATCTCTCAACCTCTTGTTATTGCTTTCTTATTCCTATTTTTCCAGGAGAAGTTCCAAACCTTTTTGAGGGTGATACTTACGAGCAAGTACAGACGGGTTGTCGAAATGATGCGGCTAAGACTGGAATAAATCCGGCAGACAGAGACTCAGTGTACTACTTCTTTATCAATCGTGTTCGTGCAAAACTACATCTATGTGTGTGTATGAGCCCCGTCGGCGAAGCGTTCCGGTAGGATTTGTAGTTTTTAATAAGATAATATTAATTATTAAATAATGATAAATAGTTTTTATTCCTTAAAATTGATTTGATATAGTTATAAAGTATTCTATTTTATTAAATTTTATATATTTAGTTAAAGGATATTCTAGATAAAGTATTAGAGAATTTAATCTAAAATTCGCAAAATTTTTGTTTTAAAAATTCGCAATAAACTTATACTTTCGCAACGAACAGTTGTCTCTAGTGAGTTAAATTAGACACAAATAAGCTCCTTATTAAATATATATAAAATAAAAACGCATTTCAATGGTATCCGATATATTAGGATGACATAATACAGTTAGGGATTAAGTTTAAATCTGTAGGTTATAAACTACGGGAAACATCGAAATACTGTTGGAAGAAAGAGACCTTCAAGGATTTAGTCGGCGGCGCTGGTGCAACGGTCCATTATCAGTTTAAGCAGGTCCTCCTTCTCCTTGTCATCCTCATCTTCCTCCGGCTCCTCTTCGTCCTCCACCTCTTCGTACTCCTCCTCTTCTTCGTCCTCCTCTTCCTCTTCTCCAAAAAACATACCATAGTCGATAAAGTACGGCCTGCCACAATCGGGACAACGAATGTTGTAATCCATCTCCTCCAGGTCTAACCAAAACTGTTGTAGATATCTTAGCACATTCTGCAGGAGAATATTCTTCTGATCTTCCAGGTTGTAGATGGCCGCCTGGATCTGCAGACGCTCCCACTTGTCCTCAGTTTTGGCGTTAAGTATTAGAAGAACATAGTTCACAAACTTTACTTTTTCCAGCTCCTCGTTTATATTGATGCCGTTGAAAACGAGTGAGATTTTAAAAGGTCCATACGGACGCTCTCCCGCAGGAAAGATAAACTGCATTTTATTTAAATCAAAAACATAACGTGGATACGCGTACATAGTGATTTAAAGTTATGGGAGTCAATGTTAACACAAGCGTAATGTTCAAAGTCTAGCGTGTTTATTGGAAACTATTTTGCAATTTCTGCTTTTATATTTTAAAGACGACATGCGCACAGTTCTCGTCCTATTTGCGACTGCGTATAACAAATCCAAAGCATCTAGGGTAATATTGATACTCTTCCTAGAATTAACAATTATGAACAAAGTTAACTTTTTGCTGGCAACAGTTTACTGAAAATATGTGCTCCAATGAAAATTGTAATGGCGATACCAAATTATTAATACAGTACAATGGTTGTTAAATTATTATGGTTTACTTTTATATACAATTAGGGTAATTGTGGTGATGTCTAATATACGATTTCTTACGATAGATTGGTATTGGTTAAAAATTGAGCTGACAATAAAAGTAGTAGCGTCTGCTCTCTACGTACATACACAACAAGTGTCTTTCGGCATGACATCGTTTATCTTTGTTTTCTATATATTAGTTTTATATTACCAATGTTTTCTTTTAAAAAATATTCACGCACGACAAATCACATCTTTAATAAATAAAAATAGGTAAGCAATAAAGCGCTTTTAATGATAGTATAGTACCTAATGGGGTTTGCCGACGTTTATGATGTCTAGTTTATCTTTTTTATATATACATTTATACTCTGTAACTTGTATATAGCGATAATTGTATCAGTATGTATTTTACTCAAAGCAACTTTTGCGTCTGCTTCGTTCTCAATTATTAAGAAAATAGATATTATATTGGAGATTCGAACTTACACTCACACATAACAGATATGTTCTATTAGTTTACAAGTATGCCTAATCTACGTATATAATGGCGTTTCTGATACACCCTTTTAATTGAAGTGTAACTTTGTCGGTTGTCAATTTAATTTCTTTTTTGATGCGCACAATTACAGAAAATAGTATACCTACTATTGTTTTTATTCGTTTTTCATTTCGTATAATATATAATATAATACGAAAGATATAAACCCTGAATTATATCTCTGTACCGTTGCTTTTGTATATAATAATAATTACTTTGTATCTTCTAGGTATATGAGGTAATTGATTGTAAATGTAGTTTTTTAACATTACATAAATTAATTAATGCCATTTCTTATCTGAAACTATAATATATAATATAAACAATATATAAACTCTTTAAACATTTGTTAATTCAACGAATATAATAAATAATTTACGCTATATTAGCTACAATATGTATACATGTATACCTGGCCCAGTGTCCAAGTCTAGTTTTCAACATCCAAATGAATATTTTCATGTTGCATTTGGAAGCTTTCGCACAGAATATTTTATTTACTATTAATTCAGTAAATAATTTTACATAGTAATTATTTTTTTACAATGAACTAATGAGTCAAAATAATTTTCGGCAAATAAACATCATGTGTATGGAAAGATATAATTTTAATATAGGTATAATGGGGAAATTCGTAGTTTGAAGTTATTATTTCCATAAAAAATATATTGGCTTAAAACTTCAAGTTTCAAAATTATTTAAAGTAAAAAGGTGAATAGAATAACACCAAAAGGTAATAAGTAAAAACTTAAAAGCTAATGAATAGGCAAAATAAGTAATCTAAATAAAATTTAAATACAAAAAATACAGGCGCCGTTGCCGTATGTTCCCGTCGCTGGTGAACTGCTGTACTATTGACTGGTTCACAAAATGGCCACCAGAAGCATTACTTTCCGTCGCTGAACAGTGCCTTCAGCCTCTTGGAGACCAAAATATTATACACAAGATCTCTATGCTATGCGTCACAATGCATCAGGTACTATGTTCTTTATTATCAAATTTATTATTATTGAATGGAATCATTGAAAGAAAAACACCTTTTATATCTGTATAGAAATAACTTGTAGGTATGCGACGAGTGAGAGCAGCAGATGATTTTTTTTTAGGTTTGACCTTTGAGTACCGATCTTAATTCTCAGTGAATATTTAGATTTCAGTAATTGAATTTCTTACTAGAAAATGAGCCATTTTGTTTATCAGACTTTAAGCTCTCTTAGAAAAAAAATTACTTATGTTTGTAAGAGTCTGGTAAACAGCATTGATATAAAAACTACACATCTTTCTCTTTGTCATTTAGGATGTAGACGTAATGACTGATCGACTGTATGACGAAATGCGACGTTATTTCTACACAACACCAAGTAGTTATTTGGACCTCTTGAAGCTGTACCTAGGTCTTCTGGACAAGAAACAACAGGAGATAATACGAGGGCGGGACAGAATCTCCTGTGGACTACATGTAACTATAAATTTTACTAAGTAGGGATTTCCCATCCTATAGCCGGAATTACATTTTGAAATTGTGTAGTTGCATAAAACTACTTTCCCCAAAAAATCGCGCAGGCCATGAAGCTCAGTTGCATTACGAAAATATTAAAATACACGTTAAAATTGTTGGTAAAACTAATGTCACGAAATTAATTTCATGCCATTAATTTCGTAATGTGATTCCGGCTTAAATGCCTACCTTCTGGAAGCAGAATCAAATCAATCCTTTGTGCTAAAACGTTGATTATATAAAAAGGTGCAACGTTTTGTGAGGTTATAAGTTTTCAAAGCGTACAATATAAAATAATATCTTTGTTTAAATACAATTCCTCGTCCCTAATTAGAATTTACTTACGTCCCAATAAGTTTAACAGACACAAAAACCTAGAAAAGACTTAAGTTATAAATGTCATCTTACTAAATATGTAATAATATATTTTTTACGATAATTCAAATTAAATATTTTCAACAAGAATATAACATTTATTGATTGAAAATGTGCTCCACTGAATAATGTTCTAACAAGTTTCAGTGCTAAGTTGAATCATTATAAAGTGTTAATAAGTACTAGCAATATTCTTGCAAGTGTGCTCGGGCGACAATTTCTTTAATACAAATCTTGAAACATATTCTTATAAAGAACTCGGGTTCTATAAATCTGTAGTTTTCAGGTGTCATGGTTAAAAAAATTTAAAAATTTGTCAATACACTCGAAACATTCAGCGCATATAATATTAATCATTAATAATAATTATTGATATAACTCAAATTTAGTATTGTCTTTGATTAACATAACTTTTATTCATTTAATAAAACACTATTTTGACCGGATTGAAGTTATGTATTATTATAAATTTACAACTATTTAACATAATTAAAATAATAATACATAACTTCAATCCGGTCAAAATAGTGTTTTATTAACTCAAATTTAAACACAATTTTAAAATATGAATATTTTGGGATAAAATCCTACCTTAACTTTACATAGGCAATAACGCAACGCATCAATGAGCACGAGGCGACACAAATATGTTTTCCAAATGATCTACTTAAGGGAACAGATTTTGCATATATTAATTGACTATTTGTTTACTTAGTTGGCGACTATTTGATAAGATGTTTATAAATAAATTAAGCAGTTAGTTTTGTTATCACTATATATAATGTATATAATTGTATATAAATGTAATGTGTATATAATTTATGAGTGCGTTGAAGTCAGGGAATTTGTATTATACTTGATCAGTTAAACGATGTGTCAAGTGACGTTCACCAAGCGCATGGAAGCATCCCGGTAGTAATTTTACTAACATTGAAATTTTTGGCTATATGTAACGTAAGCCTGTGGCAGCTTAACATTTGACTGAACATTCATTCTTGTGTACATGTTACGTGCATTCTAGTAGTGAATGAATTTACGAAATCCATTAAGTATTTTTTTAATTTAGCTTTACCAACTTGCAAATGCTAATGTTTTCACTCAATTAGTAGACCACACAGTGCGACAGAACGCGAGCAGAACTCCGAGGCACAATAAGTTACGAAACATCATCTATCAAAAGGAGGTAGTCAACAACACAGATTTTCATGTGACATTTGGTTGATAACAATATTTTTTAGAAACTATACGAGACGTACGAAGTAGTCGGCGTTATGGAGCAACAGGTGCGTGATATGGAGCCAGTACTCGCTAAGAAAGCTGAAGAAGTAAGTGACGAATATATCTGTTTCTGCGATACCAAGTTCTAAATTATAAATACTAAAGCAAAGTAAGAGAAGTGTATCTTATCTACAAATTGGCTATATTTTAGGGCATGGCGTTAGTAGCTCGTTTGAAGGTGGAACAGAAGGCTGCAGATGAAGTAAAGCAAGCTGTTATGAAGGATGAGGCGGCAGCAAAGGTAATGCCGTACTCATAAGGGTAATCGCATTTATTTTGATTTAAGGAAACCTTAAAAAGATGAAAATAAGCAATATAAAAAGTTATGAAACACAAAAATAAATTATAACTTTTTTATATCACGTTATTAATAATTCTATGTAGATCTTGCATATAATTAAAATTGATGAGTGTAACAGACAGATTAATTTAACCACCCACGCGTATGTCCTTATTAATCTCCGCATTAAAGTTGGCAATGCGCAGTTAATGACAATTTAATTTTCAATATTGAATGCTACGTAAATACCCGTGTCCATGCACAAGTCTTTGAACGTGAAATTTAGGGTTGTTGTGAAATTGTTTTCCTTTTATGAAGTTGAAATATAAAAACAAGCTTTTCCATTGGCTTTGTACACAATAAACCTTTTGTGTACATTTAAGTTTGCAAACTTAATTAATGAAAGACCTTCATATAAATTTCTTTACAATTGTCACCAACAAATGTAAGAAAAATAAAACTGTTATTTTTGCCCACGTCATTTGGCTTTTAAAGGGTAAAGGTTGAACAAATGTTAAGAACAAATATTCCATGTCTTTAAAGTATATAAACGTCTCGTATTCCAAATTTTTCGGTGGTTATGTTTTGTTACAAGCAAGTAGTTAGTAATAGTGCACTTCGATCTGAACAATCGTTACATTGTATGAAATCGAACCCAAGACTGCCGGCCTACTAATTATGGGTTTTCAACTATCGACGGATACTATATTGGGTTTAACCCTACATTTTATTTCAAAGGAATTTCAAAATGAACAATAGTAGGAAAATCAAATATTTCTCTCCGTTACGAAACTCGTAGTGAATACGTACAAAATTCTGAATGATAGCAAATTTTCTAGAATTCTTAGAATTCTGATTGGAAATAAAAATATTATTTATACAAAATTTAAAGATGTTCAATGTATCTTTATTGATTAGAAATATATGAATAATAATAATAAAAATCCAGCGGCGCCACGATCCTAAATGGGTTATGGTATCAGATTGTAGCTTCGATCATTATTATTTTATAGATAACTAGGTGAACAGATCATTTTTTTTCTGATACGTGTCGTCGATTTTTGGGTTTGAGAAATAAGGATTTATCACGTGCAAGTGCTAATTGCGCACAGAAGGAAAATTCAAGTCGTGATTCGAACGCACAACCTCGGGGATGAGGTGACGCGCGTTTAAGTCAATACCAACATGGTCTTAAAAAATAAATTATTGTAACATATGATTAACATAAAACCTGGGTATGAAAATGTAGGAAAGCTCCACAATTACCGATTGTACGATGAGTGAGCTTTAAAAGAATTGTCTAGGAGGCTTTGAGGAGGAGGCTTGAATTGCAGCTCCATGACTCATTGGTCTTTCACGTCACGGCTCCTGCAGTTGGAGATCATCTTAAACCGGATTTAGTCTAGTACCTTTATCTTTTTCGTGGTGGCTGGTGATTCTCAACGTACACTATATACACTCTGTACGTTTAATGAAATATTTCTTGGATATAATTGAAAGATTACACAAAATTGTTCTAGTTCAATAACTTGACATTTCGCTTTCTAAATATTTTTAATCTTTGTTCAGGTTAAAGCTGAAGAGGTAAAGCAGATCGCAGATGAAGCAAAAGCCGATCTGGCTCTCGCGATGCCAGCTATGGAAGCTGCACAAAATGCCCTCAAAGCCTTAAATAAAGCAGACATAAATGAATTAAAGGCTTTCCAGAAGCCACCCGCCCTGGTGCGCTTTGTGATGGAGCCTGTCTGCATACTACTCGGTGCTAAGTAAGAATAATTTCCACTAGATGTTTACTGTAACTATGAGTTTTATTGTTTAGTTGATATTTAGCGCTATATGCACTAGATATGTTAAGTTCACAAGTAGGTATGTGCAGCCACACGATGTATCGACACGACCGGAGTATATCTCATGGATGTCCACCGCCAATTTTTAATGCAAGGCTACCATTGAAATAATTATTTTTAGAAATGAAGTGTTTTTTTCCCCCACTTGAAATTCTAACTCTACTCTAAGGACCCCATGACCTAAAGAAAATTTTAACCACTAAACCAATGAAGTAGTTGTGTCCTATTGTACCACAATGACAATCTTTTAGGCCTGATTGGGACTCAACTAAAAAGATGCTGGCAGATGTGAATTTTATCCGAAATCTAGAAGAGTACGACAAAGATCACATACCTGACGCCCTTTTGAAGAAAATCAAAGTGTATCTTACCCATAAGGATTTTAATCCCGAAACCGTTGTTAAAGTTTCAAAGGTAAGAACTTAATTAGCGACTCAGCGTTCAACCTTTTTCACATGTGATTGTGAAGTTTCAGTCTTATTATTATGTATTTAAGTTCGTGTTTTACGCTTCTTCCATTCCATCAGTTCAGCCACAGTACAGACGTCAACTAGGTACATGTACTTTCAATTGATTCCGCTCATATAATTGTTACGAATGATTGTTAATTTACGTACGATTTTCTGATGTTTGTTAGTTAATCAGTACGGTTCTATGATACAAGTATGTTTCCCTACATCATTGAAATTTATTAGTTAGTGTTTAATGGTTCTAAAATATTTAAAAGATATATTTTGGCATAGGTATGCCGTTCGATGGTGTTATGGGTGCAAGCGATTGACATGTATGCAAAAGTGTTCAGAGTCGTCGAGCCAAAGATTTTAGCGTAAGTTTTGATAATTATTGATCCTAATAATTCAGTGGCATTTATTTGGTCCGATTCTGTCGAAACAATAATTATTTTGTGTCGGAAGCTTGATCATCTTGGCTTTAAATTATAAACGAAACATACGCAGAAACATCCTCTTTCATTTTACTAATCTCATGACACTACACGCCGACAGGTGCGTGCCACCACCTGTAGTCAATATTCATTCTATGATAAGCCTACTTTTTTTTATAGAACGGGAGGCAAACGGGCAGGAGGCTCACCTGATGTTAAGTGATACCGCTGCCCATGGACACTCTCAATGCCAGAGGGCTCGTGAGTGCGTTGCCGGCCTTTTAAGAATTGATACGCTCTTTTCTTGAAGGACCCTAAGTCGAATTGGTTCGGAAATACTTCAGTGGTTACTGTCACCGCACTCCCAAACAATTGTACTGCTGTAAATCCTTTGGAGGGAACAATTTTTACACTAGTACTCGACCTCCGATGGAGTGAAGGGCTCCTCCAAATTCTTCCACTTCTCTCTCATCCTCGTCAAAATTGTTCAATCCTGCCCCGCTATCCTTTTTATTTTGACTTGATTTGACTTGACCTTCTCAATATGATATGATACTTCACTTTTAAATAGAATTCAGTTTTGTTACTTAATGACACTTACATAGAAATTAAATTAAATAAATAATAATATACTACCTATAGCCGTGGGTTATCCCCCCCCATCTATTAATTATACGCAAGATTCTATATTAAATGCCCAATACGCTTTTCACTCTTAATAAATAGTTGCACGAAGAATCAATTTAGTAAAAATTAAACAATTTTGAAACATGAGAAAAACACATAATACAAAATTGTTTAGCTTTTATAATATTACTCTTAATAACAATGTAATACTGATATAAGATATTGACCTCAACTTATCATTGTTTTCAGTAAACAGTAACTCTATCTCACGTTATACAAGTAGTTACTTAACATGAAAGCTTATTTTAAGCATGTCATAAGCACACGATGGCTTTGACGTAGGCAGGCTCTTATATATCGGAAGTTTTAAAATTAACAGCATTTTCTTGGAAAGGTTTTCTTTGAGATGTTGTTGTAACTCTTGTTTGTTTCATCATGATCGAGTTTGTATTTATATAACACGTACAATTTTTCAACATATTTTACCAAGAAAGCCTATAAATATACAATAAGCTTCCTTAAAATAACCGTTTCCAATAATTATTTTCTCTAATTAATGATGTATTTTTGTTGTACAAAAAGTTCTCAGTATCTCGATCTGCCTACTCGTCTCACTCCACTCTCTCCACGTCCCACTCTCAGCTTAGTGATGTTAATTGTTTAATCTTTTATTTTTGAATTTCTAAGGAATTTATGTTAATTCTTAGTTTTTAAGATATCATCTTGGCTATAAATAAACGTGATAATTTCGTTTCGATTACCACACATTATATACCTATACATTATCTTGATCGCGGCATAAACATTGTTACTTTTGCGTCAATTTATTTATTTTAGCTTCTTGATTGTTTCGATTCGATTTTTATAACAGGCATAAAGAAGCTGCGGCCATATTGAAGAGTGTAATGGCTGTCTTAAGAGCTAAACAGAAGGAAGTTGAGGCCATAGAAGCACAGCTTGCAAAAATGTTGGATGAGCTTAAGGTAGTAACACAGCAACAAGAACATACTACATAGACTGTATGGGTCTTTTAAATCTTGAGCAGGTCAACGTAAGTCTATGCCTTTACCTCCCTACTACCAAACATACATTAAATTAGCGGTGAATGTGAATTTTATATCTCTTTATCAAGCCCTCCGTACATTTCGAAGATCCTTTGTGATTAGTATTGTATAGTGATTAACATCCTACTACGCAATCGTTTTAATGCAACACTTTTCGTGCTCTGACCGAATTCGCAGGTGTATTATTCTTTTGCACGCTGTTAAAAAATATAAATAAATTTCTATTTTCAATATTTGTAAAGGTCGTCGAAGAAGAACGTCAGAAGCTGCAAGCTGACGTTGATTTGGCCGCGGCGAGGTTGTCGCGTGCAGGAAAATTGACACAGGCCCTGGCAGACGAGAAAACACGTTGGGAAGAAAGCGTGCAGGTAAAACAATATTGAATAAAATAAAATTGTAGTAATTAATTTTTGTTTCTTCGGATAAAGGTTAATTGGACACAAAATCGATTTTAAAAACGCTTAAAATAAAATTCAATTTAAGTCTTAATAAGTAAAAGTTTGGTATAAATACATGAAGTCCCTCGTTAAATGAAAATATTCTATAGTTATACTATATATTGAATACATAACTTTTTAATATATATTAATGAAACAACGCTTTGTCGTCTGTTAACTCTAGAATTGTTATATACAACTATTCAAATTGAAAATTTAAAGCCCATACAGTACCTACTTAGATTACACTAGAACTCATTAAACTATCTAAGTACATAAACAATAATTGTTTGTGTACCTCCAGATTTTACGCCATGTGCAAAACCACCAAGCCAACAAAACGTTAGATTGATATATGAGTTGTGTTACAGACGGCAACATACAAACTCAAGTGTACGACCGGTGATATAATTATTGCCTCCGGTTGTATCGCCTACTTCGGCGCATTTCCTTCCCACTACCGACGGGAACTTGAAAGCAAATGGGTCGAACATTGCCACTCACTTGAGATTCCCTCCTCCGATAGTTTTGAGTAAGTAAAGATTAACTAAATAGAAAGTTTATGATCGCCAAGCTGCTTTTTTTATTTTATTTATGTGTATGTTTTTGATTAAGGTAATAAAGTATTTAAACATTCCTGCAATACTATGTCTTAGTTTCACAAATATGATTATGATACGCTTAAAACTCATTATCCATTCCATTCTTTTTGCTAATTATTGCAAAATTAATTTTCGAGATGTATTTATATTCAATAAATGGTGATACGCTTTGCAATTTTGAAAATGTCGTTGGCTTCGTCAATATCCCTTTGACAATCCGTTTGTTAATTGCCGGTTTTTAGCTTAATTCAGGTTATGGCTGATTCATACACTGTGCGAACTTGGAACGCCCAGGGACTTCCACGCGACGCTGTTTCCACCGAGAATGGAATTTTAGTTACTAGAGCTGGAAGATGGCCCTTAACGGTTGACCCACAGGAACAGGTGATGAAATTTACGTATTTACCAATATAACGTTTTAGTTAACACAGGATCGTAATTGTCAACAGATTTTTGATTTTCCGAAAATAAAAGCCTTCTTATAATTTGTTGCATTGCCTAGACCTATGCAGACTGCATTGTACTACAAATTTCTATACGTGATTTTGTTGTAACTTCGACTTGTTGATCGTTACAAATACAACCGAATCATCTAAACACCTTTGATAATCTCACGTTATTTAATGATATCTTATCGTTACTTGATAATAACGAGTATTTTCGAAGGCAGGCACAGAATATAAACTTCAGTGCTATACGAGTTATTTTATTTCAATAGAACACGTTACGGATACAAAATGACAAAAGATAATTATAACTACGATGGGCTTGCAAAGCAGGGCAAATGATCTGGGTACCTCCTAAAGGTAAAAGTTAATAAAAATATCATAATTTTGATAATTTATATAACAGGCAAACAGATGGATCAAGAGTATGGAGAAGGAGAACGGACTACAAATCACGAAGCTTGTGGATTCTGGGTACTTGCGTGTCTTAGAAAATTGTATTAGACTCGGTTGGCCAATGCTTATAGAAGATCTTGGCGAGCAGCTCGAAGCAACTCTGTCGCCTGTCTTGCTTAAACAGACGTTTCTTCAGGTAAAATAATTTTACTTTGAGTATAAAGTAACATTTTTCTTTAAAATATATTAAAAGTGGAATAATAATATAAATACAATGGCTGGTTAGGCGCGTGACTCTCAACCCTGTATTCGTATTGTGCACGTTTAGTATTCTGTAGGTAAACGCTAATTTGGGACTCAGCTTTTTGCTAGAATCATATTTTAAAGGAATTTACTCATATATCGGGTGGAGTATATAAACACCACCTAGACGGGAAATTACATTATTAATTACACAGTTAATTTACATACTGGCGATAGCAATTTTCTGTACTTTAATATTATAAACATTTGTTTTTTCGCAAACATACCGTTACGTAAAACAAAAGCTAATAAACATAAGTCACCATTAGAATACTACATTATCTCTCAGTGTATATAATAGGCTATATCTAATTCCGATAAATAAAAAAATCTCCCATGCGAAGCAAGTATATATTAAACATTATTTAAGGATTCTATTAATTAAAGATAACTGAAGTTTCGTATTGATTGGGTTACAGGCTGGACGGTTACTCATACACCTGGGTGACAGCGATATTGAGTATGACACTAACTTCCGGTTATACCTAACCACGAAACTGGCTAATCCACACTACTTGCCCGAGATCTGTATTCAAGTGACTCTAGTTAACTTTACAGTTACGTTATCGGGTCTCGAAGAACAGCTGTTAGCGTGAGTCATCAACTTTTAACGAAATTTATAATGGTTCCAAAAATCTCCAAGTTGTTAAGTACAACTTGGCGGTCTAGTGGCGACGTCTTTAACTCTTAAAAATAATACTAATAACATCTGTTTTTATGTGGCAGTTATCATAAGGGTTGTGTTTGTTGTACTAAGCTTGAACACTGAAAATTAGCACACTTTTTTAAAGTATTATCGATCTATTTGTGGTGGATGCGTGGTTATATAATGTGTGGCTACATAGCCATTACACACATGTGTAATATGCAAGTTAATTGCACGTGTCCAATACTATTTTATATAGTATTGGATATCTTTGGTTTGCAAATAATTATTATTTATAGTATAGTTATTACTGTTGTTGTTAATACTGAAATACATAACATTACTAATTCGAAAGGTTTCTATTCATAAAATTTTGATTAACGTATAACTTATAGGTTTTAGATTAGAGTTGTAAGGATATTTAGTAGTTATGTTTTTATGTAGTTACTACTTTTGTTTGCTATGTCTGTGTGAGACCGTTATATTCTCAACTACAACGAGTTGCCTGGAAGAGATCGGTAATTGTATGTTTATATTTTTTACGACAAAATGAAAATAAATAAACTTTTGTGACCCTCACCCCTCCACTCGGACACTACAATTCACTAGCTAACGTAACATATCAGACATTGGACCTTACTTGTTGATATATAATATTATTCTAGATATGTATAAAGCTTTGTGTGTATACAGGGATGTTGTACGTTTAGAACGCCCGGACTTAGAGGTGTTACGTACGGAATTGATAGTTCGGATCAATGCAGACAAAGCGACATTGCTAGAGATCGAAGATAAGATACTACGGCTGCTATATGCATCTTCAGGAAACATCCTTGATGATGAAGAACTTATAGAGACCCTCAACGAAAGTAAGGTAAAATATATTTTATTACAAAAAATGTATTATTTCCAAGTCAACTTAAAATTCATATTTTGTTTGGAGATGACATAACTGTCACTGCTTTACTATCGATGCGAAAAGTTTAGTAAGTTTGACGTGTATGTGTAGACATAAAACGAGGTAACATTCAACAGACAGTTTCTGTCGTTTGTGCCCCTTAACGAAAAGTCTAGGTTAGTTAATCAACTGGCGCGCTCAAGACAGTTCTTAGCTACAATTTATAAAGGTCTGTTCAAAAGTCATAAACTCATTATGGGGCGTCCATAAATTACGTGAGTTGTTTAAGGGGGGAGGGGGTCGAGTCAAATCTCATTTAATCTTACGTTGGAGGGAGGGGGGGGGGGGGTCTCGGCAAATATCACGCAATTTTTTTTTATTGAATAAAAAAAAATAGGAAAACGGTTGACCCTAAACGCCATCTCTGCAACTTCCCGTTAACTCCATACCTAAACGCTCAGCATTTCACTTATTTTGTTTTTAAGCTCAACTCTCAGCAATATTTATTACTAGTCTTAAGTAGTCGTAAATAAAAGCACGAAACAATTTTTCTTTTCTTTTTACAATAAAAATCCAAGGCGTTTACGTAAGAAACCCACATTTCGTATATCTCACGTGAGATTGGGGGTTTGGGGGGAGGGGGTTGAATAAAATCTCACGACATCTTACCAGGGGGGGGAGGGAGGTTCAGAAAATAAAAAAAAACACCTCACGTAATTTATGGACGCCCCCTATGGCTATTTTATAAATATAAAACATATTTTTTACCTAACAATTGGTATTACTGAGCTACTCTGAAGATGGAGCTTGAAGATTGCCTGAAATTTTAATCTTAATATGGTTTAACTATAACTTATAGGAAACATCTGAAATAATAAACGCGCGTTTAGCCGAAACAGAAGCTACTGAAGTGAGCATATCCGCAGCGCGCGAGAAGTATCGTACTGTGGCAACCCGGGGCGCTGTATTGTATTTTGCGGTTGCACAACTAGCCGAAATTGACCCAATGTACCAGTTCTCATTGAAATATTTTACACAGGTACTTTTTAGTACTCATGACTTCTCTAGGTGTAGTGAACGGCTCCTAATAGGCAAAGAACTAATGATTTTTAAAAGTCACTATTTTAAAAGCTGTCACCTATAAATGTTACTTTTATTTTATTACCCTATTACAATTCGATGTGTATTGTTTATTAAATAATTATTTTCTTACTTAATACATACTTTTTAATATCGGCTCCACCATCCAACCAAACCACTAATCAAACGCAGCAGTTAACTATTCTCATTAACTACCTCTAATAAATACTCGATTTCGTAGGTCTTTAACCTTGTGATAGAGAAGAGTGAAAAATCTGATATACTTGAGAAGAGATTAGAAATTCTACACGATGAGATCACTCTATCCGTCTATAGGAATGTTTCTCGAGGCCTTTTCGAAAGACATAAGCTTGTATTCAGTTTTCTTTTGAATATGGCAATATACTTACACGCTGGAAAGGTTAGCTCGGAACAATGGAACTATATATTGAGAGGACCAGCGGGAACTAAAGTTGTAAGTATACCAAATGAATTATTTATTGTATACATAAGTAATATATGTATATGTTTACAAAAAAAAGTTTACAACAGTGTGGTAGAAACACAAACTGGACGCAGTTTTTCAGAGATTAAGATGAATTGATCAAATATAACATTATCAAATAATGATAATGGTATGACGTGTTAAATACAAGTATTTATTCAGATCCTTTACATTTACTGCTGCGCCATAGCCTTGATATGGAATTGTAACATAGCTTCATTCAACCAACCAACAACCATATAATTCGATTAGCATTAGTAGGTCATACCTGTTGGCTACTCTTACCGATGCGTTGGTTGCCCGATGCTTCTCCGTCAGCGTTCACCGAAAACATTTATACTGCGTTTTATATGTGTTTGCGTGTTGTTCCCACGAGAATGTAAGTGCGTGCTCCTATTTCACCATGCCTCCTGCTGATAGAGGACAACTCTTTGTTTTTAATTTATGTTATTATTATTAATTACTTAAGATGTCATGTGGAACATGGTTTAATGGTTGCAGCTCCTTACAAACGTTGTGTAAAAAAGCATGGCGATTAAAAAGAGTGGCGGAGAGTTTATTGCCAGTCCTTCTCTTCCGTTCTACGCCCTTGATTTGAGAACTGGCACTAAATGTAAAATAAGAAGCATTAATATGTATTTCTTTACTGACAAGTCATAAGTGTACAATGTGTTACCTATATGATTAAATGATTTTTGAATTTATATATTAAGTATAAACTGTTATGAGGAATGATTAATTAAGCTTAAATTTTCATTAAGGTAATCAAATTGGTCATAAAATAATAAAAGCAATGTCATTGAAAATTATATAAAGTAATCGAAATTCAAATATTATTTTTATAGGTGCCAGCGAAGAAACCGCCGGTCGAAACATTATCAGACCAGCAATGGTTGTCAGCAAATCATTTGAATGAAATGGATCCAAGTTTTGCTGGCCTACTTGAAGACTGTCTAAGGAAAATAGATATCACTCTTGGAACATTTAGTGTGGTGCGTAAAGTTATACAAGAGTGACAAATATTATAATATAATTATTATCAAAATATGTGCAGTGTTGGCCTAGTGGCTTCAGCGTGCGACTCTCTTCCCTGAGGTCGTAGGATCGTTCTTTGGCTGACTTTCTTTCGTGCGCATTTAACATTTGCTCGAACGGTGAAGGAAAACATCGTGAGGAAACCAGCTTGCTTTAGACCCAAAAAAATCGACGGGGTGTTTCAGGCACAGGAGGCTGATCACACACTTGCCTATAATCTAATAGGACATGAAACAGATTCAGAAATGTGAGGCCTAGACCTAAAAAGGTTCACTGATTTATTTATTTTATTTTATTACCAAAACACTGGGTACTTGTTACCGGATATGCAGTATAACAGATTTTTGTCGTAATTAAAGGAAATTTATATAAATGTAAAAGACAAGACCCCAGCAAAGAAAGATTGGAATGCAATCCTTACTCCATTTGAGAAACTAATGATTATCAAGAGCCTTAAGGAAGAGAAGTTAGTGTTCGCGATAGCTCAGTACGTGAGCACCTGTCTTGGCAACGTTTTCATTGAAAGTCCAACTGTCCAACTGAGTACACTGTAAGTTTTTACCGGTTTAAATACAAACAGATTCCGATGTAAATTTTGTTATATATAATACTAACCAAATGGATTTATAGCGCATTAGCGTAGTATACATTATATTTTTTATAATGATATTAGCCATACTCATAATAGAAATACACAAGTCAGTTTAACAACAGATGTATTTAAACTTAATATTAATATAGAAAATAAAACTAAGTAGTTAAATTATGTTGCGTGCCTTTTGGCATAGGCCTCCCAAGTGTTTCCACTACTTCATGTCAGGCGCAGTTCTGGTTCAAAGCTGGTGGACATCTTTTGCATACAAATTTAGCATTACTGTATACTATCAACTGACATTTGATTCTGAAAAATGATTGACTCACGCATCAGAAATATATATGATTTTCTAATTTTTGAGATTTTATATCTAACATGTCATAACTAAGCGTGATAAGTCAGTGCGTGCAGTTATATTTATTTAGGTATAGATACATTACTTTAAAGGTTTTAAACTATTTGAAGGTAGTCTTAGAGAATACGAATTTTACATATGAGGTATGTTGAATAATTTTTGTAGATATGCCGATACAGCTGCTCCGATACCCCTCGTGTTTGTACTAAGTACGGGTTCAGATCCATTTGCAGCGTTTCTCAAGTTCGCTACAGAAATGGGAATGCGTGATCGACTGCATTCTATATCCTTAGGCCAAGGTCAGGGTCCTGTTGCAGAAAAGATGATTAACGCGGCAAAGCCCAAAGGAGATTGGGTTTTCTTACAGGTAACTATTTATTATAACTTTAATGTGATTTACGTCACAGGAACAGCCGCCTATCAGTAATAGTCTTAATTACTCTGCGTTTACATATTATAGTAACGCGCGCTTTTACTCGGGCTGTTTCGGGATCCTGGTTTCGCCAGAGCACAAAAGTTCAGTTTGCATATCACAAACTGAAATGTTTCTGCAATTTGTCTCTTATGTATTATTTATCAGTTCAGGCAAAAAACATCTTTAATCATACAAAATTTATTATATTTAATATATTATTAAGTAATTCTAATTATATACTATATTTCATTATGTATTTTTGTAAGTATAACATAAAATTATTTACGTTCTTTAATTTACATATTAAATATATATATACTCGGCTATTATTAATATTGTCGAACTTGTGCAGCAGCGTGCGGCCGGGCATTATCCCGCATTAAAGTAAAATTTTTGCCTATAAATCCCATGTAAGGCACTACGTGATCTTCTAAGATCTCTGTTATGTAGCGATGTGCAGTCACACCCCCTCTACTACTGTTTTGACGTACCATGTCTATGAACAAAAGTTCTGTTCGCCCGTTCATCGATATGCCACCCCAGACCATGCACGAACCGCCTCCAAAAGGAACACGCTCTTCAATGCAACTTTGAGCATATCGCTCCCCACGTCGACGATAGACTATTCTGCGACCATCTGCACCATATAAAAATGTCCTTCACTCGTCTGTGAACAATACGGAGGCCCATTGCTCATCTGTCCAATTTAGGTGATCACGCGCAAATCTTAAGCGAGCTTGTCGGTGAGCTACAGACAACTTTGGACCATTTGGTGGTCTAAAAGGGGGGTGATATCCGCTTCCTTTAACCTTCTTCTTATTGTTCGTGCACTAACGTTTACTCCACGCACTTCATTAAGCTCTGTTTTGATGTTAACTGACGTGAGAAAACGATTTCGCAGGGAATTTGTAACAATAAATCGGTCATCACGACCGGAGGTTGCTCGAGTTCTGGCTGTACCACGTCTCCTTTTGTAAGAACCTGTCTCCACAAACCTTCTGTAGGTATATTCTAGAAACCGTAGACTGGTTTAAATTTAAATTTCTACCAATCGTTCATTGATCCAAGCCCTCCCGCACCAATGCTAAATTTTTTTTTATTTGAGCAGCTTGTTCGGACGCTGCAGTATCCATATTATGGTTAAGAAACTCTCGATGAGTTAAAAAGCTAACCGAACAATTCTGCTGGTGACAATAATTCAATTGTCAAAAGAATAAAAAATCAATAAGAATCAATTTTAAAAAACACGCAAATCTGATACTACGAGTAAATTTCTTTTTCCCGGCTATATTCATTTGTTTTACTGCAGTTCTATTTTTAAATATTGCTTTATTTTAAGATTAAGGGCCTGTCTCTCCATATTTATATAATTTAATCTAAAACGTTTGCATACTTATTACAAAAATCATTTCAAAGTAATCCTGAAGTTTGATGCAGTTTATGAGTCCGTCAGTATATATATATAGGTCCAGTCAAAATCTGTTATAACGACATCGAAAGGACTACTCAGATTTGGACGTAAAAACCGATAGTCGTAACACCCAATGAAGTTGTTATTAAGTACCTAATAGATAGAATTCAGCCGGGACATTTGACTTTGGTTAATATAACCGGTATGTTGTTCTTAAACTATGTCGTCGTAAACAGTTTTGACTGAATTTATATATAAATATATACCTATTATATATTTAATAATTTTAATAAAGCAAGAGCAAAATTATTTACATCATTGGAGTTCCATCAAATTTCGTTAAGAAGTTGTTGCTTAAACAAAAATAAAAAACTTTCGGATATTACAATTAATTGGTGAGCAAAATAGTTTAGATCTTCGCGTGAATATATAATTTTTTTCCCAGAACTGCCACTTAGCAGCGTCCTGGATGTTAAGTTTAGAAATTATAGTGGCTCTAATGAGCGGAGAATCAACCGGGCCACATCCAGACTTTAGGCTTTACTTAAGCTCCATGCCCACCCCGAAGTTTCCTGTCTCAGTCCTCCAAAACTCTGTAAAAGTTACCAATGAACCACCAAAAGGTTTGAAGGCAAACGTCAAACGGGCAATGATTGAAATGGACGAGGATTTCTTCGAAAACCACAGTAAGATTTTCTTTACTAGTCTTTTCTAATTTTAATTTTTATTGCTGTTTTATTTTGGAAAGATATATGTATTTTTGAATAGAGAAAATTTTATTATTTAAAATACAAAACTTACTAACTTTATTAGCCTCGTGTATATTAGGTATACCTGGTACGATACATATACAGGTACGATTCCAACAAAATTGTTGTGCTTTGTACTATGTATATGTATATTTATAACAACATTATACATTTATTCTGTACCTACAATTTAACATTAAGCACACACTGCACGACACTTATATAGATCTCTCTGAGACAAACATATGTAGTCTGTAAGTAGCTGACACACCCACAGGCCGAATACACCATCGACCTGTGGACATAATGTAACATAAGAACTAGGGAAATAAACATCTTTCTTGTTCTATTCTATACTTAGCCACATTTATTGCTATGCGGATGACAGCACTGGGGATACTCTTTACACTGACCGGGCAGGTATTTCTCGGGCAGTTGTCGAATGAAACGAGTTATTATCCAATAATAATTCTTATAAATCAACAGACTTGTACATCTTATTACGCTTAAAATAAAGAATACCTAAATATTTGTGAATCTATGTAATATTTTATTAACAGTTCTAGGCCAAGACTGGCGCACAATGCTCTTTGGAATATGTATGTTTCATGCTATTATACAAGAGAGAAAGAAATTCGGCCCTCTCGGGTGGAATATTACATATGAATTTAACAATAGTGATCGCGAATGCGCCATGCTAAATTTGCAGATGTTTTGCGAAGATGGTCATATTCCGTGGGATGCCTTGGAGTATATTACGAGTGAGACTAAAATCCATGCTAATATAAATTCAAAGTGTGTTTGTTCGGTAACTTTCAATTCGTAATAAATCAACTGTTTAACATAATTTTTACGAATAATGCTAGTTTTTCGTTGCATTACATGTATGATACTAAAGAATGGCATTTATTTCAGGCCAAATAACGTATGGGGGTCGAGTTACAGACATGTGGGATCAGCGTTGTTTGACAACAATTTTAACACTATTCTTTTCCGCTCCGACTTTAGAAGAGGGGTACATATACTCTTCCTCTGGCACCTATTTTTGTCCCAGGGCTGAAAAATTAGAACAAGTTAGAGAGTATATAGAAACGCTACCCGGTATTGAAAACCCCGAAATATTCGGAATGCACGAGAACGCTAATATTGCTTTTGAGGTATTGCTTCATTGTAGTCGTACTTGCCTATTACAACTATAACTATTTAAAATATTTTGTGGAAAAAATCGAGGAAATCGATTATTAATTAATGAGTCGATCGTTTGATCGAGAGTTTGGTCTGGTAATATGACATTGATTGAGATGCATTTAATATTTTTTGTAAAGTCAGATGGTTTGTACATAAGTATAGGTCGGTTATCGAAAGCTGGCGGGTTCACAGTACTCACACTAATGCAATTTCACATACAGTATGTTTCAAAATATGATTTTTTGCCAAGCTATATATTTTAGTCCACTCTGGTTTTAGTAAGGTACCCAAACCTTTTGGTTGTAAATAAATAAAAATGTGTCAAATACTTATAAATATTAGGTGCATACGAGGGTGGATCCAAAAGTTCTAAGCCAGACCAAGAACGTGAAAGAGTAGTTCGTGTAAATAATTTTTCATTTTTCGACATACGCTCCATCTAGCCATGACTTTGTTGGTCGACAAAACGACCTTAGCCGTTTTCGGAGTAGGTGATCCAGATATTTTCCATTGTTTGGACTGTTGCTTTGATTCAGGAGTATGGTGGTTAACCCAGCTTTCAACAAATCAAAAAAAAAATCAAATCAGCTTTCAGCTTTCAGCATCTGATGTCAAAATATGAAATATAACATTTTTTCATAAAACTGTTTTTATTAAGATGCTTAAAATAATTAAAAACATTGTGCACCATTTCACGAGATTGCCCTGGTAATGTTTGAAAAAAGATCAAAAGATCAACATAAACAGTAGCAAAAGCAAAACAATAACTGTCTCTTTTATACTCATAAGCTTGACCGAGCGCGAGAGAGACGGACAGTCTTTTCATGATGTATTTGTGATTGTATTTCAGTTTGACATCACGCCTCGCGCTTATTCACAGACACTACACAAGCACAAAGTGTAAATGTGTTGAAGCCGCCAGCTTTAAATAACATACCAATATAATCAACTAATATTGTATTTTATAAAAAATCAAATACCTCCCTTGAACCCATCTTACTATTGCCACATTTTCAGAATAAAGAAACAACTACGCTGGTACAGACTATAGTCGATGTACAGCCTCGAGCAGGTGGTGGTGGAGGCGGGGAAACCCCAGATCAAATAGTTTGGAGAATTTGTGAGAACACTCGAGCAGTCGTTCCCACCAAAATTGATAGAACTCTCATACATTCAGACCTAATGGTGCCAGACGACATGGGCCAGTTGCACTCTTTAACCATTGTACTTCTGCATGAAACGGATAGATTCAATAAACTTTTATCCTTAATACACGTATCTTTAAATGAACTTCAAAAAGCTATAAAGGTTAGTCCTTAAATACTTTTGGGAGTAAGAGCTCTATCAGTAGGTCTTGCCATTCGGCAACCATAGGACACATTTTGTCTCCTTAACTAATATCTAATATTACAAAATGGGATCTGCTTTTTATATAGAAACATTGTAAGCATGCCTGATACTATCTTTTTTGTAAAGTGTACTGTATCACCAGGGTGTGGTGGTCATGTCGGAGGCTTACGAAGAAGTATTTAGCTCCTTCCTCAACAACAAAGTGCCGGGAATGTGGCACAAATCTGGCTATAACTCGCTCAAGTCATTGGGAAGCTGGATACATGATCTCACCTTGAGAGTTGACTTTATTGAGGTGGGTAATTTCGTAGTACGTAATGAATGACTTCGTATGTAGTGAGTAAAATAACGATTTTACTTGGAAACGAATAAGCAGTCTCTATCACTCGTACGACATAGCCAGAAGGGGGTGATCGTGACCTTCTCCCGAACCAGGACATTTTTAATTGATATTGTTACAAAATAGGATTTATTTGTAAATATCTAGATTCTATATATAATGCAAATCAGTAATTTGACTATTATAAAAACACTTATTATACAAACCGCCCTTGCACTCGTCATGAAACGTAAAGCTTAGCCAACCTATGTAACCTGATTTAAAAGGGATAATGGCCTGATTTAAAAGGCCATGCTACTTTTTTTAAGGTTTTCATACAACTCTTCTCATTTCAGAAATGGTTAATCGATGGCGCCCAAGTAAGCAGCTGGGTGTCGGGTCTGTTTTTCCCCCAAGGTCTTTTAACGGGCGCTTTGCAGGCGTACGCTAGACGATACAGAGTGCCAATCGATGCACTCATGTTTGACTTTGAGCCTATTCCCCTTTTTCTATCGCAGGAAGATGTGTATAAGTTTAACAAAAGAAAGAACAAGGTAAAACTGCGGTTCTGTCACCGTGTGATTAATTTTATTTTCATAAAACATTATATTAGATGTAGGTGGCGCTCTAAATCTTAAATATAAATGTTTTATCGTCAATATATTTTTTTTCAATTGCTTAATACTTAAGCATAAGACATTCTCACTCACAGAAAATATCGCATCAGTGGCTTGTTTGGCAACTCACTAGAAAACATATAATTTACGAATGTGAAACTGGTCCTTAAATGACGTAAACGAAATAATTAATAACGAAATAGGTACTGAATTAAGATCATTTCTTCAGGAGGATGATGGTAGCAGTGTTTTTGGGGATCTTAAGCGACCTGAAGACGGGGTAAACATTCATGGTCTATTCATAGACGCAGGTCGCTGGGACACGAAAAAAAATTGCCTAACAGATGCCTTGCCGGGTGTGTATAGTATATTGCTTTATTTCACTCTTTGGTTAGTCAATGGTCAAGTCAAACGAGGTTAGCCATGATGAATTTTTAATACAATTTGACAATTCGCCATAATCTCACTATGTTAATGTAATGACGGACTCAGTACGAAATAAGAAAAATAATTATCCTGTCTCTCAATACATTTTATAGGTCATATAAAACGAGTTTCTTATGTAGTATGAGCACGAACAGATCATTACGCTGGCTTGCTTTTGATTTGTTTATGATACGAAATAGCAAGACAGTCGTATAATTCCAAGACTTCTTGGTAATACCAGAACAATATAATAATAATACTTCTTATTGAACCAGCACAAATGAATCCGCCTCTGCCGGTGGTGCGGTTCAAGCCAGTACTATCTCTTCCGAAACCGGACCCGCGCTACGAAGCACCGCTATACAAGACTTCGGAAAGGGCCGGCACTCTGTCAACTACAGGACACAGTACAAACTTCGTTCTGCCTGTATTACTTCCCGCTGATATGCCTTCAGAATTCTGGATTATTCGCGGCACTGCTCTTTTAACGCAAATTACAGACTAGATCTAGTAGATATTCAAGAATTGCACATTTCAACGTATCTAATGATGTTGTTTTAATATGATAATGGCATGATTGCCAAATATTTCCAATAATTATGCCAAGTTTAATCGAGATGTATTGTTTAGAATTGTTAAATTAAAATATTAAACAAATCTATATAAGTTCTTCGTTTAATTGAATACTTTTCATTTGAGCTCTGCTCTCCGCGATAAATTTTAAATCTAAGATTATTTAAATAGCAATGCTTAAATAGCTTTACCAACAAAACAAACAACAAATACTTCGCAATATGGAAGAAAAAAAACTTCGCGTGCGTAGAATTTTGATGAAATCTCATAATATGGTCTTGAAAATAGAGTTCATTAATTTCTGCACTAAAATATTGTATTGTAAATATTTAACGCATCAATGCCGATTATTTATAGGATCGCTACATTCGTAATTATGTCTCGCAAGATAATTGTGTATCAGTGAAATAGAGGTTACTTTTATATCATCATCAAATTAAATTAATTATTATCTCAAATTTGAATTTGAAGGTAAAAAATAAATTGCGTCATACTCATTTTCCCTTCAAATATGGTCAAGTTTAATCAATACAAGCGAAGCCACTAATCACTCACAAGTTAATAATTTGTCATGAGTATTGAGTCATGACATGATTATTCTAAGTTCCACAGATAACTATAAACATGTGACAATTGGCATACCAAGACTTGACACCTGAAACAATTTGTCGAAGAATGACAAACGACTCAATAGTCAATATAATAAATAGGTCATATTAAGCAAAAGCTATATATCTATGGTATTAGCTATTTATACTTTAAACCATGTAAAGGAGGTACTTTAAGTTTATATTGAAATTTAAAAACAATGGCTACCAATGTTTAGGAAATATTACCATTTGATAATTTATTTCAGTCTTATTAAACGGTATAATACAATCGCGAAATGCAAAAACCTTAAAATAAAATATATTACGCCAATAAAATTTAATACAAAAGCTTATTAGTATTTTTATACATGTACTAGAATTTAACTACTCAAGTATTATTAATATTAAAGAGGTCACGTGGTTCTTTTCCAGAAGGCTGATTAGGAAATTAAGAATATAATTTATAAATTTTTCAATGTCTACTGAAATTTATCTTAATAAATTTAAAATGTCAAGCATACATTGAGTTGGTTATACTTACCCTAATAATAGTTATAAATCGCAGAACATGCAATAAATAGTACTCAAATATTGAAATCAAGCACCATAAGAAGGAGTATAAGAGTATAGTGTCATGAAAGCCTTGGTAGCTTGATGATTGATTACAATGAAATAACTGCTTTCTGTAAAGTGAAACAGTGGAACAGATGTAGGCTATAAGATATCAAGACAATTTTAAAATGTTCATTCGCCAAACAGAGAATATTAATTTGCAGTTTGCATAGACATTAATTGCAATCGCTGAGCACTTAGTACTAAGGTAACCTTCAATCTGATCAAATGTTATTCTTAGGTATACAGCAAAATTTTTGTTAGTTAAATAGTTCTTCATCTCAGTTTCCAAGAAGGTTACAATACAATATATTGTCTAGAAATATAGAACTTACCTTAATGTTTGTTTTATGTAATTATTGAGATAATAACAAATTCTTTGTAATTATAAGTTTAACACTCTTTCTAGTATATTTATTGTCAATAAATATATATTTCAGGAGATATGCCTATGCTAATTAGGTTATACTGATATGCAATACCATAGAAAGAGCTGGGTGGCATACTGGACTAGAATGTTTACTACATACAAGACAGTTTTTCTGCCAGTAATACATTCCAACAACACTCATACTATATTTAATATAACTAACAGAATTCCATCGAACGCACAACGGACCAACCTCGAGTCTAATTGCGGAGAAAGGAGTCCTTCAACCCTAACCCTAACAGAATTCCATCGAACATTAGTTGTTGGGTTAATCAATATAAAAATAATAACAGTGTGGCAGCGATTAATATTATAAAAGATTAAGTAAGAAACGATATTTTCATAAACTCATTCTTTGCATATAATAAGCATACATTTCATAATCTTTCATCTCCATTATTGACTTAAGTATACATATATATATACACTTTTAATTACAATGTATCTGATGATGAAGATCACATTAATAGTCATTTCACTATATTTTAAACTTCATAAAAGTTTTACTGTAAATGGTAGACGTTAAGTGGAAGTGAAAAGCGCCGGAGAAAGTTTACTAATTTACATATTTATTTGTGATGAAATATTTAACATAAAAAAGTTCTCAAGTAAAATACAAGTATTGGATTGAAACGCACAGTTTTATTACAATTATTATTTGCTTATTTCTTGAACAAATAATTTGGTTTAGGCATTATTACTATTTTACTAGGATCTTGAATTTGGGCTATATCAATGCAAACGGGGAATCGCTGATAAGGTTGGATGCCTAATTTACATTACGAAAACTACTAATATTAGTACTCAGCATAGATACAGTGTACATAGAGCGACAACACGGAACACCAAGGTTTCAAGATAAACAAACGTGTCAGAGATGACAAACGTATACTATTCACTCGAGTGAATGTTCTGCCCGATTCGCCCGGACTCGAGTTTGAAGTGAATGAATATCACAGAAAGTCTGTTAATTTCATTTATATTACAATTAATTGGTGTACCATCTCATAGACAAATTAATAAAGATGTATTTTATTTGCGGTAGATGGCGTCGTTCTAATTTAGGATGCTCCCTTTATTAGTTCGTCTATGCTGCAAAAATATTCCTAGTATTAGAAAAAAAGAAGACCTATCTAGTGTAGACGCCGCCGTCGCTTGACCGCAACTAACAATTAAACTACGACTCATACAAAATACACGTCCTGTTTTACAATTTTACAATTTTATACATCAATTTGGGTCCATTCATAACATTATGTTAGAGGCTAATAAATTATAATATTGATTGAATTAAATTATGGAATCTTGTAGTAGTAGCATGACTCTAATAGCTATTGTACGTATACAAACACGACCCTACAAAGTACAAAGCGAACGAGCGCGCAACGGCGTCGTACCAAAATGCTATGAGAGCTAAACTATCAAATTATTTTTTTATTTAATAATTTAAACTTTACATTAAACACATTATAAAACACAATATCTTAGGATGATTAATTGAGGCATTGATAGAAAAATAGCATTTCTTATTTTACATGACTCAAGAAATTGGTTACTGAAAGTTGACAAATCAGGCCTCTATAAATCTAAAAATTACTTTCCCTCACAAGAGAAATACAGTGGCTAAGACAAGGAATAAAAATCTTTGTACAAATACAAACCGTAGACAATTCCTTATAGTTACGAGGATATTTTTTCCAAGGTTCAATAGGTACATACACATTTCGAATCCATCCAGTAACTAAAAAAGGCTTTTATTTAAGACTTTCTTTGGCTTAATATCTACACCTATCATTTACCAGTTACTTATTTACGGTTTTAACTACAATCCGGTGTTTAAAAAAGAAATGACTGTGCAACAACATTTAAGATCACTGAAATAAAAGTTCTTAAGCTACGTTATTCCTTGTCCACAACTAAATCTATAGAAATAAAAATTACAACAATCAATGTTACATGTCCCAAAAATAGATCATACCCATACTTGACTTAACATACAAAATTGACACAACACCAGGCAAACGGAATGAAACTTTCAACACAGTATCTGGTAGACATCTTTAACATAATAAGATCGACGGTCCAGGGTTTAGATCTTGAGACTGCACTTTATTGTGTTCACCTTAATGAAATATCTATGTATAAGTCTGTTGTGTGATTTTTTAAATTTAAGACGACACTTGAAGACCGAACTAATCGAAACTTATCTTAAATGTACACTCACGAATAAAATGTTCTATTATTTACCTCAAGCACTATTACTTACAAGCAGATATAAAAAAAATGCACATTTTTCCAATCCAAATCCGATTACTGGCATCGGATCACGAAAGAATGATACAATTTCAATAACATCAATAAACCTTATTCAATGTATACTACAATACTGAATGCCAAGTCAAAAAATTTAGCGAACATTATCATTATTTACATTTTTTTTTTGTTTGCTCAAAGATAGGGCTTTACAACCTCGTGGACGATGGTTGGAATAAAGATAAATCAAACCTTAAAAACTACATAAACAGGTTTATGTTCTTGTTTTAGGTTTGATTTTAATAAAAAAAGTATTTAAATATATGCAATATAATAACGGCTGAATGCAAAAATTAAGTAGAATCACTAAACCGTATGACATATGTCAAAGTGTTCTTACAATCCCTGTTAAATTCCAGACACTTTTCACATACCTTGGAGACAAGATAAATGTTCATTACATCAAAAAGGGATTAGGGCTGGCGGGTGTTGGGGGGATGGCTGCAACCCCCCATCTTAACCCCTAGTCTTCTGACATAAACGAATTCTGCGACTTGAGCTCCTCCAGCCGAGAGATTTGTTGTCGCAGGTACATTATTCTGAAATATCACAATATTTTTATTATTTATTTATAATTTCAGGAAGATTAATTGGATGTGGTTCATCAAGCTGTGTGAACATTGTTAAAAAGATTAACTTACTTACTATTGGATTACTTTCAGTGAGGAAACTGATATGATCCATAAATTGATCTAGCTTCTAAAATTTCTAAATAACAGACTTCCTCAAAACCCATGAAAGGCTAGGCGGTTATCATGTTATCAATATAGCCTTCAAATTTATATTTTACGAGCAAAACGTAAAACTTAAATAAACTGTGACGTTTTTACTTAAAGACCACTTTGCAGACAAAGCAATTTATTAAATATAGTATTTCTAGTATAACATATATCTAATATTTCTAAAGTGCATCATTACTCACTTTTGTTCCTGTAGTGTGGCCTGGATCTCTGTGTGCCTCACCACAGAGCGAGAACATTTTAGTTCAGCAGACACTCGGGTGCACTGCAGGCAACCCAACTGATGTGCCTCTTCCATATATTTGTTGGCCTATATAAAAACCAACCAAAGCTTATCAAACTATATATACAAAGACAGGCAGAAGCAAAGTTATCACTTTATCAGCACTTTTACTCAAGTTCAAAATTATTGCTATTGCTAATGTTTTTAACCAAACATGATAAGAATGGAAATTGATTTTTAGATTTAAATTAATTATATAAATTTCATTTTATCATCCTGCCTTTATATATTTATCTTCATGAAATATCTCACCTGTTTTTCAAGTATATCCGCTGGCCATCCAATGACATGTGTGGTTAACTCAGTACGAACATAATTGATCAAGGAGGGAGTCAGCATCGGGGCAGCTTGTTGTAAACTTCCCACCACTGATGAGTAACTACCTAGGCATTCCACTGAAACAAACATTATTTGGTAGTTCCTTGTTATCAATTAATTTTTACAGCTTTAGCCAAATAAGAATGAGATAGTTTGAAATAATTTTCCATCTAATTTAATAATGTTTGATATCTAGCTTATAAAAGTACAAAATTACCTGCTATGACTTACCACTTTTAAGTAGGACCTCTTATGCAAGTTGAATTATTTTAATTATTGAAAAACACCTTTAACCCATTTTACACATTAAGTCTAGAATATATAGCTGAAATGCCGAAACTGACCGACTCATTGACGACATCCAAAAGGCTACAGATTCGAAAAGGTCGCGCACCGAAATCGTGATAATGGGCGACTTTAACACACTAGCTGGGCTCTGATACCACCGATCACGCGGGTAGGTCTTTTCATGACTTTACCTTGGCATATCACCTGACACAAATGGTTCACGCAATTAAGCGAATACTAGATGTGGATGGTGACAAACCATCTTTGTTGGACCTTCTGTTGACCTCACATCCAGAGAATTCTCCTCTGGGTTCGTCGGTTCGTCGGATCGGTACTTTGCTTACTACACACCCTCAGACGAACCCGCTGTGCAGGCTGTCGCCGTATTTGGCACTAAAGGTCAGCAGATTGGAAATGGATGCGGTCTTTCTTTACGTCCCACCCTTGGGGCTTATATGCTTTTCGTCGGATTCTCCAGATTCGTCGCTGACTATCGCCGAAGTAACCACAGGTACAGCAACTGCAGGGCATGGAACTCTTTATTCCATTTTTAGCGGTGCCGATCGGTGGCAAGTCTCAGCCCTGGTTTAAACGTTCTTGCAAGGCGGTCTCGAGTCAAAAGCGAGAATGCTTTAAAGCATGGAAGCGGCGACATCTTGTGTGAACACTCCAGGTCCTTCAAATGGGAAATAGCCAAGGCAAAGTCAGAGCACATCGCCAGATTTGGCGAGAGATTGGCCCAACTCCCTTCGGGGACTCGAGCCTTCTGGTCTCTCGCCAAAGCTGTATTATTGTCAGTCCACCACTTCACAGGGAGGATGACTCGCTGGTCCACACCTCTAAGGAGAAGGCCGACCTTTTTGGGCTTTCGCGCCCAAATCGACTTTGGATGGCCGAGGGAGATCACCACCGACCATTTCGTGGTGTCATTCTTCGACGCGGAAATCATATTCTGGCAAAGTGCTGTCCGCAAAGCACTATCATCCTTAGACATTCAAAAGTTATCGAGCCGGATGGCATCACCCCAATTGTGGTGCGGGCGAGAAAATTAAGGCAGACGATAGTGCCTTATTTAAAAACTTTACCAGAATGTCAACTGAGCACTTTGAGGACTTTTTAAAGTCTAAATATTTTTCGTTTCCAAAACATATATGTACAAACAAAAACAACCTACAAACTGTTTTGACGCACGAAAAATGTCGCATGGAATCCATTGAGCTCGGATATAAGCTGCGACAGTCTGCCTCATGACGCAAGGTGCAGCCATGCCGCACGGTACTTGCCACAATGTGCGACATTTTTAAGTTTGTAGCATGCCGCAATGCCGCACAGTGTTGCCCCGATTGCCACACCACCACTATGTGGAACCGGCCCTCTGGCATTGAGTGTCCATGGGCGACGATATCATTTAACATCAGGTGAGCCTCCTGCCCGTTGCCCTTGTTCTATAAAAAAAAACTTACTTTTCCTTGGCAATGCATTTTCCAAATGTAAGGGTGGCGCGTGGGGGTCGACATTTTCCGAGTGTGTAGGTGTCGGTGGTCCGGCATCTCTTTGTGGGGTCTCTGACCGACTGTCTGTGGCTCCATTGTTACATGGAGGCCCCGAAGATGTACTGGGGCCTGGACCCAACCCCGACGTAGAGGCTTGCGCGGGGGCGACGATCCTGGGCAGTGCCGCCGCTAGCAAGGACCCACTCTATTCAAATAATTCAACTTTAATTATTCATGTGGTACATTATTATTTTGTCACTTCGACACCTATAAGCCCGATAAGTTTAAGGGATTTTTAAGTTTAATTACAAATGATTTAATTTCTATTTTTCTCCTCTCTTATCTTACATTCTTTTGTTTATAAAAAAATATATTTACTCTATGCTTAAACATAAGATTAGTATTTTGTTAATATGTAAAGCAATACTGACAGTTGGATTAGAATTATTGAGAACAACAACAGGGGGCGCTGTAGATTCATTGCGAACGCCGTGTGAGCCTTCGGAGACAGGCGTACTTCTGTCTGGTGATATATCCATATCTTGAAGAGAACGGTGCCCTTCTGAAATTATGAAAATTCATTTAACGTACACTTTTTAAGAAACACCTTCTCGCGCGCATTGGAAAACACTCAATGTAAGCCTAATATAGCTTGATGCATCTCACCAACATTTAAATCATATAAAATATAATAGTAAATATATTGAATTATCAATGTATTATACATTGCAAAATCTTGTCCAATATGCTTTTTTCAATCACTTTCTGTATTATGCTATTTAAATGTTTTCTGCAAATCTCTCAGGAGTTCTGGCTGCATATCGAAAAATAGACTTTTAACACTAAAAATTAACTGTTTGTAACTGTTTGAATACCACTGGAAATTTCCACTTAATTTAATTAAGTATGCAAAAAAATTATGTGTAGGCAGTCAGTTTATTAAATCATTACATTTTCAAGCATTAATTGGTAATTAGTAAAGTAAATTCTCAGAAAGAAAGAAAACAAGTTGAAATCAAATATACTTAATTAAATAGATTATTTGTGTTTTACTACTTGGAGTAAGGCCACAATAATATGTATTGCTAAAGAACTCCTGTCATGTTAAAACTGAATGATAACTTAAAACGAATGAAAGACTTACCCAATTCAAAATTATAGAAGAATATAGCTAATATTTATATATATTCTTCTTCTGTGTATTAGCTATATTCTTCAATAATCTAGCTATCATCTAATCAAGGATCTTTCACAAGGCTTAAATTTAAAGTAATTTCATATTTTAACCTAACCAGCATTATAGAAACTAATTTTAAATGTGACAGAATAAGTAAGATATTTACAGTCATTAACATGATAGAGAACATTTTTGTCATGTCCTTGTTGACATAATTAGTAAAACATGATTTCAGCTATCATCATTTACACTCTTGTAATTTTTGTATATTTATGTAATATCCTATAAGATTTGCAAGTAAAGAAATCATCTGCCAGTGAAATCAAATTTATTATAATAAATGTAGTACTCGAAAATGATTTGGATACATTTTGCATCATCCAGGGTCTTACTAGTCTTTGCTTACCTTTTGTATCATGTCCAGAGTGTGGGGCATGTTTCGTCCTTGTTCTATCAGAAACACTTTCTCGCGACGCACTCCAGTATCTCTCAGATGTATTATTTGTTCTCTTACTTGTCTTTTCAATTTCCCGCCGCCGCGACCGTGATCGCTTTTCACGATCTAAAGTTAGTAAGTGTATTAATATTTCTTACAATATCAGTTTGCAGGGTTATCATAATTATCAAGAGTTACATCTCTTATGGAAGGATAAAAATTAAAGCAAAGAAAATGAATGAAATTCAACTTTAGTAATCAATGTTAATTATCAAATTCACATTTACACACATGATGAAGAGAATTTTTGTTTCCAATTTTTCCTTCTTTATTTGTGAGTAAACTTCATTTATTATTTTTAGCACAGCTCACAACTATATTTGTGCCTTCTGCTATTTCAATTCTTAAGTTTCTTAAAGGATTTTAAAATAGTTATTGAAAACAATATTGATTAAAATATAAAAAAAATACTTACTACCTCTAGATGAAGAAGTTGTATATGTTGTCTGATGATCTTTGGATGAATTCTTGCGGGAGTCCCATTCTTTAGGCTTTTCCCACTGTGATACTTCAAGTTCACTGTTATAGTAATATTTCTTTCCTGATGAACTAATATGTTCTGACCACTCACTGCTTGATGGACCTGCATTTGCAGGTAATCCACCTCTCTTATAATATTTGCTATTGGAATTAACACTATTCATGCCACTAGTCCTACTTTTTTTCTCAGATTCACAACGTTCATGGTTATTTTTTTCTCGCTCACTATCTTTCCGTTTCTCCTTTGGTGATCTGACATCTGAAAGTTTAGCTAATTTAATTTTCATTTTGATCATTATAATTGTGAAACTTTCTAACTTGTCATAGTAATGTTAAATTCATATAACCTATTACTGTAACTGGAAGATTTTGTGGGCTATATTTTTATTAAATGTTTATATCAAATAATGTATTAATATTTTAGTCTAAACAAAAATAAAGAAAGCTTTGGAGATGTTACTTTATTATGTTTACAATACAATTTTTTGGGAGATGTTTTGTTTTAAATTAAATGTTCTTAAAGTCAATCTAAAAATGTATTGTATTGACTGACCAGTGTACTTATTCCTAGAGGATTTATAGTCTCGATCTCTCTCCTTTTCTGATCCCTTGGGGACATAGGAATTCCTTGATGTGACATATCCTCTGTCATCAACCATATGGTAGTGATGATGGGCATGGCCAGTGTGCCCATGCGCATTGTGGCCATGGGACATGTTTCCATTGGGGGATCTGAGTGGTGTGTAGTGGTCGGTAGATCCATATTCATTGGCCCTCTTGGAGTTGTATTTCTGTTTTGAGATCACATTAATGTTATATTACATAACAGGATAAAATGTAAGAGTAAAATGATATGCCTATACTATTACTATGAAATATATTAAACACATTGCTATAGGCTACACAGTTGTTAACATTGTTTATATTGAAGAAGGCTTGAATTTATGAAAGTTTACAAAGTTGTAAGGTGTTTTTATATATCTGTAGGTACATCAACACAAAAGTTGCAAGCTGTGTGTTATAATTGTAAACATACATTATTCAAATATGTAATACAACACACAAATGTCTACCTTATTTTTTTGATAGGAGCATAGATGTTTTGCATTTAGTTTCATACATATTGATTCAATTCTGTACAACAAACAAAACTTTAAAATTAGCAAGACTAAAGAAATACGTAAAAAAATTAATAATATATACAAATGCCTTAGAACTCAACAAATGAAACTTCTTAATGTTTGTAAATTTTAGACTATATAGTTTTGTTTAATTTTTCCGTATAACAAACCTGATATGGATGGGCCTGGTGCTTCTCAAAGTACCTGAAAATAGATAAAATAGTAAGTTAACGGGATAACGTAAAACCAAATATTGTAAAAATCCGAGACCGCCATCTACAGAGGGCAGATCTGAGAATAGGAAAGATTATCTTACCCATCGCTTATTCGGTGAGGTTTCCTTGCATGCATTACCATCAATGCAAATATACGATTTTTACGGCCTCAGTAATAAAATGAAAAAACACCACTCTCATAAAAGTCGATTTACAGGAGGCCGCAATATTACTTGATGGACGCCATGTCACATTCGAGATCGAGACACTCAAGTCAACCTCATGAAAGAGTCGATTCAGTCGATAGGCATAGATGTGAAAGAGACAAATATATTCCATAAACAAAATAGATGATACCATAAAGTCAAATCAAATAGTCTGTGCAGAAAGAGAACCGTCGTGGGATTTAAGAGTGGAGCTGTACCAGGCCTTAATCTCCAAAAAAAAGAGTGCGTGTACTTATGTACGCGCGTAAGAAGTTATACTTCTTTGGCATTATTAAAAATAGTTTTTGATTGCATGCAAATAATTAATTACAATTAAATAATCAAAGACTGGAAAAGGAGTCAATATAGTCAATAAAGTTCAGTTTACATTTGAAAAATTAAATAAATAAATATTTATTATTATTCTCTTATATTAATTGTAACATAAATTCTATTATTATTCGAATATTGTTTTTAAATTATGTCTGAAATTAGTTTTTAGAGGTAGGCAAACTTCACAAACAACAAATCTTGCAACTAATCAATAAATTGGATCCGAAATCGCCGGACAAGAAAAAGATGGCGCGTAACGGAAAACTGTGACGCGTATGCGTACGTAATTGTTTTTCCAACGTCGATAAAGAAGTTTCACTTAAAAAATAAAGCAGTATTATTGTATTGTACTCTTCAGCCGTAGATAGAGTATAGAACCATAGTCCGTCTACGTCTTCAGCAGATGCTACTGCCTACTTGGCATAAGTAACGAGCCGCAGTTATTATTCGTCCATAATATTATGTTGGAACATGGATGCGAGGGCCAGGACAGATTACACAAATAGAACGCAAGAATTTGCTCCAACTTCCAAAATGGTACAAACCATAGACCATTCACCATAGACAAATGCAGTCCGATATGTCAGTGAAAATTGACAAATTCACAGTGTAAATTATAAAATAACCTAAAGGCTAAAGCCAAGAGTGAGCACTGAGCACTGAGCTTGCTAGTTTCTATACTATTAGTTCATCTCTGTGAATCTTCATATCAAGTGTATTAAAAGCTTAGCGATTTCCAAAAGTTCTTTTGTGACAATGTCCATACCAGTGGATTTAGAATTAAAGAAAGCTTTCGGAGAACTACAATTAAAAATGCAAAGCACTAGGAAAAAGATACACGTTATCGATGGTCAAATTGAAGTTCTAAAAAAGGTAATGAGGCATGTTGAAGTACAATCGGATACGCTGCCAGCTGACACAAAAGCCTACGAATCCGTGGGTAGGATGTTCCTTTTAACTGACATAGAGGAGATAAAAAGTAATCTCGAGACTAAAGTTACCCAATTGTCAACTCGTATTTCTGAACTAGAAGAGAGCAAGCAGTATTTAGAAAAAAACTTAAAAGAGAGTCAAAACAACATCAGAGAAATGTTACATCAGCGCAAAGTACTAAGTGATAAGACCACATTACTGTAGGAAGTACTGTTCTCTTACCCAATAATTTGGTCATTTTTAATGACAACAGATGAAAATGTAACAACAATTATTTATTCTAATGTATTATTTTCATTCATTTATAATAATAAAGTTTTAATGCTGATTGAATTACTACTGGACTAATTAATTAATTATTAATAAACTTATTTCATTTTATAATACTTGTTTTCTTAATACCTGAAACTGTTAATAGTTTTAATCATATTCAAATAATCAGAACCTCTCTCTTTGTTGCAATAAATTCATTAACCACCTTATTACTATCTGATTGCACTTTATAAAGAAATTAGAGTAGATTGATTTCAATACTCACTGATAGAAAAAGATGTTCATGTTTTAAAACCTTTATTTTATTTTTTACACAGAAGATTGGTTTTTATTCCTTAGTATAATTTTATTTATTTACTATAAATGATACTCATAAAGCAAAACTATATCTATACTTCATAAACAATATAAACAAAGTAAAAGCAATATGAACATCGATTCTTTAACATCTAACAAAGACATGTTTATTTTAAGCGTAACAATTACAAATAATATATAAGAAATATTTGCAATATTGCATTTTTGAAAAAAAAGTTTCCATGTACAAAAAAAAATAACTTAATAATTTTTTATTATGCATGCAAATAAATTTACAAATAACATAATTATCAGTTCCTTAGTCTACACAAGATACAGAAAATTCTACTCTGTTTTCTTTACATTTATTTATATTTATTTTGAAACTCACAGCAATTTTAAATGAATTTGTTTTATTGCCGCAGAAGATCTGTTGTTAAGGGAGGTGTATGAAGTTTTTACATTAACATTGACATATATAATATTATTATCGTACTAATTTGAAAACATTATAATAAGCCAAATTGTGATGACACAAATGATACACTATAACCAACATTTATAAATTCCACAAAAATCTATATGCATTACTACTAACCAGGGAAGAAGATGACAGTTTCAATACAGTAACAGTTATTTTAAGTGTGACTATTATGTTTCTGGCATTTTTATCTATCTGGACAAGATTAAAGTGTAGGGTTACCATGTCTATATAAGCTTTATTTAAAATAATTTTTATTTTTGTCAAAAAATTTAAGGTATTAGTATACTAACAAGATAAAAATATCCAAATGCAAAAAAATCTTTATGTAGTTATACTTTTGTCATACGCTTTTCTTACTATAGAAACAATTTCAGTGTGCTAATATTTTAAGTTAGCCAGGGTCATTGCACAAGTCCTATGGTTTGAGCAGGTTGTAGTGCCAATATTATATCCAAGAAGGCCTATTAATTGAGTCATATGGTTGACGAACACCCAAAGTTGGAGGATATGTTGGAGGGTAGAGGCCCATTATCTGTGCTCCAGTTTGTCTTTGCAATTCTTCTTGATAACGTTGAATGTATTGTTGATATAGAGGGGATGAAGCATCAGTACCTACAAATGGATATCCAGCTGGTGCCTGCGAATGTGTGATGAAGGGATATGTGCTTCCACCATGATTATTTTGATGGGCTGGTTGCGCAAATTTTTCGGCATTTACGCTGTTATTTCGATTAGCAACTGCAGCAGCCATGTAGTTGGCTGCCATAAGCTGGGTGGTACTGTTCCTAAAATTTTCAATAGAGAAACCAGAATTATCACCATACATGCTACCCAGTGACATGGTGGTTGAACCAAAATTAAATGTAGTTGGGGGTATAATCGAGGAAGTCTTCCCAGGCGTCAATACATTATCACCACAAGAAGTTGCGGGATATGCTTGAGAAGGTGCAGATTGCTTAGATTCTACTATCCATTTCCTTTTTGTGGTTGATTTGTTTTCAAATTCACTTTCTGAATTCATTTGAACTTGTCCATAAGTAATACTAGACGCATCAGGTGTAGTTATCTCTTTGCCTAAGCCCTTGCCGAAAAGTTTAGACTGATACAGAGAAACATTGTTAGCAAAAGTTGACAAATAACGTTCATTAGCATCAGAATGTCTTTCCAGCAGTTCCAAATTCCTCATCGGTTCGATTGAATCGTAAAGCGTAGAATGGCCGATATATGGATTTTTGTAGGGCATAGCAAAGCTATTGTTTTGTGTTTTTTTTGTGGCTGATAGTTGGACATTAGTATTGTCAGATTTTGGCATTGTGGCTCGAGGATTGGGTATCCTTAGTTCAGAAGGCCCAGTTGAATTTGTTTGCACTTTGTGTGAAGTTATCCGCGGCAACGCATAGTTGTTGTATTGTTGTTGCTGAAGATTTTTTTCATCGTTATTAACATAAGTCGAAATGTTCGCTGACACACGTTCTTGCTTACGCGTTGGAGTTGGATTTTTCCAATATCCAAAATTGAGGGGTGCTGAAGATATGCTATTTGTATATTGCTTTTTATTGACTAAATTAGTCTCATTTCCACTGTTGGTATTAGCTGAAAAGTCCTCGGGCAGTTGGTCTTGCTTTAAAGCGTGATCTGTGTCTCTCCAGTTACCAAAGTCAAGTGGTGTTGATGATATATTATCTGAATACTGTTTTTTGTTGGTTGAATTTGTCTCATTACCATGACTGTTGGTAGCAGTAGGAAAGTGAGCAGGTAGAGGGTCTTGTTTAAGCCCTTGATTTGGTTCCCTCCAATTGCCGAAGTCAAGTGGTGTTGATGATATATTATTTGAATACAGCTTTTTATTGGCTGAATCAATATCACTAAAGGATAACCTACCTACCTTAAAGGGTAAGCTACTAATTTGCTGACCAGAGGCCAGGGACTCGTATGTATTTTGATGAGCATGTGATATTGTTTGTTTCAAGTTTACATCATTGTGTCTTTCATGTGTATGAGCAGGTGTAAAATTGTAAGTGCTTATATTAGGTTTTGTTAATGGTTTAGGAAGTTGCTGGCTATTTATAACCACAGAATCTAATTCATATCTTCTCTGGGATTTATAAATTTCTCTCTCTCTGGCAAAGTATTCCAAATCACCACGTAGCTCAGTGGTACCTTTGGCTTCTTCAGAAATAAAATAACCCATGTTGACCATATCTACTGCATTTTTCTTGGTCATTTCAAGGGGCTTATTGTTGGCATGTGCTGGTTTATTATTTTCATAAATGCTATTGATCGTTTTTGCATATTTAATTTCGCTATTATCTTCAACTTTCTTTTCCACTTCAACCAAAGCAACATTGTCTACATTTGAAAAGGCAGGCAATGTCTGGTTGAGGGGTTCCACTTCATTTTTCGGCGTTTGTAAAGAATTAGAACCGTTATCTTGCAGTTTATTTTCAGTTTCTTCAAATTCGTTATATGTTCGTTTCTTAACAGGAAATGAAGACTTATTCTCGTTATCATAATTTGATTGCTTTTGGGGTGAAAGTGCTGAAGGTACGTAATGTGGTTGTTTTGGAGAGTAATCAGGTGACACTGGAGACATTAGTTGGTTAGTGTCAGTTGGGAGCCTGGGAGTTTTACTGAGAATAGTTGCTTTATTCTGTTCGTAGAATAATGAGGTGTTTTGGGTGTTGATAAGCAATGGACTCTTGATGGGATCTACGAAGTAGTTTGGCGCAATAGTTCCTTGTGAACCTGCGGAAGCGGCGTAGACGTGCAGTGGACTTGAAGAGTAAGGTGACTGTGGTGCTTCCCTAGGGCTACATATTTTGTCGGGACTGCTTTTTACTGACGTAGTATCTTGGTAAAAACCGGCTCGAACAGTTCCATTAATTATGACTCCGTCATAATATCGCGGTGAGGCTGGGGAGCGAAGTAGAGGAGAAGTATGGGACATTTGATGACGGGGAGAGTCTAAGTCCTGACTAAGACACGATTGCTCTGATACAGAACTCCCAGTACTTGTCCTTCTTGGAAGTGGAGGTGGCACAACGATTGTGTCACTTGTACTATCACCCCCATCGTGGTTTGGAGAGTTTGGATCATTGGGGGAGTCAATTTTGTTCGAGTTATTTTTAGGGTTTACTTTTACTTCTGTTATTTCAGGCTTCACCGGCTTTTCTTCATTATCAGTATTAGTTTTCTTTTTCATAGAAGTAGGTGGTACTGTCGTTTTAGGGGCACCAAAAGCTTTAAACCAAGCACTTAAATTAGGTGTTGCTTTTTCTTGACTTGGTTTTGACACGGATGGTTCACAATCATCTTCTTGGTCCTTTTGAGTTGGAAGAACCACTGTTTCGTTCGGCTCTTGTTTATCAGAATCCTCTATAGGTGCTTCTGTTTCAGTGGATGTAATTGGTAATTCTTCAGTTAACACATTTCTAATGCTGCATTCCTGAGACAGTTGAAAATCAACTGTAGGAAGAACTGATCCGAGGTTTAACTTTGGGCTGGTTTCTTCATTTTGGCTCGAATCCCCAAATTCAACATAGTCCTCAATATTCTTAGGAAAATTGGTTAGTAAATTTCCCTTGCTTTTTCCCGGTTGTAGTCTATCGATTGTTCGTTGTATTTCTCGTTTTCTTACCAGTTTTAGTTCACGTAAAGATTGACGTTTTCGCGTGAAGTCTTTTTTAGATGTGGTGGATTTTTCACTCAGTAAGCTCTCATAATCTTGGCGACTGCTGCTGTCCTGTTCTTCTGTAGTTACACTAGGAGCTGAGCTTTCCAGTGAGCTACCCACTGATTTTTCTGGCATATCTTCCAGCCATTTACTGATGTCCTTCATGGCCTCCTCTAGAGCCTCAGAAGTTGACTCACTTTTTGAGGAACATTTTTTAGTAAGTTTTCTATTGTTACATTTTCCTTTAACATTTTCTAGAGGCTCATTATCCGAGCCATCTTCGTCACTATCTTCCTTATAATCCGGCTTTCTTTCAATTCTTCTCCCACTCCTTGGAGAAAAGAGGCTTGTGAATAAAGACGGGTCCCGACACTTTTTATTTTTCGCTTTTAATTTTTCGATAGTTTCGCGCAATTTTTGGTTTTTGTCCTCTTTTGGTGCAATGAGATTCTTTTTTGTTTTCTCGTTCCCAAAAAG